GCCCGACTGGCGCGGACAATTCGTCCCATCGCGAGGCACACCCAAGCCCGCAGCAAATCGTCTCAGTCTACCGCCTCTGCAGCTCAAGCTTGCATTGCAGCCACTAGCCCGCAGCAGCTGCAACAGTCCAGATCCATCAGTGGCAGTCCCAACGTCAGGGAGAAGCCTCACCCTGGCCAGTACTCGAGAACCGACCCCGATGTTACAGTCGAGTACCCGGAGGACAACGAGCTCCCTTCTAGTCAGCCCGTCCGTGGCCACGGTGGTGGCATTGGCAAGCCCACGCTCGCTTCCTTCTCTCTCGATGGCCACACTGGCGTCGTCACCGGCGGTGCGCGCGGACTTGGCTTGGTTATGGGCCAAGGTATGGTCTATTCCGGCAGTGACCTTGCCATTGTCGACTTGAACAGTGAGTTTTGAATCCTGACCCCCTCCGAGCTTCGTCTTGTTATGAAGACAACATAATGACACCAGGACAGAGGAGGAGGCACAACTCCAGGCCAAGAGCCTGATTGAGGCTTTCCAGAGGGAGAACCCAGAGGCCAAGAGGTATGCACTCCAGCAACCCAATTGAGCTCAGGAGGAATCAATTGGCGCCTAATAACACACAATAGAGTTCCCAAGGTGACTGCACACCATGCAGACGTTTCAGACCCCGCCTCTGTCGACGCTTGCATCGCCGAGATCATCGCTGCTCACGGCAAGATTGACAACCTCGTCACGTCGGCCGGTTTCACCGAGAACTTTGACGCCATAAACTACCCCATCGAGCGAATGCGCAAGCTTTGGGGCGTGAATGTCGATGGCACATATCTCTTCGCCATCGGCGTCGCAAAGCATCTCATGGAGCGCAAGTCACCCGGCAGCATGGTCTTCATCGGCAGCATGTCTGGCTCCATTGTCAACATTCCCCAACCCCAAGCGTAGGTTCCACCGATTACTTGTTTCTTAAAAATGAGATTGGCTAAGACATAGTTCAACAGACCTTACAACGCTGCCAAAGCTGGTGTCCGCCACTTAGCCGCCTCCCTGGCCGTCGAATGGGCTGGCGCGGGCATCCGAGTCAACTGTATTTCTCCCGGCTACATGCTCACGGCCTTGTAAGTCTATTGGCGTCATTCTGCGGCCTCAAGCAGTTATACTAATACACTCGCGCAGGACCGAAAAGATTCTCGACGACAACCCAGACCTTAAGCAAAAGTGGACTTCTTTGATTCCCCAAGGCAAGATGGGCCAGCCCAAGGACCTGATGGGACCCGTTACTTTCCTGCTATCCGATGCATCTCTCTATGTGACGGGCGCGGATCTCCGTGTTGACGGCGGTTACACCGTCACGTAAGCCACGAGCAATCTTCAAGCCGAGATGGATCAAGGAGGCAGCGAAGAAGAGGGGATAAAAGTTTGCATTTTTATTAGACTTAATTGGCGTTTTGCTTCGTGGACATAGAACGTCTATTTATGATCATAGACGAATGATAAAAATGACGGTAATCAACAACACCATGCTGGAAGATAATTTGAAGGAGTTACCCAGCTCTATCTAGTTATGTGACATGTGAAAGTCAATTAAATACCTTCGACCGGGCAGGTTTACACCGGTCCCCCAATCCGATGAGGCCTATTCGTCGGCACCGATCGAGGTCTTCCACAACCCCGACATGCAGTGTAACGGAACCCGCAGCACATGGCCACCGGACGGGCTACCGACAGTTTTCCGACATCTCATACCGCCGGGTCTCCCCTATCCCCTATCCGACCCCGCTGGAATTCGTCCCTCGCCCTCGTGTCAAGGACTTGACTAAATTGCTTTTCTGCCAACGCTCTGTTTATCAATAGAATTGTCATGAGACATTGCAGTATGTGGTATTATGGAATGCTGATGGGAGACTGTAGGTGTCGGCAAACAGCAACAGAGATGACGGAGAGATGACGGGAGACAAACTACATGGTGCCCGGCATAGATGTCTCTGACACCACACTTCTGCTACTGCTGCTACCACCTGACGCACAGTACATGCATACATGCACTGGTACGCCGGAAGTCTTGGAACACTGCGCGGTCGAGGGTGAGCGTCGTGCCACGCAGTTGCGGAAGGGTGGGGGAGGGGCGCGACCAGTCTGATTTGGCGTGCGTGCATGCTGTCATGTATAGCACATGCTATACGACGGACTGCGCCGGCATCTTGGTGGGAGCGGCGGGGTCTAGACTTTGTCTTTTTCTGCGAGTCTGAGAAAGGGGAGGGGAGAGAGGATTTTGTGTGATTCGCAGTAGGATGTTTGGCGGGCAGGCGAGACTTGTTGCATACGGTAGGCATCCAAGATTGGCGAGATGTAAACCGGGCGAGGAGGAGGCGGGTACCGAGTCCCGAGAGTACATCTACCACTCCCATGCATGCAGGCAGACTGGCCGATGTCTCGCCTAACGCCGCGCGCGTCTTGTTTGTCCTACCTACTGCGTCCTGTGGTGTTTGCGGATTGTGTTCGGTTTAGGTTGGTGTACGGCCTCATCCTACGGAGATACCGAACCAGATATCGCGAACCGGTGGTCATAGTTATCCGGTAGGGTCGGTAGCGGCGCCATTGATCGGGATAATTGGAAGATAACGAGCAGATGTGACGAGATAAAAGAGGGCGAGCTGAGCTGTGAGAAGCAATTTTACCCGCTCGGCAGACGGGCCCGAGAATGGGAAGAAATCAGAATTTAAAGGACGAGGAGAACAGGGCTCGATCTGGTATGCGCCCTGGTACCTTACCGTTCGGATGGGGATGGCTGAACCTCCTTTCAAAGTCACCATGTTGCTCAAGGAGTGAGTGCTCATGCTGCCACAAACTACACCTACATTTCTCAACACTTTCCAAGTCCTTCAACTGTAAAATCCCCGCCAAATGGAACCTTGGCCATGAACGACGACATGGGGTATCATTAAGGATTCACCGAAACCCCCTGCCCGCCCGTGCTGCTAATCAAACCCGGCGCCGTTGTCAGCGCACGTGGGAGACCTGCTCGGGACCAGGGTAAGGTTGCGGAGGAGGAGAAGGAAGAGAAGCAAGAGGAGACGATGAATGAAGAAAAGAGAGGAGAGAAGATAGCTGTGGCAACGATACCGTGTGAACAAATAAGCATAAAGATAGCAGCTACCCGTACACTCTCCTTTACCCGCTTTCCTGCTCGCCGCCTCCTTCTTATTTCCCCCTCCCATCTTAAACTCCCGTCTCCAGTTCACTCTTACTCGCGTGGGAGGCATATCGTCGTTGGGGTGGCGCCCATCCCGCTAGTGTGGGGGAACCTGTGATTTGAGCCGTCCACGTCGTTCTTGGCGCGGGTAGCTATCAAGTTCCTGTCGGCAAGTCCAAACAACCCGGGGGTTTTCTTAATTGGCGATGCAAAGCGGCTTAAACCTGATCAGCTCTCTCCCCCCTTCTCCCGACCCTTAATTTTTTTTATTTTAATCAAGGTAAATAGGAGGTTCGGCTGATGGACGTGGGGGCGAGAGAAGGAACCTGGGAAAGGGTTCAACCTACCTTGCCTTATCTTGTCTTAGTCAGCGAGCGGTTTCCAACGGCTAACAGAAGTGAGCTCTCTCCCTCAAGTCCTTTAAGGTTGTGTTCACCTACCCCGCACATCCCCTGCCGAGGGAGCTCCAGGGGAGCTTCGACAGCTTCCCTTTCCATCCCACACCCACCATTCCAGCCTGTCGTTGCCCCTCGCGCTCGACATGGCAGGTCCGCGTGGTCAAGGCGTGGGGGGGACGAGGCGAGGGGGGTGGCCTCTCATCTCTCTCTCCAGTCTCTTCCATCTTCTACCAAGTGAATCTTCCATAGGGAAACCAGCGGTAGGTATTACAGAAAATCTGTGAAAAGGGTCTCTCACCGTGAAAAAGTCCGCAGATCACCTCTTTCTTATGGGGGTATTTGGGAAAGGGGGGGGGGGGGGGGGGGTCGCTCTCACGGCACCAGCGAGAGAACCCTTATTCCTAATTGCGCAATGGCGTCCGGGTTGCGATATCGAGGCTCTCTCAACTGCCCCTCCCTTGTCAGAGACAACTGACCTCGTGATCAGTTGCGATTTGCTTTTTTTCCCACCTTGGCCCCCCTCCCTCCTTTGACGGCTCCTGTTCCCCTCACAACCAGGCAGTTGACTACGTTTTGGTAGTGTATTGACGGCTGAGACACTCCCTACCATAGTAGAGCCTGCTTTGCTTGACAGATGTCGATGATCATCAGCGAGTCAGATTCTACCGAGGACTACTATGTACGTATACCCTCAGCAAGAATACGGCCTGTGTGCCGCGATGCTGTGGAGCCAGAGTAAGCCGAGTGAGCAAGTCCGGAGAGAAAGCAGTTTAGATCCTCCAGAGACTTGGGCTCTTATTCCCCTGTCGTGTTTCAGCCTGGGCAAGACGCACTCGTCTTGACTGCTATATGCACATCGCCGCCAACCTCCCAACTTTGTATCTTTGTGGTCGGTCAGGTCAGTGTTTGGATAAGAAATACTTTCTCATTCAGAATGACTCGCTACAAGTTCAGTGGGTCGCTGACAGTGCGACCTCGCCGCATGAGCAAGCCCTTGGTCTTTTCGAACTTCAAAATGGTCTCGCCGACTACTGCTAAACCGCTGTGAACGCATACAATGATCCCTTTTCGGTCGCTGTCCCCTCCTGTAATGCTTGTCAGGCGACTGACCCCTAAAAGGGCCTCTTGACCGCCTGTAATGAGAACGCCTCGTGCAATGCAAATGCGCCAACCTTCTTCCTGTTGAAAGTCGGTCTCGTCAAGTGGATGAAAAGAAAGAAAAAAAGAGACATTAAAGATGGCATTGCCAGTAGCAGACGCCACTGCCTGTAGCGGCAAGCTCTGCCAAAAGCAAGACATTCGGATGGGTTCAACCGTTTTGTGTTCCATGAACTCCAGAAGCCCCTTTTAATGCAGTCAATACCTCGCCAATTAGTACATAGATTATATGTGAGCCTTCAAAGTAGACTCTTTTTTGGCCGTGCGGATCACGACCTATATCTTGGCCTGTCTCCGATGCGCTCTTTCTCGCGCTCCAGCAGTAGCGTCAGCTGGCTTCTTGTTCTCGCTAATGGTACATTGGGAGTAGAGCTCGGCATCGTCGGCGCAAAGTGTGATGATGAAGAAATTCGCCGGGGGTTGCCCCTGGGCCCAGCTTCGTCCTGGAAACTTTCCAGGGTTTCCAGAGCGCGTCGATCCGGCTCACCAGATATCGAGACCTGGCCCATGGCTGCGATATTGGACGTGCTCGCTGTAGCGCTCGACAGTAGCCCCTGCGCAGAACCTCGACCAATGCTGGCCTCCCTTGGTCGATGGGGCTCGGAATTTGAAGGTGCCCGCTCCATACGCGGCGCCGAAAACCCGGAACGTGCCGATGAAAAGGATCCGATTTTTGGCGATGAGAGCGCGGGCGACGCAGCTGGTATGTATGTAGGCGTCCTGGGGCCATCAGCTTTGGCCTGGCCAACTTCGCGGCTCGACCGGTCGGTGACAGATTTGCTCAACGGCTCTGGAGCCGGCGCTCGATTTGCCGTTTGCACGAGAACCGGTTTCCGCCGATCTTCAGCGATTCGGGAAATACTCAACGATCTCGGTGACTCCGAAAAGGGTCGTTCGACTGGTCGTTTTCCCAGCGCTTTGGCGCTAAGAGGCGGCGGTTCGACGCCCTCGGAGCCGGATACGCTGAGGATAGCACTTTCCTCAGCATGAGGATGCATCACGTTGTAAGTTCCCACATGTTTGCCTCCGTTAGCAGAGCCAGTCTCCTTGATCCCAATGTCGGAGCCCGTTGACGACTGCGAGCTCATTCTCCTCGGCAAAACTGGTCTTCTCTTGCTCGCCACTGACGCAACGAATCGTTTCGTTGGTGTCGAGGGTTTCTTCTTGCTCGATTTCGCCGGTGACGCAGCCGATGAAGCGCGCATCTCCAATCCACTGGCTCCTGTGCTTCCCGACGACGTCTCATCGCTGGTTTGGTAGTCTTCATCGGCAGACTCCTGAGGCGACACAAATCGAGCCGTCGGACGAGGGCCAGATTTCGAGTCACCCCTATGTTTCTTGAGAATTGGGTGTGGTGGCGGAGGTCGAGATGACGAAGCAGATAACTCCTTGAGAGCTGACTGTTCAGATATCATCTTAATATCCTGGTTCATTTGCTGAGCGCTGAGGACCGGGTCAGATTCATGCTGGCTGTTGAAACGAGGTGTCTGTGTGCATTGAGTCAGCAAAGTCAGCGCCGTGTCGTATTGAGCGAGGCAAACAATACCGAAGGCCCCTCCCAACGGTTCGGTGAGCCTCTGAGAGGTACAAAGGTTGGGCCGTAGGAAATGTGTTCCCATATCTTGGCGACGGTCGCGGCTTTCAATTTACTCCTGTCGCTGCCCATGACATGCCACCACAGATTTTCCAAGCGGCGTGCGGTGGGATCAACAAGCTTGAGGTTTGTTGTGGTGTAGACTGTGACGTGACGTTAGATTTCCATGTGAGAAGACGCCGCGAACGGCCATTGACTTACGACGCCACATTCGTATGATGAAATCCGGCGGGAGAGGCTGCGTGAGTGCTGCAACATCTTCATATATCCGCCTGTCGTCTTTGACAAGTCCCTTTGGCAAATCCATTTGAAGCGAATGTGTTCCCTACCGAGACCAGACGGTCAACGGCAGAGACGGCTGGAGAGTGAAGAGACAGAAGTAGAGGGCGCGCGGAGGTATTGCTGACTGGCAAAGATAGCCCCGCCGTTTAGGGCAATCTTGCTGGGTGCGATATAGGTTTACCTGAAGCGAGGAGAGGCGCGCATGGTCGTCGCTCTACGATTCAATCGGACGTGGTTGGGATGTAGTTTGCTTGCAGGCTGGTGTGAGTGTAAAGGAATGCAAACAAGACGCAGAGAGCTGCAAGTGAGAGGCAACCTGCAACTGGGTTGGCTGCTTGGTTCACGGTCGTCTGCGCGCATGTGGCAGGCGGGTGATTTGTTGAGAAAGGCGGTGGGCGATGTGATCTGTATCAAGACTTGGGGAGAGTGAAGAACGAAGCGGTAAGTGAACCCCGGCTGCTGTGGATTGGCTGACCCTGAATGACCGTTTTCATGGGTTGCGGGTTTTGATCAGGTGTGATGTGTCGTTGGGTTGTGGAGAGTGAGAAGGCGTAAGAGAAAGAGAGCGTGAGAGGGTAAGACGGTATGGCGGAATAGTTGTGATACGGGCAGTGGCCCGTCCGTTTGTCAACGTCAATGAGAGGTGTTGAAATGCATGTATGACTTCGGAAGGGATGCCGGCGTAAAAGAAATACGAACTTCAGCAGACGTTGGGTGATGATGACGAGATGAGATGAGACGGCCGGCAAGATACGGGGAGTTGAGGTACGGCGCCTTGAGTCCAAGTCGGAGTGAGCGGGTGAGGTTAGGTGAAGTAGGTAGGGTCAGGGGCCCGGCGAGAGAGAGAGAACGCAAGACGCAGATGGCAGGCAGAGGTGAAGGAGAACTTTGCTAGGAGTCTAGGCCGACAAACAGAGGGGTTCGAGCTCTCGAATTGGCGTCCGCGGGGTGACCCAATGGGCAGATGGGTCGGAGCAGACTTGAGACGAGTCTGAAGGGTGTGTAGGTGTGGTTTTTTACCCTATTCGGTTTGTTGATGCCGAGTGAGAGAGAATTGGCACCGGTCGAAAGAGAGGATGGGAGGTTGAGGAGGATGAGGGGAGAAGGCGTGGATGGAGCACGCGCGAGAAAAATTGGAATGTTCCGACTCAGATGGGACTTCCAAAGTTGGGAAGGGCCAGTCGGAAGTTAAGGCATGGCAAATGTACCCTGGATGACTGGAATTACGGTGCCGCGCCTTACATTGCCCTGAGAACAGAAGAAAGGCGGGCAGAAGGGGCAAAAGGGGAGAGAAGGAGAGAGAGTCAAAAAGACGGAGACGAAGACGGAGAGGGAAGAAATGGGCCAGGGAAGGGGAACTTGAGAGGCTCTAAGCCTGAGGTACCTGACTTGACTTGGACCATATCCACAGTCACAGTGCCTGTCCAAGTGTGTGCAGCCCGGGTCCTGGGCTCATATAGGAGGGTATCCGGACGGGGAGGTAAAAAAAAAAGTCTGGGTGCCCGCCTTAGCACTACCTTAGTCGAGCACATCAGGCTTTCAGGGCTGTAAGAGTGTGGTTCCCGCCCCCCCTTCGAGTACCTTAGGTACCGTCGGGCCCGACACTGCTTAGGCCGGCGCTGGTACTTGCGATGGCCCCGTCCCGACTGGTTCCAGTCTGGTGCTTGCGGGTACGGAAGGACTGCAGTCCAAGAGCAAGGAGAAGTGGCCGGCTCTCGTTTAGCAAGGTATTATCTGGCTCATGGCCAGTCAGATGCCTCACATCTCTGACAAGTCCCTGCCTCTTCCAGTCGCAGACTCAGAGTCCGATAAGCCAAAGAGCCTATTGTCTATTGTGCGGTCTCTTGCATCCATTACACCCTCGTGAAGCCAGCACACGAAGGCAATGAACCTGAGTCTGGGCTTTTAGTGGGCCGCAGGAACAGGCACTTCCGGCTCCCAGGAGCAAGGGAAGTTGGAGTCGGGCGCCTGAACATGGATCGGACCGGAGGGGTGAAGCAGGAACGGGAACGCTGCATATGGTGACCTCGTGTACTTGGTAGAGGTAGCGTAGAGGCAAGGCAAGGGAACGCCGAGTCCAGGCACTGGCGTGGAGATTTGAATATTGAGCAGAAGGCGTCGGCAGCCTCAGCACACTCCAAACGATGGACGGATGGGTGCAGTTTAAGATAGACTCCATGCCATTAAAAATGAGTCTCTCTCTCTATCTCGGACGAAATATGAACTGCATGCACGGCCTGGGGCCATACGGCACAGACTGTATGGCCTTTCTCGCCTGGGCTCTCCGTTGACTACCTTAGGGTGTACTCTGTAAACAATATTCGTACCTTGACAAAGACTTCATATCAAGCGTCGTAGTCTTTTAATAGCATAGGGGCCGAGACTCTGTGACTGGAGTCTGGCGAAGTGACACGCAGCGGGACAATAAAGATTACCTGTACGCTGGGATTTTTGTGATTTCCCGAGTGGGCTCAATGGTCGATTTCTATTCCCCCTTGGTCCAGTTTTCTCCTACGGATGAAGGGGGGGTCGTGGGTACGTAGTACGAAGTACAGATATCCGTACGAACAATGCTCTAAGTCCTTGTAGAACCCGACGCAATTGCTGGGATGGGGGAGGACGAGGACGAAATCGGGAAAACGAGGAATAAACGGCGCATTTCAGCCCAGTTTAGTCCAGTCTGAGTCTCGTCTCTGAGAGACCGCCACAATTGTCAATGGGTGACTGGGAGGTGCACTGATGAAGATCAGGGAGGTAAAGATAAGGTACACGAGCACACAATTAGAGCGGCTCCTTGCGCACCACCTGTCTGTCCGCCTTCCTACCTTATTAGTCCACGGCGTCACCGTCCTGGATGGAGGTTACCTGACATTAGTTCCATTCCGCAACCAAGGGAAGGAACTTTAGGTACCTACCCTACCTGAGCTCATGTCAAACTCTGCCGACGTTGCCGTGCGAGATAACCACCACCAACACCTCCCCTTTCTGCATGTGCTTTTTTTCTCTGGCCCGCACTTCATACGCTTGCTTCCAAGAGCGTAAAACAAAAGTCGACACATCAACACCAGAGACCGGACACGTACCTCGGTCCATCAAGCTCTAGACCGGGAAGATCTGTTCCTCTTTCAACTTCCCCAACTGCCAGCCACGACAACTCACATCTCATCGTCCTCGGGTCCACCCATATCTTCGCCGCATATGCGCCTATGAAGAGACTGTCATTATCTGCACTGTCCCGACTATGACCTGCGACCTGCGCCCAGGCCGCTTAGGATGCACTCCAAGGTTCCCATCGAGTACCACGGGGCGCACATCTTGGTCAGTGTACAAGAGGGACTGAGTTCTCATTGCGACTGTAAACGGCACCAGATATGTCTTTTGACGACCACGTTTCCGGCAACTGGTAGATGATATCTCTGACGTGCCGTCTGATCGACCTCCCCCCACACTGCTGAGCACCACTCATCGGGCACAGCTGATCGCCGCGACTCGTCAAGTTGAGTGACGACGAGAGTAGATTTGCAGCAGTCACCTTGCAGAGCTCCCTAGCACCTACGGCCAAGTATCCGTCCACCGTAGGGCACCGGCGCACCGCGCCGGGATTAAACCGCGAAAAGAATCCCAGCAAGGATGCGGCCCCCACGTCTCCAGAAAATGGTGTTCTAGAACAAATTGATGTGCCTTGCTGAGTTGGTCCGCTCCTTGTAGTTGGTAGTAGGGAGTTGGAAGCTGTCAACCATCCGCCTGCCACACCCAAGCCCCAGCCCTGGCCCAGCATAATTGCCAGTCGCGCTGCCATTGATTGCCCGCTCTCTGAATTGATATATTGGAACCGGCCGAGTCAAATAAGCATTTGTGCGGATATCACATGAGCTCCAAACTCCCCCCCTGGTCGCGGCCTCTTACGGCTTGCGACAGAGAAGCAGACAGAGATACCATACCCAGCTCGGCATGGAGCTGAACATGCTTGTTTGGGTGACTTCCTTCCATCCCGAAGCCAGCCCGCCGGCCATCTTGTTGGGATGATTTCCGGCCGCCGTCTCGATTTGGTCTGCCTTACTTGGCTTTCTATACCCTGTATCCCAGTCTGCCAGGGCAGCGACTCGGGACGATTATCCCTAGCAAAGTTACGGAAGCCACATAGCTGTCTAGTGCCACAGCAATTCATCATTTCGGTCGCGTGCGAGCCGGCGCATCTCCCACTGGTCCAAATCACGCTGGCCGAGCCAATGTGCGCCAAACCCCAGGATATCAGTCATGGTTCTTCGACGTCTGAGGCGAACCGTTCACCGACAAACCCTCGGTGTTCTCACCGCTCTCAACCTTGTCACTGGTCATGAATCGACATGTCTGACAGCTGGCGGGAGTCAGGAGCGGCTCCTAGCGCAAGGCTCATCTTCGGGAGGATTGAAGGTGTGGAGGTGACGAAGGGAAGGGGGAGAAAAAAGAAGAGTTCTCAGCGAGCTCCATTCACCCACATTTTACGCCTCTATGCGGATGTTCAATCACCAGACTGACTACCTAGGCAAAAAGGACTCTCGTGAAGCCAATGGTACGCGCTCTGCAGCCCCTATTGCGCCTCGCTGCCTGGGTAGCTAAGACAAAAAGCCTGGAGAATCAATGCCGGACCGGGCAGCTTGCTTTTCCCGACCTCGCGGTCCCGTTCCGTTCCCCAACTTCCCCTTGTCACCGTGGTCTTCTGATCTCACTCAATGCGGGGGGCATCCGAGAACCACGTCGTGTGACCAGGTGCCGCGGCCTTGCGACACCACAACTCCTCCCCCAGAACAGCGATTCATGGAGCCATTGGCTAATCACCTGATGAAGAGTCCGAACACAACCGCCGCCTGCTGCTACTTTCGGAGTAGTGGAAACGCTGTTTCCGTCTCACACGCGGACAGCGGGATGGAGGATGAAGATCACCTCTTTTGTCGCCTCATTTCCTCTCCTGGCAAGCCCATCCCATGTTGATCGTTTCGGGTGAAGACATTGACACGACCAAAGATGAACTTTTGCTCACCGAATGAGGTAAATTTCACAAAAGCCAAAGTGTCCTGACACCACTGTCAAATAGTAGCATTGCGCTACGTCGCGCTAACAAAGTCGAATTTCAACACGCCCGCCTGATGCAGGCACAGCGTTGGATACTCACTTTTCTCCGCCTTTTTCCGGCCAACGGATGTTACGCGATGGCCCAGAAGCCAAGTCAAGTACACAGTTAGGCGACCGGTCACCCATCAATGACTTGTAATTGAGTGGAACGATGGTTAAGCCATTGCGCCAATGACCATTTTCGAAACCGCTCACCGACTGCGAAGCTACTACACCGATGAGGGGGGGGTGCCATGAGTCGCCCCTGGCTCGCTTGGACTCTGGGGTAGTGTCCTCCATTTCGTTGTTTGAATTCCTTCTCGAAGCACTCGTCTGACAGGGGGGGAGAACGGGTGTACGTTGATGGGAAATGTTACAATGCTATTGTGCGCAGCAACCCGGACGGCTGTGGCAAGCGCGGACCCGTCGATGCCATACCGTTTGCCTAGCGCGTCTGTCAAGACAACCTTTCTTGCTATGAGACGCGAGGTTTCAGACAACTGAGGCTGCTGCCTCTGCTCTGGTCGGGACTTTGTCGGGACATTGGCTCGGCTTTTCAGGAGCGCCCCCTGAGTCCGTACGTACCTGATGGGTGTTCCGAATCAATGTGCCACCGACAAGTCTTTTGGGACAGGGGGAGGAGTCTGAAGCTTAGCAAGTGCTTCGCATCCTCGGCTGCCGCTTGCCTCTCAACTGCAACAACGTCCTGCCAGATGGCTCTTCCTTTTGATCTTCTCGGGTGGGGTATCAGCTGAGCCGCCGGCCGAGCGGAGAGACCCAGGTTCTTAAGTGAGGAGATGAGGCACAAGTAGTAATGTAGTACTGAAGACGGTCTGGTTCGAGATCGACGTTGCAATTGCATGGTTGAAGCCGAGGTGGTAGGAATATCTAGGGCAGCCCTTTTGCTTTGACCTCGGGTGTAGGGGAGGGGGGACACAGACAGCTCATGCTATATTGATGATTTCTTTTCTAGTTATGCCAGCACTGATTGCACGTTCTGGTACCGACACGCGTAGAGACTGGGAAGCAACGGAATAGACAAAACAGCCTGACTGACATGACAGTATGTACCACGGCTAACTGCCATGATCACCTCTGACCTTTTCAACTTCTTCTCCTTATACTCGCCCAGGACTTTTCAACCACGGGTCTAGTTACAAAACATAGAAAGAAAGACCTGAAGAATGCGAAACTAATACCACACAAATCTTTCCTTGCTGGAGTAAAGGTGCTCTTAAGTGACACCTCACCATCTAACCCTGGGCCTACACAATCCAGCAATGAGCAAACCAAGAAGCTCGAGCACCAAACAAGACGACCCACATCACGAACCTTTAATACATCAAATCAATAAGACAAACGCATCTTTGCATTCGAACAATACCCCGTAATCGTTGTTTGGTATCATGGTGATCAAAAGAGAAAAAGTCAAGAAAAAATAAAGTAGCTGGTGCTTGTACATTATTCTCATTCTCCCCAACCGCCTTCCATGTCTTTCCCGCCTCGACGAAGACTCCATTGATGTTGTGGCATTCCTGTATCCCCGGTATCGTGTTTCCATCCCTGGAACAGGTCTTGCTTCTCGGAAGAGAGAGCACCGATCATGAACATAAAAAAAAAAAAAACCGTAAAGTCTTGTTTCAAGGGTGTGTTGTTGTTGTTGTTGTTGTTGTTGTTGTTGTTGTTGGTGTTGTTATTGTTGTTATAGCATGCGTGCGTGTTGTAGCATGGAAGCAGCAGCGACTGACTCCTTTGCATAGATTCTATGCAAGAAGTCTCCTCAAAACGCCCGCTCCCACTTGTTGCCTTTGTGTAACGAATGAATGAGAGAGCCAGAACTTTGAATGAAGCGGACGATTTGCTCATTCTAAGTAAAGTCAAATTGTCGGTGGTGGCCAAGCATCCATTATGATACGAGTCGTTGGTTTCGTATGCCATAAAAACAGAGAGATACAATTTTGAAAATAATGGCCAGGGGTGCCGAGTTAACAGGATACGCTGCATAACTCCGCGCATACCCTGGACGCCTAGTCATCAAGCTTGAACATACGCCTGAGCGTGCCAAACTTCTTCTTCTTCTTGCCCGAGGGGTCTAGTTGGACGCTCCCCTCTGGATCCTCGTGGTACCCCGAGGTGAGCACCTGGTTAGTGCTCCGGCGCTTCATAAACGTCGGCCTGGACGCGTCCATGGGCTTGTTGTTATCAGCCGTCATCGGCCGCTTCTCCTCGTCAAAAGTCTCCTCGACGAGCGGCCAGTTCTCCATGGGTAGCTTCTGGAGCTTCGACCCGTTTGTGCCACGGAGGGCCGAAATTTCAGAGGCGCTGCGCTCGAGTTTCGTGTCCATCCGGGCACCGCTCTCGCTGGCGACGGGTCGGGAGATCTTCCCGGCGTCAGAGTCCTTTCTGCGCCGAAGTATAGAGAGGAAGCTACCTCTGCGCTCGTGATTAGGCCGGGTTCCGACAGCAGGGGTCGTGGATGACTCCATAAGTGCTCCGCGGGGAGAACCAGACTGTTGCAAACCATGACCATCCGACTGAGACTTCACTAAGCGGCCACTAGCGCTAGAGATCTTTCTCGGAGATAGTTTGGGCTTTTGTAGAACCGGCAGCGGTGACGTCTCCTCGTCGCTACTGTCAGGCAAGTCCGGAGACTCCTCCGCCTTCCCATCGCGTCGCGGGGAGGGAACCTTCATTGCAGCTGCCGCAGCGGAGCTCGATGCGCGCATGCTCTTTGGCACGTTGTGCGAGGCGGACGCGTGCGCCGGTTTTTCTTCTTCATCGCTTGAATCGACAAACCGGCTCCGGAATCCAGAAGGCCCGGCTTCTTCCTCGTCGCTAGAGTCGCCAAAGCGGCTCTTTCCAGCTTTTCCAGTCACTGTTTTGGAAGACGACTTGCCGAAAGAGGGCAGACGCATGCGACGCGTACTTCCGTCACTCGAATCGCTTCGCAGCGTGCCCCGCATAGTCGTACGATTGCCCATACTGATCGGCGGCTGAGATGGCGAAGCGGGAGGTGACATTGACCGGAGGCTGAAGCGCGAGTTCCTACCAGCTGCCGCCTGCTCGGCCTCTGCATTGGCCCGCATCGATTTTCGGAAACCGAATCCTTCCTGCTTTGGCCGAGCCCGTCGGAAACTGGTCTCGCTGGAATCAGATGCTCGTCGGCGACTTGTTGACTGCATCGTTGCCTGCATAGCTTTCGCCATCTCAACGCTCGACATGGTGCTGTCCATAGAGAGGTGCTTAGAGCGAGCATTCTGGCTAGCCGATGTTGCCGGGTTTGCCCGTTGCTGGGGTACAGACCTGGCTTGAGACGAGCCATTCTGTCTCATAGACTTCCTCATGCCTCCTGGAGCCGCAGGCTGTCCTTGGTGGGAGCCCCGAGGAGCTTGGTTCTCTGATCGCATCGTCTTCCGCATGCTAGTGTTCATAGCCGTGGACGGCTGGATCGGCGTGCCGCGCATCGTCTTCTGGAGTGTTCCATTCGCCGACGCAGTCTCTTGACCCTGCCGTCCTCGCATAATCTTCCGCATGACGATTGGAGGCTCTGCTTCGTCTTCGTCATCGACGGCTTTAGTCCCAGGTTGGATTTGGTAAACACGCTCTGGGTTGGTAGACGCCTGCTGCTGTTCAACTGGGTCGCTCTTCCGGACAGACTTCTTCCTCTTGGGCTTCACGGGCTGGACTACCTCTTCGAGGTCGGCTTCGGCCCCGGCTTCCTCGAATGCTTCTTGTTCAAGCTGCTTCCGCTTGTCACTTGTCAAACCCTTCCAGTAGAGCTTAGCCTTCTCCCACTCATCCTCAGGTTGTTGCGAGGTACTGGACAGCGGTGAAACGTCCGGCGCGTACTGGGTTCCGGAGGCTTCGGCGATGTCAGCAGTCTCTTGATGCGAGTTTGCCAAAGCCTTCTGGTACAGTTTCTGGGACACCTTATTAGAGACGGGTGTTGCGATTATGGCGTCGAGCGACATGAAACCATCCCCATCAATATCTGAGAGGTCTTCGTAGGCGTCGCTGTAGATGCTATCACCCTCGGAAGCAGATTCTTCGATGGAGGCTGGATGAGGGATAGATTTTGTGGGAGATTTGGCTGCGCCATTGGATACGGCAGTCGACATCAGCTGATCTTCCTTCTTCACCTCCGTGGAAGACTCAGCGCGAGTGTGCGGGACGTTGTCTTCGCTGTCGTCATTTGGGAACCCTCCCGGAACGTCAAAGTAACTTGGGCCTGACAAGCTCGCCGGATCATTGCTAGCAGCCTCCCTAGGGGTTGGTGTTGGCTGAATGACGGATATAAAAGGGACGGATTCCACTTGACGCTCAGTGTTGTTCTCGTGAACAGGAGCTGTTGTATACTGCGCATGGTTGGCCAAATCAGGATGGTCTGCAATGATCTCCTCTTTGACTTGCGCAGGAGGCAAAGTCGGCGCGGGCTCCTGGACAACCTCCGAATCTTGGAAAACTTCCACCTCACCCTCGTCTTCCGAGCTTGTGTTGCTGGGGGAATAATACCCGCTGCCTTCCATCGACGTGACCACGGGTGGCAATGGCTCTCTGAACCTCGATATGTTTGCAGGGTTTCTAGCCGTCTGCTCTTGAAGATGAAGAATCGCGCCGACATTGTGATCGTTGGACTGTCCAACTGGGTTTGAACGGTCTGGTGTGCGTTCCGGTGTATCCGGCCCAGACAGTGTAGGAGATTCGGTCGGCCGAACGAGGGGCCGTTCCTCCTCACTGTCCCGCGGCATCTTCTCACGAACGCTTCCAAACGTGGGTAAAGCCGGTCGTGGCTGCATGACTTCGTCTTCATCCAGAGCAACAGCATCTTTTTTCCGGCTTCTGCCCAGATGGTTGTACCAATGCCGCTTCGTATATTGGGGACTCAGAGGAAGAGGCGGATCGAGCTCGGGCTTCGCGGCTGATTGCCCTACGACCTTGGTATTCTCGTCATCAAAGCTGACCCGCACGCCCTTTTTGCGTGGCATTGGCGCCTCCACTGCGGTGGCCTCGCTGCCAAACCGACTTGGGCCAGACGCTTCAGAGCCCTCATCTGAGGGTGAGGCGCCACGAGATGGACTAATTGAATGTTTCATAGCGGACTTTCGAGGGGAGACAGATCGCGGAGGGGGCTCGTGCCTGATGGCTAGTTGATCTGCGCCTAATGCAAAGCGTGCTGATCTTGCAGGACTGCTCGAGTGCGCACGTCCGTTTCTGATACTGCCATGCTGCTTAAGCTGTGCAGGACTGGGTTGCCTTTGAGACGACACGTGTGCTGGAGCTTCAACAACTGTGCTTTCGGATGACAGCGTTGGTTGCTTTGGGGGAGCTGAAGACCTCACAGGTATTGCGTCAAGAACATCGGAAATATCGTGGCGCACCGGCGGTTGCGTGGCTTCGGCCTCATCTGAATCCTCGAGATCGTCCTCCGATTCCTCCTGTACTATAGAAGGCTTCCTTCCTAGTATGGGAGCGCCTTGGCGAGGCTCTGAATGCGGAAGAATAGTAGCACCATCGCTTTTCCGAACATCCTGCACGATCGGTTGCTCTTTCTCCGGGCTGCTTGTCGATTGAACATGAGTTGCTTCTTCTTCACGCTGAGAAAGCTGTTTGGTAGTTACAGCAGGTGCTGGAGACGGTTGCCGTGGGTGCGCTAGTGCGGTTTTCGGCTGCACAGTCTCCTTAACCAGAGATTGCTTTTGCGGGTGATCTTGCTCGGGAGCCCCGGTAGGAACCCGAACTTGTGGTTTTTGCTTCAGTGCCGGTGTTGGTGTGTGTGTGGGCTCTTCAGCTGCGACCGCAGTACCTTGCACTCTACCCATCGTGCCTTTGGCCAAGTGAGAGCCGCTTCTGGACAATCCTTGCTGGTGTTTGGTCTTCTTGGCGGGCTTCTCAGCAGCATCCCGAACTTTGTGTTCGCTTACCAGCAAGTTCACTCTTGGGACCATTCTCCTGGAATTGGGGTCATACACAAGTGATTGATCGGGCGCCGTTGTGGTGCGCGACGCTACAGATTCCGTTCGGCGGGGCGAGACAAATCGCTGGCTACTTGTCATTGAAATGCTCTCGACGGTTGGTGATGCCGGGGGCGATGCGCCTGGCACCCTCGGATATGAAAAATTTATAGAAGAAGTTGGGCTTACAGCTCCCGGGCGAGACTCTGGAGAGGCGACACGCATTGGGGCATCCGACGTTCTCACGTTGGCCAAGTTGCCCTCGTGTGCGGCCCCAAACCACGATCCGGCGCCATCTTTGTTCTTCTGACTCGCTACGCGAAACGGCTGCATCTGGAGGCTCGTCGACCTCTTATGAGAAGAGCTCTGGCTCGTGATGGATCGCATGTCGTCTGGGATTGTCGGGACCGGGGGCGCATCGGCGGCAGCCATTGGGGTTCGGTGTGGCGAAGGTGAGCGGAATGTTCGTTCGGTCATGGAGCTCTGGCTAGGCGATCGCTGCAGTTCCCTCCGGGTGTCCTGACTCCGTTGCGACGAGACCGATCGGCTGCGCCTTTGCGTCCGCTTTGTTTGTACTTCGGCGACATTAATGGGCGTCGTAGGTCGGGATCGCAACGCGGCGGCGGCGGCGGCAGATGACAGAGACGAGTTGGATGCGCGTCGCGCAAAGGCTGAAGCAGCTGCAGTCGCAGCATTAGGGTTTGCGGTGGCGGCGGTCAATGGCTGAACGGCACATGGTCAGTTCTGAAGCAGAGACTCCGAGAGCGCAGGCAGCGCAAGTCGAATAAGACAGTGATCTGAAGTGGCGAAGGGTAAACATGCAGCAAGCCGATGCGATGGGAAACTATAGGCAGAATGTATCTATCAGTCGGCACAATGACAACATACCTGATTGGCCTGACGGTGCCTTCTCGAACCTCCAAACATGTTTGCTTTGGGTCCGGATATATCGATCAACGGCGCATGGCCTGAGATGGTTTCGTCGCAGGTTGCATGGGATTAAAAGTGTAGGAGCAATATGAAAGCGCAGGAAGAATAGTAAGTCAAAAGGAGACGAGGAACAAAGGCCGCAAGGGGTGGTGGAGGGAGCGGCTTGTTCGATAACACAGAGTTTGTTCTGGGGAGACCGAGAGGGTGCAAGGTGGTGGTGGTGGTGGTGGACTGGTGATGGCTTTGGGGGGGGAGAAAATGGGCGAGCTGGGGTGGGAGAGGCGGTGGATTAGAGGAACGTGGATGAGACGGGATGCGATGGGATGATGACGGAAGAGGTGAGTCGGATCCAGCCACGATGGGGGAGGGGCCCCTGCTCCGTGCACTGCTTTCATTTCACGTTTTTTCCCTCCCATTCCATTCCTGTACAAAGTATACACTAGAGGAGCAAAAGGCAGCGACAGCAGCGTCCTGCACCTGCCCAATGCACCTTACCGCTGCTGGCTGGAGGCTTCTTCTTTCTGCTGGAATCACCCTTGTTTCGGCGCTGCCGCCTTTCTGTTTTGGGACGACGCCATGCCGGGTCTGGCCCAGTGTCTCAGAGGAGGAGGGTGCCAATCCGACGGGCCCTGCTGCAAATCCAATGCCCTGTCGAGCTGGGTTGGGAGCTTGTGCTTGCTTGTAGCTGGCCCTTCCCTTGCTGGAACCTGATGTCTGAGGTGATCTACTGCATCTGCGAGGTTTTGTGAAAGCTTCGATGACCTGGCACCCTGTGTCGCGCAGGCATTGGTCCACTCCGAGAAAGACGGGAGGGGAAAGCCGGCCCAAGATGCTACTTGGGTACATCAATGCCGTCGTCATCAAGACACACCACTCCCGGCAGATACCTGTCTGTCACGTGTGTACGAGAGTAAATCGTGCCAGATATCGCAGACTGTAGCGATGGCCTGGGGGAACATGCATCAATCCGGGACATGTGTCTGTTTCCATTGTCACCTTCGTCTGCCCCCGCCCCCCTCGGGTGATCCATCTATCGTATCTGAAAGTCTCATGTCTTTAAGGACTGGTCCTATCGACGAATAATCGAGTCTCGGCCGTTTTGGTGAGGCAGCCACGGCAGCCAACCGAAGAGCCGGTCGTCTTTTTTCGCATCCAAAGCCCTGCCATGAGGCACGCGGCTCAGCCAAACGGCATGAGGTGCCACTGCGGCACCGTCTGTGGGTGTACGGATACGTCAAAGTTCCAGAGTGCCGAACCTCGTGTGGAGCAGTTGATCGACGTCTCGCAGAACCTTGGGCCTGGGGGGCTTGCAGTGGACGGGACAGGGTTGTTTCAGGCCTGCTCGACTGACAGCGAAGCTTTCCAGTCTTGTCTGTCCCCCTCTCTTTGGCTCTAGGCCTCTCCATGATCCGTCTCACTCCCACCTCGGGGCATTTTCTAATGGCAATCTATCATGATTTGGAACCCTCCGGCGCAACCCGCAATCGGCTTACGCGGAGCGACACTAGCGGATGGGAAGCCCAGAAGCTTGATTTGTCTATCTCTCCCTCTCTTTGCCTTGGATGGGCCGTGAAAAACGAAGCTTTGAGACAGATTGACTTCGTAGACGTTCACGATGCGGCGTAGCCCTCCGAAATTAACCCTTAGACCCCAATGTCACCCACAACAAACAGCTCCATCGGCCCCAAACACCAAGTCGACTTCCAAGGTCAATGCATGCTCCGCCAGCCGCACTGATCGGTTACATAGAAACGGAAGGAACGGAATCTCCTCAGGTAGCTGCCTGATTCCCAGTAATCACGGAAGACCAGCATTTCCGGCCGGATAGCGCGGTCAGAGTCTGCGGTAGCGCTGCCTCCGGTCTTTACGCTGCGGCCCCCCGCCGGTAGGCAACGCTACCTGAGCTTGCTCTCATGATTATTTTTAAGCCCAAACGAGATGGACATCACTGTATTGGAAAGCCTCTGTTCCAAATGTCTGCTTGTCTTCTCTGTGACCAGCCACGGCGCAAACAAGCCGCATTTCAAGTATCGGGAGTGCGGCGGACCAAGGTGAGCCGCAGACCTCCGAACGATAGCGGGGCATGGCCCCTTCAACAACCCGCTTAATAAGGCAGTGTTCTGTAACGAGTCGTTAGCTTAGGGTCGGGTTGGAGGTGGCTAGACCAGTCGCTGGTCAGTGCAGCACCTTGTGACGTCATCCTTGGTAAGTGCGTCTAGCTGAGGGCCTTTACCAGTGACATTGGAGGCTTAGGTACACTAGAGAAGTCTCTAAAGACGGTCGCAAACAATAAGAAGTAGCTCAGGTAAGGGCGGTCAATTCTGCAGGTGGAGACCTGTTGTAGTTTAGGGGCAGGCCGTGTTTGTTTTATCTTTGACAAAAAATCCTCCGCGTGGCGTTCATCAACCTCTCCTGGGCCTCAAAAGTCTAGATTTGGCCGAATCGGTTTCCACCCTCGCCCTAACATTCCAATCCGCCCTCTAGAGCTTTCCCCGACGACAGCAGCAGCATGAGCCGAACTCTTCGCGCGATGGCCCCCTGGGAGGACATGGGCAACGCTTGGTGCATTCAGTCATTGATGGCTTAGAACTCGAACTCGAACTCTCAGAGACGAGCCTTGCTTTATTTTTGTGCTTTCGGTTGTTTATTTTTGTTAACAGCGAGGGTGCTGGTTGATGATAGAAATGGTATTGACGGCGGGGGTGTATTTCCAAGGGTTGGCTTAAGCGGGTTTTGTCCAGACCGTGTTGATGGATCGCGATAGTTCCAAAGACATCAAGTAATGTCCAAGTGTGTTGGTGTTTCCTGCGCCTGCCAAGCAACCAATGTTCAGGTTCCAATGCTTATAATTATAATCCCAGAACTGTCTTGGCGAATCAATGTCGTAATGGGTATAATGAAGTATGGGTATGTGAAGGAGGCCACGGGCGGTTATCTGTATCACGATCCTGCGCACCCAAGAAAGCCCGCAAGTGGACCTCTTCAGTCGACAGCCTCGCCGGGATCATCCACCTCATTCTGGTCTCCGCCACAGTCGCTGCAGGTCGTATGTGGGCAAGTACACTCTTGGTCTGGATCGTCGCTGAGCAGCATCGGCGGATCGTCTTGGGAATAAGTGTCTTCGAAGTCTTCGTCGTTGTGATAGCCGCCATTAGCATAGTCATCGAGATAGTCGTCGCCATGACTGGAATTATCCGCGCCGGGACCCATGGGAGCATGATTGCCTTGCTCCTCGGAGTGATTCTGAGGTGATGCCGTCTTGGCAGGTGACTTGGCAGGTTTCTTGCCCTTCCGACTCTTGGCCTTGGCTTTCTCCAAAAGTCGCTTCCGCTCTACTTCTTTGCGACGGGCTTTTCTGTCCTTGATCTCGTATTGCCGAATCAAGGCGTGAGGAGGCTCGCCAAAGATCCTCTCGTATTCGCAAAACTCGCAAATCCACATATCCTCAACCTTGGGTGGGTTGCTGTAGTATCTCTCCTCGGCTTCGCGGCGACGGGTCTTGGCTGCCACTCGAAGGCCCTTCTCGGCGCGCTGGCGGCTCTTCTTCTTCGGCTGGGAAGCTCCTTTACCAGTTGGCGCAGGATCGCATGAGCCAGCATCTGCGCTCGCAGCGTCTGGCGCAGTTTGTGTCGCCATCGAGGCGTGTCTGGTCTGTCTGGGATATCCCGGGTGGGAAGTCGCAGGATCAGTTCCCGGCCAATGAGGCTTTGGGACTGGGGAATCGCAAGTGAAAGTGAATTGAGTGGCGGTAGGGCTAGATTTGACGCTGGAGGGTTGCTGATGAAGGAGGCTCACGTTTTCTTGCCCTGGAGCTGAAAGGACCTTTTCTGCATTAGCGATGGCACTGGATATGATGCCGGGGTTTTCGTCTGTAGATGTAGGAATTAGCGGCGCATCCCAAAACTGCAGTTAGCTGTGGTAAAAGGCAAAAAGCGAAAACACTGCGGTTGCTGTGAGAGAAGTTGAGAGGGAGCCAGGTAGCCACTGTTTGTAGTCGTTGGCTTGGCTGCCGGCATTGGGAATCAAAGGGTGCAGGCGCAACCTGCTGAGGTACGCCTGCCATTCCTCCTTTCACCGAAAGCAATCGCCCTTGTCGTCAAGCACTGTAGGCTCCCACAAGGTTTCCTCCGCCTCTCCCACCTGATTCAGAGGAAGGTCTTTAACACGCAGGTAACAGACGTCAAGACTTACTTGGTGTGGCCCATTGAGGCGGCCGGATCTTAGCTCCCCTGCCAACCCAGTTGTTTGTAGCGTCGGACAAAGCTCTGAGAGGGCTTCTACCATTTCTTGATCTTCCAAATCTGCCTCTTCCCGGTCCTGAGATGCCTTGGTTGTTTCCGACAAAGCTTCCAGCCCCATAGTAAGACGGTGATATCGATCCTGCGAGGTCACCATGGTCGTTTGACGGAGACGTTATTGTTGACACGCCTATAGAGTTGATGTCGCCCAAAGAGTGTACTCCAGAGAGCGCCGAGTCTCCGGCAGTCGGAATCTTCCTTTTCTTCTTGTTGTTGGTATTCTCAAACGATTCGTACCCATCCGCAGAAGATGTTGTCGAAGGCGGCGGCTGAGGGCTAGGGTGCTTAGAGTGTTCCGGCTTCGGAGGCATAGTTGAGATGCGGTTCAAAATCTCTGGATGCGAACGCCGAACGACTTTACTGCTGCTTAGCGCCGATTCATCCTCGTCACTCTCTCCGGTCGCCGGGTTCCCTCTAGGCCCTCGTTCATAACCCCCAGCACCTCGGCACGCACCATTCAGACCTCCTGTCCTCAAGGGCATCTCATCTCGCACGATATTTGGGTAGTAGAAAAGAGGGCTGTTGTTGTGATTCGCAGGGGGGTACTCGATAGAGTCCGCCACCTCAGGGGAAAGGCGTTCCCTCAAGCGACGCTTCGGCAAGGGACGAATCGGCCTCTGCGGGAATAGAGAGGAGACGCTTTCGGGAGACATTGTTCGATTATGACCTGCTTCCGCATAAGAACCATCGAGGTTAGCAAGCTTCTCGGTCGAATGGTAGAGCCTCAGGCCGGTGAGTTTCAAAGGCGCAAGACCTGTGCAGTCGGCCGCCACAGCCAGCTCCAACGTCTCCAGCGCCGACGAAGCAGCGCCTGACATTCGGCGGAGGACAACAGTGGCAGCGCTTTTCGAAAGCAGTGGTCGAGAAGGTGGATATGGCAAGGTGGTGGCGGGAGTTGAAATTGGAGGAGAGCGACGCATACCCATAACAACTCATGCTACAAGCCATCCAAAGCAGGCCAACGCGGACAGGACGATTCACGTTACGGAGCTGGAGGCTGCTAGCAGTGCAGGGGGCCGTTCTTGTTTTGCTACAGCAAAAGGCTCTCGGTCGGTGGGTTGGGGGGTTCGAGAGAGGGGGGGAATAGATCCGTATTAAATGCGGGAGGAGCTCGTAACCCTTGATTCCTGAGTTTGCCCAACCATCAGCGTATGTCCGCAACAGAGAGCTGGCCCAACCACTAGCCAGACAAACACGTCCTGCATGTCCAAACAGGTCCGTTCGATCACATCCTCCTCTCCTTGAACAAGTCAAGGGAGTGCTGCGCAACAAGCCTCAGGTAAAGTAGGAGCGGTTCTCTGCCTGTTCGGCAGAAGAGGGGAGCGGGCATACCAACTCGGTCCACCAGAATTCGGCCGGGTTTGCTCCGCGTTCGACTTTGGGCACACAGGAGCTAGAACAAGCAAAGTGTGCAGTCAGGCGAAAGACGTCGTTCAGGTGCGATGCAAAGGCGACAGCAAGGCCGATCGAGCTCTGGACGGATTGTGGGAAAGCCAATGTTTGAATCGAATTCCCCAGCTTTGATTGCTAATGACAGCATTTGATAATGTCTAGTGTGTGATTAGGAGACGTAGGTCAACCAGGGCCGCTCGAAACGCATTAGATAAGCAGGCCAGGGCTCCGCTGCGGATAGACTGCCTGGGGGGGGGAGGTTGGGGGGGTAAGTTTTTTAAGGTAGGTATCCGTAGGTAGGTAGTGGAATCCAGTGGTGACTTGGACTGGCCAGGAACCCAAAGCTCGAGGCGAGGGTGACGAGGGAGCGACGGAGCACAGAAGGGTTAAAGTGGGAAGAGATGCACACTGTGTGCTGTGCAGAAGTGACTCGCCGCAGAATGGAGAGACAGCGGGAGCGGGCGGTAAATTGGCTTCAAGATTAGACGAGCACCGTTGGCACGGGAAAATCATGGACTGTAGCTTTGGGCGGGGGACCTGTGCTTGGGAGATGCAACGATGGTGGGCTCGGAAAAAAATCCCTGGTGCTGCTCGATCAACTGGTCCCAGATACACCGATTTTCCGCCTTTTTGAAGGGCACTTTGTGGGAGAAGCACAGTGCCACCCAAAGTCGCTAGTACACAGACTGTCATCGCCATGGTTTTTCCGATGAGGCACAGCACAACACAATTCCCATCCCACCATGTTCCGGGATCCCTTCTTTTTTTATTGTGCAGGGACTTATGCAGCACAATCACCTCCGTAGCCATTGGCAGCACCTGGCCCCAGCCCCGCAAAGCTGCTCTTTTCCCTGGGTGCGTTGCGCAGAGGGCAGCGGCAGCTCCTGCACGCCAGAGCGAAAGAGGCGCCGCACCACACTTAACAAGCCCGAAGCGTGCGGTGCTGCTCCAGTCGCTGCTCCAGTCTGTCGCCCGCCGGTTTCCTTCACCCAGAGAACCATTCTCCCAGGGCGCACTCCTGCTCTAAACCTTTTCCACCTCCACACGCCGGCTCCTCTCTCTCCTCCTCCTCTCTCTATTGACCTGTCACGACATGAATTTACCTTGCCCTCGATTGTCAGGCATGCGAACAGTTCGATCCCCTCAAAAGTCTTGCTGGAGTACCCGAGTCCTCCCTTCTCTCTAGCCCGACTTGCGAGTCGCGCCCATTTCTTGCTCCTCGCTCGCCCGACTGCCATCCCACCACAACCACAACAACCCACCCGACCTGCTCTCTGCCCACTCTCGTTACCATTCTTTCCCCTCGCCCCGATACCCCAATTCTACTCTCTGCCTTCTGGCTTCACCCTTGCGACAGCGAGATCTTGTACTGCCTCAGTCACACGCCTCCGCCGACTCTTCCTCTCCTCCTCGCTCTTCCGAACTCTTCCTCGTCCTCCCCCTCTCTCCGCCGTCCTCTTACGCTGCCTCAATGGCACCCCCCTCTCCTCGACGTTCTTCACGAGCCCGAGGCAACACCGTCTCTCAATCACAGCAATCCTCGACAACATCGAGTCTTTCGAGTCGCGGCGAGCGAACAACCAGATCCCTCAACAAGACCTCTTCTGCCAAGTCCACCCCGAGCGCCTCGCTATCTTCGGAGCCACCCGAAGACCTTGAGGACGCCCTCCCCTCGCGGCGCCGTACCCGCGCTCAAGAAGACACCCGCGACAAGCCTCGGGTCGACCCCTACGATATGGCCACCGGCAGTGACGACGTCCAGGAGGACGACGAGTCAGTACGCTGCGTCTGTGGTTTCGACGAATACCCGGGACCTCCGCCCTTCGAAGAGGACACCAAGCACGGGAAGCATAACCCAGAGGCAGATTTCTTTGCCAGCATCGAGTTGTCTGATGAGGTCTCTGGTCTATTTGTCCAGTGTGACGTCTGCAAAGTCTGGCAACATGGCGCCTGCGTCGGCATTTTCACCGAGGAGAGCTCTCCTGATGAATATTTTTGCGAAAAGTGTCGCAAGGATTTACATAAGATTCACTCAGCAACCAACGGGTAAGCAATCCACAATTCCACCCAGAAGCTCTCAGTGCCTTGTCGCCCACAACGCTGCTATTGACCTGAAAGTGCCGGTCGGCGGCAAGATCACTGGAGAACATGGACCTGAATGCGGCGAGGCTCAATCAACGACGTCTCTAGCGCTTTTACAATGCTAACTTTGTCTCATTCTGTAGACAACGATATTCGAATTACTTGCCACTTAACCGCCCGTCCCGCGCGACATCCCGGGCCGCGTCCTTGGTCAAGGACGGCACCAAGTCGCCCAAGGAAGCAGGCAAGAATGGGGGCCGCGCTTCGTCTGCTACTCAGGCCTCGAAGCGAAGGTCGACCATGAACAGCCGGGATGCCGCATACGATGAGGATGAACAATTGCGACGGGCCATCGAGGCCAGCAAAGAAGAGACGGTTTCGGAGCCTACAGATACCACGTCAAGACGAACGAAGCGAGGTCGCAGTGACAGCATAGAGTGAGTACCGAAAGGTCCCCTGGACTGGCTTTCACTAATAGTAGTAGAAATTTGGCAAGTCTGAAGAGACAGCGTACCAGCTCGCCATCAATGTCGCCGCCTCCGGAGAAGACCGAAGCCATTGAAGACGAAACAGATGAGGAAAACAACGGTCGAAGTGGGCAATCGAAGAAGCCTCGCGGTGCTCGTACGCAGCGTGAAAAGTCGGACCGAGAAGAGCGCGACCGCCAGCGGGCAGAAGCAGCCAATCGACGGAAGGGTCGTGCAGATCGTAGGAGGGCCGAGGGTACGACTCCCCTCAACCCGGGTAAGGAATCTGAAGCTCACGTGGGCGCAGAATCGGATCCGTCAGAAGAGGTCCCCCTCGCGACAGCTCGACCTGCTGTCAAACCAAGCACCGAGCCTGCGGTGCCTGTTGAGGCGCCCCCGTCCTCTGCCCCGACCCCAGACACTCCGCCTGCGAATCAGGCACCGGTCGGAAGCTCACACAAGAAAACAAGTCGTAACAACCAGAAGAGAGGCAAGGGTCGAAATCAGTACACGAAAGACCGCGACGACAACGAAGACACACCAGCAAGGTCAATGTCTAGAGATATTGGACGGAATCATGACGACCACACTGGCGCTGGTATAAACAAACACTCCCATTCGGATCATCCGAAGCACACCAGGACAAAGGCAAACAGCGCCCACAGCAAAGTATCAATGAACGACATGAAACGTAGAGTTTCAGCGTTCCTCGACTTCATTTCCAAGACACAAGTGGAATTGGCCGGTGAGGCACTACCGGGATCTAGGAGTAGCCAAAACAGCTCTCAACAACAAAGTCCGCGCGCAACGGCTGCGCCAGATGCACCAAAAATTAGCGTCAACGGCGACTCCGCAGTATCAAAGAACTCGCCTATCGGCACTGCGACAGCTGACGAAAATGGACCTGAGTCGAAAGACTTCAAGGCCCTGAATTGTGTGGAGATGATGGATGCCCTCACTCGAGACCTCCTGCGATGGCAGAATCAATTTGCGTCTTAAGCAAGGTCTTGTTGGCCGTGGCTGGCCATCTAAACAAGCGAATGGTCGCTCATTTAAAGCCGAATGGTTGCTTTCGTTTCGGAGTATGATATCAAAGCCTGCCCCCAACGGCATTTCACGGCTCTACACGGTTTGATATTTTGCGGCGTTTGGTCTCTTTGGGGTATCGAAAATACTATCGGAGCAAAAGGCTTGAAGAAAGGCCATTTATGAGTCGTTGTCCATGTACGCACTGACCGTGCGGTCTTACTGTCAGTTCATAATGTCAGGTTCCAGGAGAATTGTGGGATACCCGGACGCTTGCGAGTCTCCAAGATTGCGGGCGACGTTATTAGTGATGCACCCAAGTTGAGTTGAAGTTGGTCCTTGTCCGGAATAATTTCGAACCGATCTACTCATTTTCTTTTTTGAAGGATAAGGTGTACAAAATTACTCTCTTACGAGACAACTCGTTATTTTTACATGTATTTGATATAGAGTGTGGGGTATCTTTCTGTAATTCTCACACGAACAATCTACTGCTACTCCTTCTTGCCCTAAACTGCTTTAGTCTTGTTCATTGCTCGCTCTTTCCTTGCTTCCTTCTCTTTCCTTCGTGCCTGGTTCATGCTTAGCGGGCCTTGTCCCTCCCTCGCCAACTCCTTCTCCTTGAATGCTTCGTCATTGATGCCATCGAGCACAAACTTGCCCAGGTTCCCGACCCTCCACTGCTTGACAATCCAGTCGGCCGCGCTGTCCGCGTTTGCCTCTCCGCCGCTCTTGAGCTTCCCCGTTCTGCGGGCAACTCCAAGGAGGAACTCATTAACCTCGTTCGTGGGCTCGCAATATTTGGCGTACGCGCTCGGGTCGGAGAGGTTGAGCCGGTATAGGAGGTAGTCGGCGAGGATCTCCATGGGGATGCGATCGTCCTTTACGGAGCCCGCGAGCGCGAGCTTGACCATGCTCTCGGCCTCGGACACAAAGGGCATGAAGACGCCCGGGGTGTCGAGCACAAAGACGCCCTCGCCGAGACCCACGCCGCCGTCGCTCTCGGCGTCGAGGATGCGCACCGGCGACGATAGCTTGCGCGTCACGCCGGGCTGGGCGCCGACTTTGGCGACGTTGGGCTTCTTGTGCATGCCGTGCACGCGAAGCTTGTTGAGGAGCGTGCTCTTGCCGACGTTGGGCATGCCGACGACCAGCGCGCGCATGCCCGTAAGGCTGTCGACCGAGTGCGCGACGGCTCTGATCTCGGAGAGGAGCTGCTTCGTGGTCGAGGGGTCGTCCTTGCGCCAGAAGACGACGCGCTGTGGCGTGCCGCCGACGGGGGAGCGGCCGCTGTGGAAGCGTCGTAGGCTTTGCTCTACCGAGGCGGGGCTGTCGGTGCCGAGGTCTCGGTGGGTGTAGACGACGATGCGTTCGCGGCCGGCGATGGCGCGGTCGAGAACGGGGTTCCAGCTCGTGAGGGGGACGCGGTAGTCGCGGCACTCCAGGACCAGACCGACATCGGATAAGCGGTTGGAGATTTCGCGGAGTGCCGCGTGGTGGTGACCTAGGTAGTAGGAGCGGGGGATGGACTCGGAGACGTCGAAGCGGAGGCGGGGCACGAAGGCGCCCCCCCGGCGCGCGGCTGTCGGTAGCATCGTCTTGTCGAGGTAATTATGGGGGAGAGGTTTGGAAGTTTGGACGGGCCTGGCTCAACTGTTGGGTGCCCTGTAGTAAGGATCCGTCTCCAGCGGTCACCTGTTCATTGTTGTGTGGCCAATTGACTCCCTGGTGAGTAGCACTTTGGGAGGTCTGGCGCTGATGAGGCAGGTAATTACGGGAGATTGAAAGTTGCCGGGTCGAAATTTCTTCAGCCTGGTAGCTATTGCCCGATAGCCTCGCGGCGTCGCATCTTCTGATTGGCTGAATGAGAAGAAGATCCCTGAAATGGGAGGGGCAATCTGCGGCCCCAACATCGACACATGACGTCAGCTGTCAAGCTATCCTGGTCTGGGCCGTGCGTACCTTGGCGCCAGCGCAAGATAGCTGTGGGGCTAAACTTGCCAAGACTGGCCAATGAGCACGTGGGGAACGGCGGAAAGTCGATTTGTCGAAACGGGGCCCGAACCTACTCTTTTTTTAGGAAGCCCTGGAAAGCTGTTCGAGTCAAGGGAATCCATGGACCTTGGGCTGCAAGATGGGGTGTTGGGATGGGAGAAGTGCCTTAAGGAGTGGTGGTGTTAGAGTAATCCTTTGCCGTTTAACCGTCTGGCTTTTATGGAGTGCTTCTCGTCTCCTTCGTTTGCAGCGTTTGGTTAACATCTCCTCGTCCTTCGAGATATTGTTTTTGATCACCTTCATGTTGTGTAGGCCGACGCAACACTTTTCATTCTCTTTGCCTGACCACTAGGCCGCCATTTCTCGTATATTACATGCTGTATTCAGGTTCTTTTTGCGGTCAAACTCGTGAAACCACTCCCACATGCCACCAGGTCTAACGCCTGCGGGGCCTGATAATGACCGCGGACCGCATCCGGCCACATTACCCAGAGCTCAGGACGATGTCATAACACCGGTCCGCGAGTCGCCCGGCCTCACCAGCGACCGGGCAGAGAGGAGGTCTACCCAAAAGGCAGAAGATCGGGAAAGAGTTTCCGTCGATAATACAGGCACTGAAGGGCGCAATGGACGTAGCAGAGACGACGGCACCAGCAGCAGGTGGCGGGGCTATGTCAGAAGGGACGGCAAGTTGAGGCCGTTCCGGTTGCTGAAGGAGGATTTTGGCAACTTCAAGCTGCGGTATCTTTCTGATTGGACCGTGTTCAACCAGCTTGTCCTGGCGAGTGCGGTGTACGTCTTCTTCACAAACATCTTGCCTGGCATCACGTTTGCGAGCGATTTGTATGTCCTGACTGGGGAGTCGTGGGGCACAATTGAGGTGGTGTTCAGTACCGGGCTTTGCGGCATCATTTTTGCCTTGTGAGTAGATCTTTTAGTCTGTGGGTATTGCTTTGCCCGGCATGGCTCTAACATGGTTTACCAGGTTCTCGGCTCAACCTTTGACGATTCTTGGTGTTACGGGGCCGTTTTCGGTATTGGCAGAGAACATTTACACATTATGCGAGAACTCCTTCAAGGTATTGTGATTTGCCTACCTCTGAGACTTTGGCAGTATCAACAGTTGACTCTGGCAGATACCCTTCCTACCTTTCATGGCCTGGTCTCTGATACACTCCGGCTGGATGCACTTCCTCCTGGCCATATTCAACGCCCACGACTACACCATGCAATACGTCACCGACTTCAGCGCCGATATCTTCTCCCTCCTCAACAGCGTCATCTACTTCCACAAGGCCATCAGGGAGCTCCAGCGCACAAAGGCAGCCGTCTCGCTCGCGGCGTTTCTCTACTCCATCATCGGCGCGGCGGGGACCTGTCTCCTCGCCATCTTTTTGTCGACAGCGGTGTCGTGGAAACCACTGTTTCACAGGTACGTCCGCATGGGCCTGACCGAGTACGCCGCCGCCATCTCCATCATCTTCTTCATCGGCATGCCGTACGTCGGCGACCTGGCGACCCTCGACCACAACAGGCTTGAGGTCTCCAAGTCGTTCCGGCCGTCGTCTCCGAGCCGGGAGTACTTTTTTATCGAGTTCTGGAAACTGCCCATTGGCTGGATCTTCATCGCCATTATCCCGGGCATCATCATCACCGTTCTCTTCTACTTTGACCACGAGATTAGCAGCATCATCTGCACGGCCAAGCGGTACGGGACCCAGAAGCCGGGTGGTTACGCGTGGGACGTCATGCTCCTGGGCATCACGACGATGATGTGCGGCATCCTCGGCATCCCGCCCGCCAACGGCCTCCTCCCGCAAGCGCCGCTCCACTCAGAGTCCCTGATGTACACCGTCTACGATGACCCGCCGCCCACCGACGACTCCGAGGGGCCCGGCGAGGGTCCCCCCGCGAAGCCCGTACAGCGCGTACACGAGCAGCGGTACTCGGCCTTCATCCAGGCGGCGGGCATCCTGCTCTTTGTCTCGCCGCCCTTCCAGCACGTCTTGGGCTTCACGCCGACCTCGGTCCTCGCGGGCCTGTTCATGTTCATGGGCTTCCAATCGCTGTCTGTGAACCCGATCCTGACGAGGATCTGGCAGCTCCTGACCCCCATCTCGGAGCTTCCCGATCTGCCCCACGGCGCGAGCTGGCTCGGGATCCATTTCTACACGCTCGCGCAGATCGTCCTCACGGGTATCGTTTTTGGCGTCACGTTGACTGTCGCCGCGCCTGGGTTCCCCATCATCATTATCATTTTGGTCCCCGTACGTTTATTCTTCATGAACAGGATCTGGAGCCGGCAGACGTTGCGGTACGTCGATGGATGGGCGACTAGAGAGGGCAAGCCGGAGGATGACGAGAGTGATCGGCACCGGGAGGGCTTGGTGGCCTCGAATGATATATCCAGACGGGTTCCTGATGAGGAAAAGGGTTCCAAGACGGCATAAGCGTTGTAACTATCTCTTGTTGATAGTTTAACACGATGTTGCGCTTTACCATTTTCCATACTCATGTGATTATTGACACATCGCATACAGGTCGTATGTGAACGGCGTCCCATTATGCTCATCAAATCTGTATGAACAGGCGGGGTTTCTCGATCGACAGCCACCCCCACGTCAACCGGGCACCCATCGAGTAATACCCCCAAGTTTCCAAGTTGCATCCCAATCCGACAATAACCTTTCCGAACACATATCCGAGGACGGCGCCAGATTTAGGTGCCCGTCAATTGCGACATACCTAGCCATCGCAGAGCCACTGCAGAGCCGAGCGGACGTTGGGTGGTGTTGATGCCCGCTTAAGACACCTCTGCATCAATTTTGGGTTACTTCATACCAAAGGTGTCGCACTTCCTCGTGGGCTACGATCTACTCTTCATTCAGACTTCATTCTTCATCTCAGACTCCGCAACTCCAGGCAGCCGTTATCCTGTCTTTGTCCATGGCAGGAAAATTCGCAATCGTCACCGGCGCGGGCTCAGGAGTGCCTGGGGTACGTTAGTAGCATCGCGGGCCATGCGGCGGGTATCGGGACGCCACTGTACATCGCGAGTAAGCATGGCCCTCATGGGTCCGCGAGGTTTATGGGGGGGATGAGAGATTGGTTGGGCATTCGGTGCAGTGCTGTTGCGCCGGGGGCCGTGATGGTCAGTATATTTCTCTACACTATTACCTTGCGTCTACAGAAGAAGGTTGTTGCTGACGAGAGACCGCAGACCCCAATGTGGCTGGAAGATCCGGGGAAGAAGCACATGGCATAGGGCGAGGGCAGCGAACTGTTCCTGGAAGCGCAAGAGATTACGCGGGGCATGCTTGAGCTTTGCGAGAACCCAGAGCACGGCGACGGAACGATTTTGGAGGTTAACAAGGGGGCTACGCGCGTGGTGCCTCTTTATCTTGCTGAATCGCCCAGCGGGGTGAGTGCTGTGCTACCCAGGCTGGCTGAGAACACCGAGAAGATTTGGAACAAGCTCGGGAGTGAGGGGTTGAAGGCGTAGTCTACCACGGATGACTGATCACCAGGAAGAAAGATTTCAACGCCAATACTTACTTCATTAATGCCTCCTTCACATCTCTCAACAACCTCACTTCATCAAATTTCCCAATCGGGAATGACGTAGATCGACGTACCCCAACGAGGACGGCACGATGGCTGCGCCTAGACGATTTGAGACATCGTTGGACGCCACAGTCTCGACCTCCGCATTTCTGCCTGGCCTTACGTCAGGAAGGAAAAGCTCATGCCGCTTCGCCTTGTGCAGCCATAGACAATTAGTCGACTCTTCAGGGTTTCGTGAGAAATATGACTCGGCCACAACGTTGAGATGGAGACGTCGATGCCCAGGCGGCCGCATCTGGAGCTATTCAATCCAGACCCTTTGAAAACCAAAGAATCCAGCTTTGCGTTATTCCAGCAGTTTCCGGTAGAGATTCGTCTTCTCATTTGGAAACATGCGTTACAGCGGCATCGCTTGATACATATCAAACTCGAGGAGGAAGAAAAAGAGCAGAGGGAAGGAGACGATGAACCCAATGTCGCTGAACGACCCGCTCTCTTCAACAGCCTGGGTCATCAATTGACTGGGGACCACTACAGGGTCATAATCGAAGCTCGAAGGCCCCTCTTACCCAATCTAATGAGGGTAAATAGAGAATCACGGGACGCCGTACTGTCGTTCTACTCAACGCAACTGCCGTGTCGTCTCAGGCAAGACAAACACAGCGAGAGGGAATATACTATCCGACTGAATCTGACTTGGGACTACCTACGAATCTCGCACAGAAAAGCGTACAGCATCTTCTTTGACTTCATCCACGATCTCCGGGCCCACGACCCCAAAGGTCGCGGTCTCCAGCACCTAGTCACAGAAGAAGACGACTACCGGGTGCCGGCCCACGACACATCACCCAAGCGCACCTTTGTCGAAGGCCGCGCACTAGAAGCCTTCAGAGCCACCGCCGCAAAGGATCTCCAGAGCCTCTGGTTCAAGTGCACGCCTCGCGGCGCGCGCGCCCTCAGCGTGCTGGACTGGATGCGCGCCCACGTCTTCAACTACGGCGTCCCCGTGTTCCCGAGCTTCACCTTTTTCGAACCGCCCCTACCGGACCCGCGGGACGGAATCTCGCGGGATCTCCAAAAGATTGGTGGTAGCGGGTGCGATCCGAGGGAGGCGCCCCTCGGCTGGCGGATGCTCCTGCGCGACGTCGATTTACGGCCCGAGGATATGGAGAAGGAGAAAGGCAACCGAAATTTGGACGTCCGCATCATGTACGCCTCGGGTGAAGAAGAAGGTATCCGCAGCCGCAGAGACGCGGCGAGGGTCCTTCACGAAGAGGACTTTCGGTGGCTCGAGCTGCAGTGGTGGTTTCACGGGTGGGACTTGCCCGCGGGCGGAGGACGTGGCGGCGGCGATCGGCCGGCGGGCTGTTTCTCGACGGCGTCGGGCTTGCAGGCTAGGCGGCCCGAGTTTGACGGGCCCGAGGTGCTCGCTGCGGCGCCGCGACCGGCGCTCGGGTTTTGGCTGTTTCCTGTGGAGGCGTTTGGGGAGGTTCCCGAGGAGGACGAGGAGCCGAGGGGATGGTTGAAGTCGAAGTGGATATGGGATCTGAGTTCACATTGGCCGGAGCTTGCGCTGGCGGACGTATGCTGATGCTGATCTTGACAACTAGTTCAAGGTTCATTTAAACCATGCGATGTCTGAGATTACTGATAGAAAGGGAGGTTGAGACACGAACCAATCGCTGGTGAATCTCGGGGTATCGGGGGCTCACTGGAATTCTCGCCTTGATGAAGAACGCGAGTCTTGTCTACATCATTAGTATGCACAGCAATCAATCCATGTGGCTGCTTTGGCGGCCATTCCTGTTACGGGCGAGATGTGAACAGATGGAAATGACTCTGTCAACGAGCAACAGTGGCTCAAGACAATAGATGATGTTGTAAGATTTGAAACTGGTTGAAGTTGCTTCACAGATTTGATGGCCGTATTGTACAGAAAAACCCCAACTTGCGTCGTCAAAAGGGGGGAAAAGAGAAAGACAGCGTAGATGAGGTATGAAAGGCCTCCCAGTAACACTCCAGACTTGAGATCAATCCACAAGCCATTTTGCGACAGGTAACGTGATAACCACAAATGATGAGACAGATCTACATGAATCTATATCGAGTCGAAATTATGAACATTACGAATCACTGGTGCTCCTCTCCAAAAGAGAGCACTTCGTCTATATCCAACATCTTGTACGGCCCCAACTTGAAAGCGAGCGCGTCCTCTTTGTGCTCCGGCGTCCGAACAGCAGAGCAAGTCATGTAATCCGGACCCAGGGCCCTTAGGGACACATTCGCATCCTCAACCTTTGCACCCTTGAAAATGATTTCATGATCCGCGACCGCCTCGCCCTCGGCGTCAAAGGTCTCCGCGGGCGTCGGCGGCCGGAACTTTTTAAACTGCAGATCCCCCAGCCAGGGCGCAAGGAGCGCATCGCCCGTCATCTTGACGTACGCTTCCCTCAGACACCACAACGCGTAAAAGCACCGCAGCTTAAAGTCGGCCGCGGCCTCCAGCGAGGCTCCCGGTTTCAACCCCGGCGGGATCGCCGCGAGGACCTGCCACTTGAGGAAGTTGGCCTCGATGGGCGAGAGCACGTCGGCGTGGACGTCGACGAACTTGGGCCACCCTTCCTTGCTCAGCATGCCATGATCCCTGGTGCGGCGTTCCGAGGTGCAGACAACGTCCACGCCGACGTCGACGGGGCCCCTGGCGGCGACATCGTAGCCGTGGACCGCGAACATGGCGACCAGGCCCGCCTGGTGGCTCACGTTGAAGCTCAGCGGGCTGGTGCCGTCGGCGACGCGGAAGACGGGCTTGGTGCGTTCATCGCGGACGGCGGTGGCATCGTGCCAGGGGACGCCGCAGAAGCGGCTGATGGCGTAGCGTTTCAGAAGGTGCGAACCCAGGGACAGCTTCGCGTCGCGAACGTGGTAGTACTTTAGCACGGCTTTGCGCTCGTCGGCGCTGAGGAGTGCGAAAGCTCGGGATGCCTTTTGGGCGCGTTCGGTTTCGCGTCAGTTTGTTTCTCAATTCCTTCCTTCTCCTACCCAGTTTCCAGGGGCAAAGGCAGGCAGGGATGGGGACTTAAAGTGCTGTTGCAAAGAGAAGGGGGGGAGGGATGACGACTTGGGACGTGCAGTTTTGAAATGGTTCGCCGGAACATGTTTGAATAACACAGAACCGCGAAACGGGCATGGGGCAATGGGCAACGCAGATTCGATCAGGAACGGGATGCGATACGTACGGCTTGCTCGAGTTGCTTTGTTTCAGTGGCCTCCGGCCATAATTGCCGGGTATCCAGGATCCACTGTATGATAGTCGGGGCCATCTTGATCGGTGCTTTTCTGGTTGTTTCGAGGATGCTTGTCAGACTCGCAAATGCTGGTCGGTCCCCGCAGTATACCCGTCTGTCTGCTTCTCTATTGACGCAGCCTGCAGCCTCGACAAAGGTTTCCTGGAGCAGGAATTCTTTTTGGAGTCAGCAGCAATCTTTCAGCCTGCTCTGGCGCAGCTACTCTGCCCAAGGTGCGGCCCTGTCGTCGAAAGGAGGGATGAAATGTGCCTGCCAAGAAAACCAGAATAAGGTTCAAGATTGGCAACAAGCTGAAGTTGCGTCTCTTGATACGCTGTCTCCCCGCTGTCGCCGGTAGAGAAATTGACGAGACGACAGAGATCGCCGAGACGAGCGTCGTGGGTCAGCAATTGGACGACGGGGTCCGGTGAGGTAAGCGGAGTGAGGGAGCGAGCGAGTAAGCCTCCGTAAGGTAAGCTGTAATCTTCTTGGCAGACGGGCAGCCCGGCGACGAGTGACGGATCGGCAATTTGCAATCTCAAGTTTCAGACATCAGGTCATCGAGTTCTTGGGAGGATTTGCGAGTCGCTCGTAGTTTCACCGAGGGGTTTGGACCGTTGGTCGACGAGGATGAGATTGTCACAGGTTGCCGCGGGTTTTGCAGTGGGAAGGGGTAGGAAGGGGTGGAGAGGTTGAGACGTTTCCACGTCCCCTCCAAGCTGGAAACCGTCCGGGGGGGGGTTGGAGGGGCAGCAAAGAGGGGCCAGAGGGCCAAAGTGCCTACCTATCAACCTCCGCGCCTCTTCCTCTCTCTCTCGTCCCCCCGGAACAAGGCGGACCAACGCCCGCTAGCGCCCTTTTCCTGGTGAGGGGCGTCGCGGCTGCAGATCACACCGAAAGCGCGCTGCTTGACCCCTCCATTTTTGCCGCCCCAAACCTTTTCTTAACTTCAACTCCACCTCAGCACACATGGAAGTGGCATGACTTACGCCGTCTCACGCTCTCTATAAATCTGCTTCGTCCGTCCTTCGTCTCTACTGCTTTCTGCTCCTCCTTTCCTCTTCAGCGCAATTCTACTTTCGCTCACAGAATTCGCCACGTAGCCGAGTCTCTCCGCCAAACTCCTCAAAAGATTCCTGCGTTTCTTCTTTCCATTGTCTCAACCCGCCTCCCCTGTTCCGCCGCCATGGCCACCAGCCAAGCCACGACCACAAACCCACAGTCATGTTCTGACGTCGAGCAGGCCAGGAGTGCAAATTTCTTCCTTTGTTCCGCTGGCCAGGTCGTCATCCTCTTAGGAGAGGCTTGATCTGAGAAGCGTAGAGCAAACATTTTTTTCAACTTTTCGATTTTCCTGTGTACGCGGCAATGGGACGCCAGCCGAAGTCCAGTTGAGGATCAAAGACAACTTTTCAATCAACTTTTTACAACAATCCGCTGGGAGGCATCCGCACGGGCCTGAAGCGTTGATGATCCGTCCGAAGAGTCCACGCGCCGGGGAAAATGTGCGTCACAGCTACGAACACCCCGGCGCGGCTGGCCGTGGATGAAGAGAGTCCGCTGGAGAGAGCCGCGTGTGCCTGAAGCGACGGCGCCTCCTCTTTTGTCACCTCCCATTCAATCCTCTACATCCCGCCTGCCTCACCTAGGCTCGGTCTCTTCGTCGAGATAGGGAACAGGGCTGAGAGGGCGGGAATCCATCCTGACTCGCCTGGCCTGGTCTCTCCGTGAGATAAGGACGGGTTAGAGAAGGAGGAGTGAATGAACGGGAAAGGGGCGCCAAATCTTTTTTTCTTCTTTTTTTTTTTTTTTTTCGACGTCAGCCCATCACAACGCCGAGAGTTGGGCAAGCCCGATGAAGCGCTCAGGATGGGCCCGCGTTATCGTGTCCGTACTTCTACGGGGATGAGCCGGCGCGGGTCCGAAATTGCGTGGAGGGTCCCTTGCAAAGTCTGGACCTTTTCGTTGGTGCGAGGGATTATGGTGCTTCTGCGAGAGTACCGACCAACCAGACTCGAATAATTGTGTGGAGAGGGGATGATGGTCAGTGGAGCGGGTAGGATCCGGGGCACTGGATTATGAAGGTGTATTCCCACGGTTAATGGGGTGTTCATATAAAGATCTATATGTTGACGGCATTGCTGAGGAAGCTCTGGGTCGAGAGAGAGACACGAGACCCGGCGGCTTAGGGAACTAAATAAATGCTCGGAGAGCTACTGAATCAGCTTGATATCATCAACAATTTAATTCACCGCATCTGTTACTGTCTTAAATGACCCGGTGGGTGATGGGATCTCCTGTGCCCTAGTATACACTGATGGCTCCCACGTTGTTCAGGGGACGGTTTCTTCGACTTGATCTTTGGTATGCCCCAGGCAAAAGTCTTCAAGCCCAATTAGGTTTACTAGTGTCATCTTCCTTTAAGAGGTGGTTGAGTAAGCTTCGTCTGCGAAAACTTCTCTAGATATTCAACTTGAAACAACATTGAAGAGTATCTCCGAGAGATAGGTACTCAAAAACATACAGGTCATTGGAAATAGAACGTATTAAACATCTGCGTCTCTGTTGTCTTGAATGAAGAAACCATCCGTCCCTGTTTCGGGAGGGGACTTTTGCGATGTAGTTGATCAACTTTGGGAACAGCGGAACTTGAAAGGTTTAAGAGTGTACAGCATGAGGAACAGCCAATAAGAGTGCAAATCTTTTGTAAAAGAGAAGTCCTAAGAACTACTCTGCAATGTACTCTGCAACGATCAGAATTGGAAACTGTTGAACTTTCGTCTGTTGTCATCGCCTTCATCAACGGAAGATGGTGCGAAGTTTCATCACATCACTGGTCACTACAGACAAATTTGAGGGTTGGCTGGTATGTAAGATGAGTTTAGGGCAACGAATCAAGTATCCGAGCAACCCATGATCCGAATCATGAAAAAGCTCCCAGATGTTCGAGATGCTTCAGCACGAAAGAGCTTCATCATCAGTTTGTCCAGGGCGATTTGCTTTGAGAGCCTTTTTCAGTTATGCATCTTTCTAAGTGCTTTCCATTTTCGCTCTTCTTGAACCACTCAGGTGTTTAAGAACTTTATATTTTGGTCAGAATAAGTGCCAATTCTCAAAAAATGTGTCCGTCATACAGACGCCCTCGAGGTTGGAGAAGCATTCGGGGGACCAGTGCGATCCAGGTGTGAATTTCGACTTGGGCCCCATCCAGGACTTACGTAGATAAGCTGGAACTGGCATTTTAAATTGGCTTCTCGTCGACACCCTGAATGCCTTAGGGCAACATTTAGGTCACCCCGGCCCAAATCTGAAGGGCGCTGCAGCCAGAGCAATATTTATCTCATGTTCACCCGAGTGTGCCGCTTACACCTCCTAGACCACATGCACCCGGCTTATGTTCCATCACCATCACGTGTTCGATTTGTTTTCATTCTTCCTAGTGGAGAAGGTCTATGGCCGTGCGAATCTTAGAATTCCCATTGAATACAGAAGCATATGTTGCCTCGTGGTTGAGTCGAGGTGGTCTGTCTCGAGAATCCGAGAAGATGCAGCTTGGCCTGTCCTAAACAAGGCCACGTTTTTGAGAACGCCATGACGCCTCCCTATGCTTCGCTCTTCAGGTCATACAAATAGTTTGTACAAGTATTGTTTCCGCGCCGCGCCCAGCGGCGAGAACCCCCTCTCTTATACACCCTTCCTTTCTCGTTCCCCAACTCACTTCTTCTGCGCGGTCTCCTGCTCTTTGCGGTACTGTTCGTTCTCGACCTCGCGCCAGTCCCTGGGCGCGGGCTCGTTGCCGTCGGTCTGGCCCCTACCGCCGGCGAAGGCGGGCCGTCCGGCGTACAGCTGGTACCCCTTGCCGGCCTCGGCGTCGTTCATGGTCTTGTAGTTGACGGGCATGTTGCCGCGGAAGCGCTTGCGCATGTCGACCATGCCGCGCTTGCACTCGCCGAAGCCCTTTTTGAGCTGCTGGCACTTTGTAGGGAGGCCCTCGGCGAGGGGCGATCGGAGGCAGTCGGAGGCGCTGTTACGCTGGACCATGACGCACTCGGATTCCTGGAGGCATTGCGCGAGAGCCTCGCCTGGTCGGGGAGGAAACAAGTCAGTCTTCAGTCGGTCGTGTGGAAGCAGGAGAGAGAGAGGGCGTACGCAGTTCTTTGCAAGAGCTAGGCATGGTGACGGTGTTTTGGCATTCCCTCGGTAGTAGACGAGTACAGGGAAGTAAGTGGTGCGACTTCTGGAGCTGTCGGAGCTTCGAGTTTGCGATGGGCGGCCAACCGGGGGAAAAACACCATATTTGTGATTGGCCTATACCAGAAGAAAAGGACCCACTCCCGTGCAGCGGTTTTCTGCAAGGTGCGAGAGTCGCAGTCTCGCAGAGGGCCGCTAAAGTTGGATGTCCCTGCAGTCCTTCAATAAGATAACCCCACTTTTGCAAGGGTGCAGGCTCCTCCGTCCAACCGCGTGCTCACACGCGAGCGTCCCTGCCACTGACACACTGTCAGAACTGTGATTGGAATGATTTAAAGGGGCCAAGGAGGCGTGGCCCGCGTGGGAAGGTGTGCTGAGACCTTGGACCTGGACCTTTTTGGGAGCTTCCAACTCAGACGGGATGCCATCCTCACATGTGACATCACTTGGCCTTGCACATACCTATTCTTCCTCCAGAAACCTCAGACTTCCCACACCGGGCCCTTCACTTCCAGCTTCGTTCCGCTGACACATTCTTGCGCCAGCACCAACGCCATTGCCCGTCGGACACTAGGAAAACAATTAAGCTTTTGTCGTCTGCGGTTTCAGCGATGATGGCCTGAGTCCCCCTTGCACCTTTTCTTCCGCCTCTCTCTTAGACATACTCGTTCCTGCTGCGCTACGGCGTTCGTCTTAGATTAACTTCGTTCCAATCGCGCAACCACGATGGCCATCCCTTTCATTGGGCGATTGAACATGTAAGAGATCCTCGTAACCCGCCTTGCCCGCCTACCATATTCTGCGATTCTGTCTCCCTTTCCCTCTCTCCATCCTTTTTTTTTTTGTCTCCCCCTAGTCCCCTCGCTCGAGCTCGAGCTTCTCTCCAATGCGGCGCACCTCGCGGATTAGACTTGGACTAGCACTAATGGCATTGCGCAGCGTCGAATATGTAGCTCTAGTGGGGTCGTTCCTCCTTGTCGGGCTCGAGGCTCTCATCCGTATCCTGACCTTGGCTCTGCGTACGAAATGCGCCTCCCTCCTGCCGAGCGGTGACGTCCGAGCTAGCTAACTCGATTTCCTACAGCTTCGCCGCTCATCTCGCTCTTTTATAGAGCTTCCCGTCGCTTGTTTAACCGATTTTCGACGCCGGAACAGAAGCGCGCCGAGCAGAAAAAGAAATGTTCGTGTGTCTGGCGGCTGCTCCAACCCTGCGATTTCCGTTGCGCTAACCCCAATGATGCCGCGCAGCCATCTCCACGTCCGTGAGAGACGCCTCCGACTTTGTGGACCTTTGCCGCTTGTACGGATATGAAGCCGAGGAGCATGTCCTCCAGACCAAGGATGGCTACTTGCTCGGCCTGCACCGGCTGGCATGGAAGAAGGGTGAGGAAGAACAAAAGGTCAACAACGGACCGGGAAGCTTGAGAAAGAAGGTCTTGTACCTTCACCATGGGCTCCTCATGAATTCAGAGGTGTGGGTCTGCTTGACCGATGAGCAGCGATGTCTTCCTTTCGTGCTCGTCGAGAAGGGATACGATGTTTGGGTCGGTGTTTCGCCTTGCAAAAGCTTGAGCGCAGTTGCTGACTATTGGAATAGCTTGGCAACAACCGCGGCAACAAGTACTCGAAGAAGTCGGTGCATCATTCCCCCAAGTCGACTGAGTTTTGGAACTTTTCAATCGACGAGTTTGCGTTCCACGACATCCCAGACAGCATCTCCTACATCCTGGAGACGACTTTGCAGGAGAGCTTGTCATACATTGGATTTTCTCAAGGAACCGCGCAGGCTTTCGCCACCCTTGCTATCCACCCGAAGCTGAACCAGCAGGTCAATGTCTTCATTGCCTTGGCACCAGCCATGTCGCCAGCAGGTCTTTTCAATGGGATTGTCGACGCTCTGATCAAAGCCTCTCCTCAGGTGCTGTTCCTCCTCTTCGGCCGCCGATCCATTCTCAGCTCCGCCACCATGTGGCAGTCCATTCTTTACCCGCCCATCTTTGTCAGACTCATTGATATCGGTCTTGCCTTTTTATTCAATTGGCAGACGAAGAATATCACCCTCAGCCAAAAGCTAGCAGCCTACCCTCACCTTTACTCGTTCACCAGCACAAAGAGTGTGGTTCACTGGTTCCAGATCATCCGGAATAAGTCGTTCCAAATGTTCGACGACGACGTCCACCCGCCCATGTCGATTAGCTCTTCGAGCAAGTACACCAAGGTCGCAAAGTACCCCACACGGAACATTAAGACGCCCATCGTTCTTGTTTATGGCGGCAAGGATTCGTTGGTCGACATCAAAGTGATGCTCAAGGAACTTCCGTCCCAGACAATAGCCACCGAGATCCCCCACTATGAGCATCTCGACTTTCTCTGGGGTAAAGATAACAATGTTCAGGTGTTTCCTCATGTCTTTGATGCACTCGACAGTTTTACCGATGCTCAACACACCAAGGAGGAATATGATCGGTACCAGCTGGCGAGACAAGAAAGTCTCATGGGTTCTGGTAACGCGTATAGAAAGTACGCATATAGGGATAGCGATGTTTCTGGCGATGTCTCTGCTAGTGACGCTTCGAACGCCGTGGACGAGCGCCAAAATGGCAACGGTGTCGACACTGTGGAGACCCCCGTTTCTCAAACCAAGACTCGGGACCGACCGTCCGGAATTCCTTCCCCGTATAACACCACCCGCCTGCGCACTCCCTACTCCCAAGTTGCAGCCGATGACGAGCCACCATCGCCCTCTCCAGATAGACCTTCAAGCCGCGCAGCCGAGGGAGAAGAGAGACCGGACAGCTCGTTGGATACTCGCGAGTCGCCGACATCCAAGCTCAAGGGCATTGGCGTCCGTCGCGGAAGCGGAGGCAGCCATTTGAGCCTTGATAGCATGCGCGAGGGACGGGGGATCAGTCTGGGAACGAGTAAGGCTCTGGGCGGCGTAGTCACCAAGAATCCTTTTGACGCCAAGGGGCTTGCAAATGTGGTCCCTGATGAGAATAAGAATGGTGGAAAGAAAAAGAAGCGCGTGACGGTTGCGCCGTAGATCTTGGAATCTGGAGAGGTGTAGGATATGGTTTGGATCAAATCGGCAAAACAGCACATTTTTCATTTGTAATACATTCGCTGTACTCATTCTGATCTGAATCATCCAGTGACTGACTCTGAGCCTTCATTCATATCTTGAACTATAAGTTTAGTGGTAGTGATGATGTCGAGTCCCCGATACGTGTGGCGATTTGCATAACCCTCATCGGCTCGAGGCCTCTAAGTTTGAAGGGGCTCTCGATTGCTCTATCATTGTGCGCACTGTTTATTTTGTTCACCGCGACACGAGAATGCAAACCTACAGCTATTTATGCAGTCATTCCCTATATGCCAAAGATGATGATCGTTTGGTCGCGTGTTACGGTTCGATGTTGTCAGGGAACCACCTAATCGGACTCAGGAAACCAATTTTGAGAAGTAAGAATATGGGTATGGGCCCTCTCCTGAAGCACTATCTGCTTCTCACCTGTGACCAGCAAGTTTTGAGTATCAATCCAGACATTTCTCCGCGTCCCCTTGAACGGAAAGCCAGCATTTCGATAATTGGACAATGCCAGTACTACCCCTCCACGTGCCCTCTTAATAAACCAACATATGGACGTGCTTTTCCCATCGGGAGCTTCCACCCTCATCTGAAAAAGTCTATCTGGGGTGCGGTCCGACAGGATCAAGTGGGTGTGGGGAGCCTGGTATTCGAATAAGCTCTAGACTAGGATAGTTTGGACGAACACCCTTGTAACCCCGTTGTTCTATGTTACTTTGAGCAGTTGGACAGTCAATCATCATTGCCAGCCCATTTCTATTTACCCATGTTTCACGACCATGAGTATACCCATGACGGGAGGAGAAGATCATCACCTGCTACAGCGTTGATGATCGAATAGACAACAGCAGATGCCCACTTCCACGTTGCCAATGATATTAGGACTGTGATTCTCATCAATGTTGCAAAATATCTTTGGACTTTTCCGCTCCTTAAATAAGTGGACAGCCATAGGACCGCTTTCAGTACAAGTTGATACGGATTCAACTATTCGGAACGCCACGAACTGTCATAGATGACAGGCCATATAGGACTCTATGTTGCAGCAAATTTATCCACTATGCAGTGCTTTGCCAGATCAATAGGGCACTTACCCGTTCATTTATATCTCCCTCCTGCATGGTGACCCAGCGCCGTGTGTAAGTGGCTGGCTCCAACGCTGCCAAAGTCGGACGAGGTGACACCGAAAGGGTTCTTCATCTGCCCGTAGTGACACAATTTTCTTGAATACATTGAACGGGGAGCGTTGCCACTCATCAAGGTACGTTTTGCCCCTGACCTAAGCTGCACATCATCGATGCTCCCGATACGACCCCGACGATGCTTTCGGTACCGTATGGAGGATATCGGCAAAGGCTTGGCTACCCTGAGGAACCACACGTATATCAATACGCCCAATCTTCCCTCCCATCATTTTTCCCATTTAATCCTCTCTTTGAGAGTTTTGCATCATTTCCCCTTGTCAGAATTCGTCATTGAAAGACATTGAAGCCCTTCGGTCACCGCAACCCAACCATCAACCCATCCCCCTTAGTCACACCGCAAACCATCCAACAACGATGGACTACCCAAAGATGATGGCCATCATCCAGGAGGCCTACGCAGACCCGTCAAAGATTGACCCAGACCGCATCCTAAACTACATCTTCGCCTCGACAGGCCACAGCGTCGACAACCCCCCGCCCCAGCCCGTCATCAACCAACTCAAAATCGACTTTGCAAAGTGGCTCCCCGCCTTTTGTTTTCTGAAACCAGACCTCGAGTACTGCAAAGAGGGCGTCATCTCCTTTTACTCGTACCGCGTCTCCCTCCCCGCCAACGCCCTCTTCCTCGCCCTCTTTTCCCTCTCGCTCGTCGGCTTCGTCCTGACCGTCTTCCGCACCCGCCGGGCATATCTGTTCAGCGTGGCCATGATCCTCGGCGTCCTCGCCGAGATGATTGGCTACGGAGGCCGAATCGTCAGCTGGAAGAACCAGTGGTCCGAGAACCCATTTCTCGTTCAGGTCTGCTGCCTGACAGTCGGCCCGGCCCTTCTCGCCGCGGGTATCTACCTCTGCCTCCGCCAGATCGTCACGGCGTTTGGTCCGGGCAACTCGAGGATACCGCCAAAGTGGTACACCAGAATTGTATGTAAACCCTCCTATTCCATCCATCCCCGACCTAAAGTCCCCCCTTCCCCCTCCCCCCCCCCTTTCAAAAGAGTAAATAAAATGAAATAAGAAAAACCAACACCTATCAGTTCATCCCCTGCGACCTAACCTCGCTCTTCCTCCAAGCCGTAGGCGGCGGCATCGCCTCCGTCGCCAGCAAGAGAAACGAGCCCACCCAGACGGGCGACAACGTCATGATTGCCGGCCTCGCCTTTCAAGTCTTTACAATGTTCGCCTTCATGCTCGTCGCCGCCGACTTTGCCCTCCGCACCTACCGCCGCGCCCGCCGCGCCCACCTCCCCAACCTCTCCGCCGTCCTCGACAACCACCCGGACATGGTCCGCCTCCGCCACTCGACCCACTTCAAGGGCTTCCTCGCCGCCCTCGTCCTCTCCACCGTCTGCATCTTTGTCCGCTGCGTCTTCCGCGTCATCGAGCTGAGCGGCGGCTGGACGGGGCCCCTCATGGCCCGCCAGGACCTCTTCATCGCCTTCGAGGGCGTCATGATTGTCATCTCCGTCGTCGGCCTCAACGTCTTCCACCCGGCCTTTTGTAGTGAGAAGTTGTTTGAGCCGCCTACGGATCGCCCGGTGGTCATTCCAAGGCCGCGCAGGATGAGCGCGGGACCAAAGATGGTCAACTTTGACTCTTATGAAAAGGGGAGCTCCATCGAGACCGCCTGAGAAAATGGGCAGATTCTTTCGCGCGTTTGCGAATGAGGTCATTGTCCTTGTTGTATCTTCTTCGAACAAGGACATGAAGTTTTGTTCTTGAGGCTTCCATAACGCTTCAAACATTAGTAGCATAGACCTAGATCTTTTTTTTTTTCTTTTCTTTTTTTTTCAATTGTCTTGCTGGTAAAAAGTATTCGATATGATCAAGTCCTTCTCCTTATACTTCTCTACTCGGCCTGTCGTGGTACTATTTACTACATAGCTAGGAGCAAGTGGCTTCATGAGTGGGAATGAGGCGGTTAATCAAGAGTTCAACATCGGATGTGACATGCAGCGGTTGAGAGGCTGCGCTCGGCATGTTGGGCCCATTGGTACTTGTTCAAGACACAACTATATTTTCCTAAGAAATCAATCAAGTTGTATTCCACGTACCAGAGCCAGGTCCATTGTAGTTAGGTATTCGGCATTGTAATCCAGGACGACATCATCTCATCAAGTGGTCATTGGCGCAGTAGGTGAAGATAACGTGTTTTATTTTATTTGGTTACGTACGACCGGATTAGGGCCACCTGAACTGCTCTTTCGAGACGACAGCAAGCCATTCAAATGCTTTGCTATCCCTCAGTAATCTCAACACATCTGAGTGGTCTCATCACTCTTTTCCAACATTATTTTTCTCGCCTACTGGCCGTTTTCCATTGTACCTGTGCCTCATTCCTGATTTGCCTCAGGTCGAATCACTTTTGAAAGTAATGCAAGGAGGGGTATCGTGCGAACGCCGCCCAAGACTGTCTCCAGCTGGCCATGAGGCCTTTGCTGAGAGGTATGCGGGGGGTATGTTTGTAAAGACGAAGGAAAAGAACAAGATTCTCTGACGCCAAAGGGAAAGGGAGGGGGACGAGTCAATACTCAAAATGTCCGACCTATGGGATACATTACGGCCGCTGGGAGATATGGACGAAGCTCAATCAGGCTCGTATCTCTTCCGTCATCTAGATCGAAACATTGCCTAGAGGCAAAATCTTTGACGGGTCGCCAGTGAAGCGATTGTGGTAGTCGACTATGCCCTTTGCAATGCTGGGGAAGTCCTTGATGTTCTGCGATCTCATCTCGTGCAACAATTTGCGCAATCCGTCGTTGAATTGCGCCTTCTCGGGCCCTTCCAGGGTCGTGCCGCCCAGCTGGAGGAGGATCTGGTCGTCTAAAGCGTGGGAGGCGACCGTCAGCGTTCAACATGCCTCGAGGACACGCAACGTGGTCATTAGTCCTTGCGGGGTGAAGGCGACCTACCCGGCAGCTTCATGGACTCGAAATGCTGGTAAATGCAGTCAGCACCCCGGGGGCAGTCCCGGCTGGCCAGCTGGTCTGGACAGATGGGCAGGTTCGGATCAATCCTGTTGCTGTAGGTGAGGGACCGAAGCCCGCCAGGGACGGTTTCAGCAAACTTGGGATGATATCGGTAAGCACGGAAATACTGCAGCGGACTCTCGTAAGGGGTGAAGCGCTCTCCGGACGACGATGCCTCATCAGAGCTCTGTGTGGCGGGCGGGGCCTAGCAATCAAATCAGTAACCGAAGCGCTTCTCTGGCGCGAAACGAGATGTACTTCTCTCACGGCGTTGACGCCCTGCTCAGGGGTCGACTCATTAACCCCCAGCGAGATCTGTTCAGGAATCTGTGAGGCTCTGGCACTCGATTGCTGTGAGTCAGTATCACTGTTGACAAGCGAAACAGCGCTGTCTGCTGCGATTAGGCTGGTGGAAGGAGATTTCGCGGCGGGTGCCGGAACAAAATTCTCAGGAGGCTCGTAGTCGTTCTCATGCTCTTGCTCGGATGAGCTCAAGTCATCGGACTCGGCCATGGCTACATCGGAGGCATCATCATTGGTGATTGGCTGTGACTCAACATCATCACCCGCAGTCTCAGGGTTGCTGGGTGTCTCATGAGGCATGGGGGTGTCTGTGGAGGTTGGGGCTTGCGAGGGGCTCATTGCGACTTTACCAGTGACCGCAATTTGGGCATCATATGCCGTGTTGGAAACGTCCCGGTCGAGACTCATTGCAGGAGACTTGCTGCGGCGCACGTTTGCAGCATTGTTCGATTGTTCAGCCGCTTTGCCGGAGCTCTGCTCAGCGTCTGCGGCAGCAGGCGTAGGAGTTTGAATCTTGGGTTGGGGACCTGTGGACGTTCCAGTGACAATCGGATCGACTTTGTTGCGTTTATACTTAGTCTAGGCCAAATGTGTTCAAGATGAAGACTCACCGGAATTGCTTTTGAGTTGATTTTGAGGCTCAGACGACTCGTCCGAGTCCTGTTCGAGCTGCTCCATCTCCTCCGTCAATTTTTGCTTTTCTGTCATCTCTTCTTCAATCTCTTTCTCCAGACGAGACATTTGCAGCTGAAGAAGGCGGAGCTTGCTCTTCTTCGTCTGCAGTCTGTTCTCGATGACAGGAAGGTTGGTGCTAGCAATCCGAAGCTTCTGAGCACGGCTAGAGTCACCATGAATGCGCTTATCTGACGGTTTGGGCAAGCGCAGTGAACTACTGGGCTCGGCGATCGCGGGTGACCGTTGGCCATTGGGCGGATCAGATGAATGAGAATCACCCATAGACTGGACTCTCCGCATACTTGGCTTGCCACCATCCGAATCAAGAGGAGTATCTGGGCTCTGCCCGGTCGACTTCTGGCCAACTGACTGGTTGCCCATAGCAGCTTTCAGCTTGGCGCGAGCCTCAGCCAAGGCAATTTTGCGCTTCATGGCCTCGATTTGTTTGTCCATGACGTCGATGTGAGCTTGCTTTGGTTGAGAGCCCACAGCGCCGGACTGAGGCGTGGTAGCACTGCTGGGAGCTGGGCTTGAGAGCTGACGTTGAGGAAGACCATCTGACAGGGGTGGAAAGTCGCGGAAGGACGCAGGTCTCAGAGATGGCGTGTCGTTTTGCTGAGTGCTCGAAGGTTCATCGGTGGGAGAGCCTATCTCCATCTCAATATCTTCATCATCAGACGCGTCACTAACATCGATGACAAAACGCTTGTCTTGCTGAGTATGGCCGAACGAGCGTTTATTGGCATGGGAATTGACCACGAAATCCGCTGCGACCGGTCTTTTGCGCTGGTTGTTGACGGGCGCAGGCTGGGGAGCAGATGTGAAAAGACCAGGTATAGTCGAAGCTTGGGCAGTCTGACGATCGGCCGATTGTTGCAGGGAATTGGGCCGAGTATAATGGTTTGTCGGCACCACGACTGGTACGTCAGCAGTTGCTGATTGAGGTCTGCGAGAAGGCTCGACTGGGGATGCCTCCTTTGACTGGGAAGCTTGCAAAGAGCCTTTGCGCTCCGCTGCCTTCTGAGCGCGGGCTTCACGGGATTTCTTCAGAGCATCCATCTTTTGTTGTTGGACAAGTTCCTTATCACTCTGCACCCCGGCTTGTGCACCTGCGTTGGTGGTTGAAGAAGCTGTCTTTGCACCCTTTGCAGCCAACAGGCGAGCAATGCGATCTTTTCTTTCTTCTCCTGCCGACTTCACTGCTGAAGGGGATGATTGTTGTTGGGCCGGGGGCTTAGGGGGCAGCGCTGGTTCGGATGTTTTGGCCTGGTGAGAGCCAGGCCGGCCAGGAGCATAAGAGAGCCCGGGCAATGACGGCGTGGCAGGAAGGCCTGGAATATAGGCTTGGCTGGGGGTATTGGTATCCAGCTTCAGGTCAGTCAAAAGGTCTTCAACGACGGTTTTGTCAATGCCCTCGTCGATAAAGTCTTGGTGGCGGACACCCAGGGGCCACAGGTTGAGAATTGCTGACCGAGCCCTCTGTCGAGCGTCCTCCACCGCATTCTTCCCTTGCTGCTGACCGGCGCCTGTCGCCAGAGGTTGATTGACCTGTCCGCCTGGGACATGCGCCTGGGGGGGAGCGCATTGTTGATCGTTTGGCGCCATGCGCGGGTTTACTTCGTGAGGAGACAGATGAGGAGAGTATGATCCGGACCGTTCTCGTTCTGGTGAGTGTTAGCATTAAACCCACACAAAATCCTTTTGCCAAAAAATAAATAAATAGCAATACGCACCATCATTATCCGCCACTGTAGGGTGCTTCACCCCACCATCCCTTGGACCTCCATAGGAATTGGCAATGGGATAACCGACGCTGTTATTACCATTCCGAGCGTTCGCTATCGCTGCATCCGGCACGTTTCGGCGTTGCTGGCGAGAGCTCGTCTCTGGAAGGGTCTCCTGTGGCTCGTACACATCATCGAGTTCGCCGTCAGAGAGTTCGCCTTCCTCGGCGTCGTTCGAGGTTTGCTTCGTAGGTCGCTTGGGCGCGGTTGGGGCAAGGGCACCAGAGGCGACGGGTGCCTGGGGCTTGGGGTAATTACCAGACTGATAATACTGCGACGCCGGGATGAGATTTGGGCCATCTCTCGGGGGCTGCCAGTGATGTGGAGGAGCTGGCAGCTGTTCCTGTGATTGCTGCCAACCAAAGCTCTGGGGAAGCTGAGGTAGATGGCCGTAGCCGCCAAGGCCGGGAATCATGATTTGACTCTGCTCGTATGGGGGCTGGGCGTGTGAAATAGCATCAAAGGCGTTGTCGGTGTGTTGAGGATATGCAGCCATATGTTGAGGGAAAGACGGTGCAGCCGGATAGGAGAATGGCTGCTGCTGTTGAGCAGGCGGCTGCCCTGGGTATGATGGGTACCCGAATGGGTAGTGATTGTTCATGGCGAGTAACTGCAACCGTGACTTCGTGCCTGTCTACCTTTGGATGGAAAGGCCCTTAAAGGTTCGAAGAAAGACTTTAGCCCAAAAGCAAAAGGCTCAGTTTAGTGGCAAGTGTCTGGTCGCAAAGATGCTGCCGATTTCTGCTTTAACCAATGTGGAGGTTTGTCTGGGAATTGCTGCGCTAGAGTGGAAAGAACAAGCTGGAATGATCTGGGTAAGTCGAGTTGGTGGGCAGGGGCGAAAGGAGCATGGCGGGGTGTTGGTGGTGAGAGATCAGGGTTGGCAGGTGATGTTGGAGTTGATCTGCTCTGCCTCGCGCCAAAAGGAGGGAGAATTTCACAGCGCGAAAAAAAAGCCCTTTTCGGAAAAAAAGGTCGTCGTGCACCTGCAGCGGTCAGCGATGGGCGCGTACCAGCGGCTATCCGAATTTGGATAATTTTAGAGAAAATTTCGCAGATGAAAGCGATGCAAAAATGCTCGTAAGTCTGTCTGCCTTGACCGTCCCGTCACAAAAAGATATGACTACAGGAATGCTGGACAACGTTGATGTCTTTGAACGTGGCGAGGAGCGTGTGGTGTCAGCTTCTAGGTTTGCGACCGCGATTGCGCCGGACGGAGGTTGGGGCGGCTCTCGGGCACTCTCGAAGACGGGCGGGATCCTGGGGCAGGAGTGGCAGGAGTGGCAGACACGGCAAGGGCAGGTCCAGAGGCAAACTGGGCCCGAGTCAAATCAATGGAAGTCGAGGCCGTGAGGTGCAGGGGTGGCCGTGGCCACTGAGGGGAGAGACTGGATCCCCATTATGCCTAGTCTGGTTAGTCTGACTTGAGACGGTCTCGCGTCACCTTTGAAGCCGGCGTCTGTCACGTGGGGGCCCCCTCCATTGTTTACTTTGCCCAGGCGTACCCTGAGCAACCGATCTCCTGAATCCCTGTTCTTTGTTAGTCCAGAGTCAACAATACAATATCCATCCTTACGTCGATTGTTCTTCCTCCACTTCCCAGCCTCCCCAAGATTGCCTTGATCTCGTCTTTCCGTCACTGGCAATTTCGTCCAAGAGGTTGCGATCCAGCGACGTCTTTCGTATTGTTTTCTTTCAGAGTTTCGTCGTTCCGTTGTCCTTCGTCAGCTTTGCTTCTGTCTTAATGTGTACTCTATGAGCAGGACCATCCACGAGAGACGATTTGCGACCAACGACACGAACCCAACACGACACGCCGCCCCGAGGGCTGCGCTCTTCTGACGATACCATACCTTTTCCCATAGCGCTCAAATCATGGCGCAACCACGGAATAATCCTTTTGCTAGGACCTCGCCCGGTCCTACCAGCGGCCGGCCGAAATCCGCAGTCTTCTCATCCCCATCTCCGTTGTCGGCCGTCACCACCCCCGTATCGCACGTCAGGAACCCCTCCACTGCTTCAGCAGCACCCGCAGCGCCTGCGGCATCTGCAGCTCCCATCATCTTCTCAGGCACCGGCCACTTTCGCCACAATCGCTCCGACTCGAGGAACAGTGGCTCCGGGACCTTTGCGCCGTCGTTCATCAAGACTGAGGAGATGCGTCGGGGTTCTGACACGGTGAAGGGCATCGAGGGCGAGAATGACTTCTCAGGAAAGCGTTATGTGTGGCTTAAGGACCCGCAAGCTGCTTTCGTGAGGGGCTGGGTGGTTGAGGAGACAGGAGGCAACAAATTACTCGTTCAATGCGACGATGGTACAGTGAGTATTGTGGTCTGCCCTCCATGTATGGTCGCGGCATAGCTAACACGCGAACTACAGCAACGAGAAGTTGACGCCGAAAGCGTCGACAAGGTCAATCCCGCCAAGTTCGACAAGGCCAACGATATGGCTGAATTGACCCATCTGAACGAGGCGTCCGTGGTCCATAACCTCCACATGCGGTACCAGGCCGACCTGATTTACACCTATTCCGGCCTCTTCTTAGTCACAGTCAACCCTTACTGTCCGCTACCAATTTACACAAACGAGTATATCAATATGTACAAGGGGAGGAGTAGGGAGGACACCAAACCACACATCTATGCCATGGCCGACCATGCCTTCCGCAATTTGGTGGACGAAGGCGAGAATCAGAGCATTCTTGTCACCGGCGAGTCCGGTGCTGGTAAAACCGAGAACACCAAGAAGGTGATCCAGTACCTTGCCGCCGTCGCCCACTCGGAGTCACCCGTGAGGAATAAATCTCCGCAGCCCAACCTGTCACAACAGATCCTCCGAGCCAACCCTATTCTTGAAGCTTTTGGTAACGCACAGACGGTCCGAAATAACAACTCTTCACGATTTGGAAAGTTCATCCGCATCGAGTTCAACAAGGCTGGTGCCATATCTGGCGCCTTCATCGACTGGTATCTCTTGGAGAAGTCTCGGGTGGTGAGAATCAACGGACATGAGAGAAACTATCACATCTTCTACCAGCTTCTCAAGGGAGCAGACAGGAAGCTGAAGCAGGAGTTTCTTCTTGACGGCTTGGATGTCGAGGACTTTGCTTACACCCGCGCTGGCCACGACACAATTGTGGGCGTCTCCGACCGGGAGGAGTGGGACTCGTTGATGGAGGCCTTCAACGTCATGGGCTTCTCAGACAAGGACCAGAACTCAATCATTCGCACCATCGCCGCGGTGCTGCATCTCGGAAACATTTCTGTTGTCAAGGAAAGCCGCGCCGCAGATCAAGCACGGCTGGCCCCTGATGCCAAGGAACAGGCAGCCAAGGTGTGCAAGCTGCTCGGCGTTCCACTCGAGCCATTTCTGCAAGGCTTGCTTCACCCCAGAGTCAAGGCTGGGCGCGAATGGGTTGAAAAGGTCCAGACTCCTGAGCAGGTCCGGCTGGGACTGGACGCGCTGTCCAAAGGTATCTACGAGAGGGGTTTCGGCAACCTCGTAACTCGCATCAACCGTCAGCTGGACCGCTCAGGCATGGGCATGGACGACTCACGCTTCATTGGCGTCCTAGATATCGCTGGTTTCGAAATATTCGAAGAGAACAGCTTTGAGCAGCTTTGCATCAACTACACCAACGAAAAGCTCCAACAGTTCTTCAACCATCACATGTTTGTCCTCGAGCAGGAGGAGTACGCGAGGGAACAGATTGAATGGCAGTTCATTGACTTTGGGCGTGATCTTCAGCCAACGATCGATCTCATCGAATTACCCAATCCCATTGGTATCTTCTCTTGCTTGGACGAAGACTGTGTCATGCCCAAGGCGACGGACAAGTCTTTCACCGAAAAGCTCAACTCCCTGTGGGACAAGAAGTCGAACAAATACCGCCCTTCCCGACTCGGCCAAGGCTTTATTCTCACACATTATGCGGCGGAAGTCGAATACTCCACCGAAACCTGGCTAGAGAAGAACAAGGACCCCCTGAATGATAACATCACTCGCCTGCTTGCTTCTTCTACAGACAAGCACATTGCCGATCTATTCGCTGACTGCGCCGACGTGGACGACGATCTAGGTGCCAGCCGCAACCGCGTCAAGAAGGGCTTGTTCCGAACCGTGGCACAGCGCCACAAGGAGCAGCTCCACAGTCTGATGGCACAGCTCCATTCCACTCATCCTCACTTCGTCCGATGCATTCTGCCAAATCACAAGAAGAAGTCGAAACAGTTTAACAAATTGCTCGTTCTTGATCAGCTGCGATGCAACGGTGTTCTCGAGGGAATTCGTATTGCCCGGACTGGCTTTCCCAACCGCCTTCCTTTTGCTGAGTTCCGTCAACGCTACGAAGTTCTTTGCAGAGACATGCCCAAGGGCTACCAAGAGGGTCAAGCTGTGGCGGCAATGATGCTTGAGAAGCTTGGCCTAGACAGAAGCTTGTACCGCGTGGGCCTTACGAAGGTCTTCTTCCGAGCTGGCGTGTTGGCTGAACTGGAAGAGCAGCGTGATGCTCTTATCACTGAAATCATGTCTCGTTTCCAGTCAGTTGCACGTGGCTACATCCAGCGGCGAGTTGCTTACAAGAGACTGTTCCGGACTGAGGCTACCCGCATCATCCAGAGAAACTTCAACACCTACCTTGACCTGATGGAGAATCCGTGGTGGCAGCTTGTCAGCAAGATGAAGCCACTCTTGGGAGCTACACGTAGCGCAACAGAGGTCAAGAAGAGAGATGCGATGATTCGCCAGCTCCAAGACAAGATGAAACAAGAGTCTGATGACCGCCACAAGCTTGAGGAGGACCGCCGGAACGTACACAACGAGATGGTCCGAATCCAGCAGACATTGGAGAGTGAACGCGCCCTCGCTTTAGACAAGGAAGAGATCTTCAAACGTCTACGAGTGAGAGAAGCGGAACTCGAAGAGAAGCTCTCCGGCGCCATAGAAGACCAAGAGAGGTTGGAGGACCAACTCGACGATCTGCTGGAAGCCAAGAAGAGGGCCGAGCACGATGTTGAGAAGTACCGGGCTCAGCTGGAGCAAGCAGCTCTGCTTATCGCAAGGCTGGAGCAGGAAAAGTCAGAGCTCTCGGAACGGACCGAGGAGTTGGAGCGCTCTATCAAAGAAATCTCGCAAAAGCAATCAGAGCGTAGTGAACAGGAAAGACTGCTTGAGGATGAGATCAAAATGTTGCAGAGCCAGCTCAACCTCAAGGATCGAAAAGCACGAGACTTGGAGAGCAAGCTCCTCCAGATCGACCAGGACCTCGAGGTCAAGTTGCGAACAGCACAGAAAGAACTGCAGACGTCAAAATCGAGAGAATCCCAGCTCGCTCTCGAGAACCGTCAGGTGCAGCAGCAGCTCTCTGAACTGTCCAAAACTTCAACAGATTACGAAGACCTTGTTCGCAAGAAGGAGAGTGAATTATCCGTGCTTCGGGGCGACAACAAGAAGTTTGAGATGGAACGCCGCACTTTTGAGGAGCAGAAGAAGGTCCTCGTGTCTGAGAAGGAGATTGCTGCATCCAAGCTTCGCGAAGTTCAGGCCGAGATAACAGCCATCAGATCACAGCAATCTCAGCTGGAGAGGGAAGCCGAAGATGCCAAAAAACTTCTTGAAACGCGGCTTTCTGAGGATGCTCAAGCAGACGAAAACCGCCAAGTATTGGAGGCTCAGATCAAGGACCTCAAGGATGAGCTCTTCAACATCCAAAAGGAGCTCAGCAGAGAGCGGCAATCGCGCGATGATGTTTTGCTTCTGAGCGAGCACAAGTTCAACGCCCTGCAAGAAGAGTACGATCATCTGAACGAATCGAAGATCATTATAGAAAAAGAGCTGTACGTTCAGCAAGATAATCTGCGTCGAACCAAGGAGGCTCGCGATACCGCAGAACGGGAACGCGATGAAGCGAGACAGGAGATCAGACGTCTCCGTGTCGCCAAGACCCAAGCCGAGGAAGTTCGTATGCAAGCAGAGATTGAAGGTGAGCGGGCTGCTTCTCGTGCTGCTCGTGAGAGAGAGGAAAGCCTACGAAAGGATCTCGAGGCCGCTCAGGAACGGTTGAAATGGTTCGACGACGAGTGTGCCAACCTCAATCATCAAGTCGAGGACCTCAATAAGCTTATCCTCTCTTCTGGAGAGTTTGGTCTCAAGAACGATCAGGAGAAGGAGAGACTCGAGCGGGAGTTGGTCACTGTCAAGGGTCGCCTCAAAGCCTCGGAGAATGACAACCGCGCTCTTCTCAACAAGCTTCAGCAAAAGGGGCTGGAAATTGCTCGCTCAAGTTCGAGAGCCAGCGAAGCTTCGAGGAGTCAAGTTCTGGGTTTGCAACGTGAAAAGACCCGAGCTGATGAGCAAAACGCGCAGCTGAATAAGCAGCTTGGTGAAGCTCAATTTACCATTGCAGGTCTCGAGAAGAAGGCAGAGAAGTTGCAACTCAACCTGGAGGATCTGAATCATGAGGTGGCCCGGGAAGCCAAGGCGTCGAGGAATGCCGAAAAGGCGGCATCGACAGCCACGGCGCAACTCACGGAGGCAAATCGCACCATCGAATCTGAACGCCAGCTCCGCTCACAGGCTCAGACTACTGTCCGAACTCTACAAGCTACCATGGAAAGTAGGGAGAAGGAATTGCAAGAGTTGAGGGCGCAGATGCTCAAGGTCCTTAAGACGGTCGATCCCGACGTTGTTGTCCCGCCTCAAGCAGACGGCACAAACGAGGGCGTGCTTAGCAAGAACTTCGATCTGGTTAGAAAAGTCGAGGATCTCCAGCAAAACCTTCGAGTCCAGACGGCTGCTAGAACAAACGCCGAAACCCAGTTGGCCGAGCTGCGCTCTACTCGCATGGAATCTCCCATGAGACCCAAGTTGGAAGAGATCAGCCCTAACGAGGCTCCTTTCAATGGCTCGCCCACCTTCCGGCGGTCCAAGATGCAGAACCGCCAGTACTCGAACAATTCGACACCAACTCGGCGTTTTGAGCCAGAGAATATGGACTCGGCTCGCTCCGATAAGACTGCGGATATCCTGAGCTTCAACAATCGCATGGATCTCAAGGCCGAGGTCGAGGAGTTGCAGAACCAGCTTCAGATTGCCGAAATGCAAAATCGACACCTCCAAAGCCAAGTCAAGCGTGGCTCCTCACCCCCAGAGGAGTTTGACGAAAATTCCTCTGTCCTTCGCGTGCAAAAGTTGGAAAAGGTCAACAGCCGCCTGCACGACATGCTGGACGACTCAGCCAGGAAAGTGTCGGCTCTGGAGAGGAGCGTGAGGACTGGCGAGTTGTCCCTGCGTGATATTCAGACCCGTTCGCACGAAGAGATTCTGGACGCGCTCAACAGCCAAGAAGAGGCGCGTCGCTCACTTCTGCATAGTCACAGGGATGCCATCTCGGAGCTGTCGGACGTTAAGAACCATTTCGAACGGATGCGCCACGACCGAGCTGCCCTCGAAGTCGAGCTTCGTGACACCACATCCGAACTCGAGGAAATGACCCTGGCTCGCGAACAAGAGGCTGCCAGCCGGAGCCAGCTTTTGCAGGAGTTCTCCGATCTGCAAATTCAACTCGATAACCAGACTTCCAAACTGGCCGACGTTGGGTCCAGCTTGAACTTGTACAAGAGTCGTGCTGATGAATACTTCAGTAAACTGGAGCAAGCCGAGATTGCGGTCTTGAAGGCCAACCGAGCGGAGTTGTTTGCCAAGACGCAGGCTAAGGAGGCTGAGGAAACCTACGCCGAGGTCATGTCTGAAAGAGAAAAGATGGATGCCGCCATTGAGGACCTGCAACGTCAAAACCAGAGGCTCGAAGAGAAGCTCGAGGATGTTTCGACCGATCTAGATGCCGCGAGCCAAGCTAAGAAGCGCCTTCAGCACGAGCTCGAGGATTACAGGAACCAGAGAGCCAATGACATCGAAGACAAGGAAACTAGCATGGAACAAACCCGCAAGAAGTACCAAGCCGAGTTTGCCACATTGACCAAGGAACTGGATCTGGCCCGAGAGGAGAAACTTTTCAAGCAAGCCGAGATCGCCCGCTTGCGCGAGGAGCTTGATGAGCTCCGCTCTAAGTGGGACGACGAAGTTCTCAACAGCTCGACTTGGTCCAAAGAGAAGGCCCGCCTGGAGTCAACTCTAGCCGATGTCGTGTCGTCACGCGATGAGGCGGTCAACGCTCACAGCGAGGCTCAAGGCAAGGTCGTGACTTTGCTTTCTCAGGTTCGGTCCCTCCGCGCGTCAGTGGACGAAGTGACTTCTGAGCGAGACCTTCTCGTTCGAGAGAAGCGTAGCATCGAGGCTCGCCTAGAGGAAGCCAAGGCTGGTCTGGAAGATCTCACCAACGGGGATAGCGCATCCCTGCGTGATGCCGCCAACCTCGACAAAGAAATGTTAGAATTGAAGTCCAGCCTGGCCCAGCATGAAGATATTGCAGCCGCCGCGGTGGAGAAGATGAGACGTGCTGAGGCATTGGCATCGGAAATGCAGAAGGAGGCCATGGTCGAGCGCGAGGCTAGCACGCAGCTCCAGAAGGTGAAGGCCACCCTGGAGAAGTCTTTAAACGAGATTCAGATCAAATTGGTCGACCTCGAGACCAAGGGCTACTCCAGCGCAAGCCAAGATATCAAATTCCTGCACAAGCGCATCCAAGAGGTAAGAATAGGAGCACCAACCACAAGACCGCGACGCTCAAACAGTCACTAACAATGCAAACCAGCTTGAGTCTCAGCTCGAGGAGCACGAGAATGAGAAGAACAAGTCTCAGCGATCGGTTCGCAATGTTGACCGGATCGTCAAGGACCTCCAAGGTCAGATCGACCGCAAGGATAAGCAGAACACGCAGCTGCAGGATGACGTTGCCCGAATGCGCGACAAGGCGGAGAAGCTCCTGCAGACGATTGAGGAGCTTCAGTCGTCCGAGTCAGAGAACCAGCTTCAGGCACGCCGTGCTGAGCGGGAACTTCGCGAGGAGAAGGAGAGGTCGATGCGCCTGGAGCGTGAGCTCGAAGGCATCAAGGCGTTGAGGTTCGAAAAGGGAGCGGCATCCGCCATGGGGAGCGTTCGCGGTGCGTGGCGCACAGGGTTCAGTGTCGAGGATGATGCCGCCTCCATGATTTCTGTACCCAAGCGGAAGAGCAGCCTTAGTCGAGCACCGAGTCTCACCAAGGGGTTCTTGTGAAAGGGACAGGTGTGTGGTTATGATATCGATGTATGGAGAAAAGACGCTGTAATGTTTAAATGGGTCTGACGAGCACGGGTTGATTTGGCGTTGAAGCCATGGCCTGCAAAGGTCTGGGGGAACGGAGCGTGCGCTTGGTTGCGAAAGGCTTGGTGCTATGGTGTTTTCTGTTGTATACGTACAGCATCGAGGTGTCTGGGATCGGTTTGCGCTTGATTCACTGTTGGTCAAAATTACATATTTCCAGTTGCTTTAGGGAACGAATAGATTCAGAAGTTGAAAGAGAAATCCAGACGTATACACATGCAAGGGCAGCTGGAGCCGGCCATCTCCTTCCTCACCGCTGGATTCCTCGTGAATGTTTGTTTGGCTGGTGGTTGTACTTGGGTGACCTCGGACATGCGGGTAGCCGGGACATCTGGAAAGGAGGAGAAAGTCCAGCGATGGGGCCAACAAAACGGGAGGGGTAGCCGCTGTTCTCTCCATCGCAATTGGGGAACTTTGTCTTAGTTGTTACCTCTTTACGTTTGAAGCAGAATCGGCCTCTTCATTTAGAGGTCAGCTTGGGATTGGACGACTTTACTAGACTCGACTACATTACCCGACGCGATACTTCGAAAGTTTGAAGCACCATTTCTGTGGAGATGGGATCGGCGAACAGCCACGAGGTCCGAAGGATCGTTGACGACGCCGTTGTTGCTCTGCGGTCTGAGCAGGACTTTCGGCATCGAGGACGGGTTGGGATCGCTGATGGTGGTGTCGGGGGCGAGGTGATTTGTCTTGATGACGACGGGGTTGTTGATGAAGGGGTTGATGTGGGCGGCAGCGGTGGTGGGTATTATTATTACGACGATGATGATGGGGGTGATGGTACCTCGGATTCGGAATCGAGTTTGGATGGAGATGGGTGTAGGGGGTGTTGGGAGGAAGATGGTTGTTGTTTTGAGATGGTGGAGTGTTGTGCTGGTGATGGTGATTGTTGTTTCGGAGGGGGTGAAAGGGGACGATGTGGGAGTGGATGGGAGGTCGGTGGGAGGACGACGAGGGAGACGAGGGGAAGGAGGAAGTGTAAGAAGTGCAAGAAGTGCAAGAAGAAGAAGGAAGAGGAGGGAAAGGGGTTCTGGAGTGCGTGTTATCCTGTCAAAAAGCGAGGGGAGTGGGGTGGTGATATTGTAGGGATTTCGAGGTGTCCTGGCGAGGTAAGTTCTCTCATATACCCCCTTTTTTTCGTTCATCTTGCCTCGGTACTTTGATGAATATAGCTGATGCCGTGGAATAAAAACAGCAAGATCCAAAGAAGTGGGGTTTCAAAGTCGATGACCAACTACGCGGACCACGCGGGTGTCTCTCGGGATCCCCTGGCGGTGCGGTGACGAGACACGTCTGCGCCGGGACCGGCTCGTGTGGGGACTTGAGACGGCCGTGTACGGAATCGGGATCTCGACAAAGACTACGGCGAGGACGGCGGCTTGGGTTGAGATACGGACCGAGGGGAGGAGGGCATGGTGGGGAGCTGCGCCATGATGATGATGGGGAGGTGGCGGGGGAGGAGTTACGCCGGGGACGGGGTCGGGGTCGATGGCGGGCGTTATCTTTTGAAGAGTTTGAGGCTTCTCCAAGGCAGAGGAGGAGGAGGAGCAGATCACGGGATGGGGGGAGGTATGTTCGTGAGAGGGTTCGCTATCGGTATATTCGTCGCGATGGCGATGATGGGGGGAGATTTAGGGGCGGAAGGAGTAGGAGCAGGAGCAGGAGTGTGACCAGGAGTAGGAGTAGGACCGTGAGGAGAGGGGAGAGCAGTGATAGCAGGGGCGTGTATTATATGCGTGGTGGATTGGGGGGTGGGGGTGAGGGTGAGCGGGGCAGGAGGTTTAGGGATGGCGGTTATAATGATGATCGGGGTGTTGATGGTCGTGGACGTGGTGATGGTCGAGGACGGGGTACCGTCGAAGGAGAAAGTAGGAGGCGGGCGAGGAGTTATGAGAGGAGGTCGGATGTCAGTGAGAGGGTTGGGGAGATGGATGATCGGTCCCAGGGGAGTTCGTATGCTCTGGGAGAAAGGGAGAGGATGGCCGTGGTCAGGAGGGAAGACGTGGCGAAAGCAGTCCGTTTTGAGGAGTGAAGTAGCGAACGACTGTCATGATGTCAAGATCGCGAGAGAATTTGAGTACGACTTTTCGTGAGGTTCACTACAGAAGTCTTGCACAGGCACGGAGTTCAGTGATATACCGACGTAATCATATGATATATAATATTTCATTCAAATAGCCTCCCGTCTCACATGGTCTCATTATATCCGTCATCAATCTCTTCATGGAATTATGTTGGCCCCTCTTCACCTCACTCCAACAAAAACCTCTCTCACCGCACATGCGCCGGCACCTTTTCGTAGCTCTTCACCTGGTCGGGCATGCGGTAGATGCACAGCTCCCGACAGAACATGCCCCACTCGCCGCTGGTGCCCTCCCGGACGGCCTCCTGCATATCGCGGCCGTACCGCTCCCGGTAGGCCCGCTTGATGGCCTCGAGGTGGTGGCGGTCCCAGTGGAAGCGGACGAGGCGCGAGATGAGCAGCTCGCGCCGCAGGTCGTCCTTGCGGCTCGCCGTGAGGGCGTGGTGGACCAGAAGGGCGTCGCGGACGGGTCTGTTAATGACGCCGTTGAGCACGTGGGCGAGGAGTTCTCCCTGGAAAAGTGTGTTAGCTACCTTACTCAAGGTCTCATAAGTGCGTGGGTGTGTGTGATCCACGTGGATTCAACTCACCACCAGGTTACCGCTCTTCTTGAGCGCGTCGCGGGCAAAGTTGGCCCGGTACGTCCGCTCGTACAGTTTGAGCACCTCGCGCAGATGCGAGTCGCTCCTCTGGACGACGATGCTAATCATGAGCGACTCGCCGCCCTTTTCCGACTTGACGGCCTTGCGCAGGTCGGCGACGTCGTCCTCGACCGAGTTGTAGTCAATGGCCAGGCGGCGGCCGTAGGGGTCATACTCCTCCATCCTGCGCTCCTCGAGCACCATGAGGACGGCCTTTTTAAACTTGTCCTCTTTCAGCTCCGTCTTCATGCACTTTGTGAGGCTGTTGTCGTACTTTTTGTCGCTGAACCCGTCCTTGATGAGGCGGATCTCGTGGTTCGTGCGGCCCATGAGCGACTCGATGAGCAGCTCCCGGCGCGTCTTGTCGCCCTGGTACCAAAAGTTGGCCCAGTACGCCTCGCTCTCCCACTGGCCCAGCGCCGTGGCGTAGCAGGCCTTCATCAGGTTCGGGTCGGCGTCCTTGAGGCGGGAGCGGATGTGCTTGGCCACGTTGACGCCCTTGCGGTCGGCGCCCGTCTTGACGAGCGCCTTGTACTCCTTGCGGAGGTCCATGACCTGGTCGTGGGTGAGGCCCGGCAGGATCTCAATCAGGGGCTCCGGGTCGGGGTTTTTCCTGTCGCTGCGCAGCGCCTTTGCGATTCTTGATGCATCGTCTTCAATGTCGTGGAACCGCGCCCGGCGGCGTCGCCTGCCCTCGTCGTCGGAGCCGATTGGAGAGAGGGGCTCCGTGACCTGCAGGTCGTGTGATGAGGGGAGCAGCATGGGTGATGGCATGGGTGACATGTCCTGATAGGTGCCGTGGTACGACTCCAGCAGCGGCGATCCCGGCGCGTTCGCCAGCGACATGTTTACATTCATGGAGTGGTGGCCAGTGTTTACAGACAAGTTGGACATGCGGTGGGTAGGCGGCTGGGGCGACTTGTCCCGCTTGCGGCTGCCGGGCTCGACGGTCAAGACATTGGACGAGACCCGCGGGTCGTTGGCGTAGTACTGCGCGGCTCCGGCCGAGATCTGTGGTCCCGGACTCGGTGCGCGACCAGAGTATCGGGGCTCAGGGGCCAGGCCGCCAGGCCTAGAGGCGTTGGGGTCGAAGCCGTACGCAAGGTTCTCCTCCAGAGCCTTCTTCTTCTCCTCCTTCTTTCTGGCCTTGTCGTCGGTTTTTGCGTATTCGTAGGGCTGCGGCTGAGCGTAAGCGTAGCCGCCGGGCGACACGGGGCGAGGGGGCTTCGGTGGGGGGTATAGGTCACCCGCCTCAGGACGAGGCGGTTTGGAGGGCGCGTACTCGGCCTCGTTGCCGTATTTGCTGTTGCTGCGCCCGTGACTGCTGTACTTTGCGGGCAAATACTTTAGTTTGTCTTCGTCGCGGGGGTCATCGTACTTTTCGCGCGAGTTGCGGTAGTAGTTGTCTTGCGGGGACTGGGGCGGACGGTAAGCAGGATTGGCGCCGCGCGGGTCGTCGTAGTCGTAGAGTGACCTGGTGCCTGGAAACATTGCGTCGCTGCTGTCCTCAGGGTAAGGGATAGCTCCCGACATGGCGCGGCTGGCACCCGGCTCCGCGGTGACGACGTGGGCGCCTCCTCTCTCGCGTCCGTATCTGCCTCCGTCGAGATCATCTTCCGGGTAAGCGTAGCTGGGTTCGCGCGGGGGATCAACCATGGCGGGGACCGCGGGGCTTCGACTGCGCTCGCGACGGCCTGGGGAGCGCGAACGGGTGCGACGGCCTCGGTCGTCAACCTGGAGAGACATGGTGGTTGCTTGGAGTTTTTGGGCAGCCGAACTAGGTTTGTCGCTGTCTGGCTTGACTGCCAAAGCACGAGCTGATGGGAATCGAGGTGGGGTTTTGGAGCTCGCGAGTTGAGACAAAACGTGCGGGACAGGGAGTGAGGGGTTCTCTCTGGCGAAAGGTGGGACAGGGACTGTAGGGCGATGTGAGCTCCTCTTTTTTCCTCTTATATATCAGATGGAGAGAAGATGAGATGTCGCGTGCCTCTTGTGGACTTCAATTGAGCAGCGCACGGCCGACTTCAAGTACTTGTGCTGATCTTGGAGCCTCGGGAAGCGGGTTGGATACGAAACGAAGGACAAGGAGGCTGTGGATGCATGTAAAAGAAAAGAAAATGGGACGGCAGAGGGAAGGAACAGACACACTAAGGTAAGGTAAGGCATGGGAAAATGGGGTGAGTGAGCATGAGCAAGCCACCGAAAAGGAGAAGAGTTGGGCTGAAGGATATGAAACCCACCCAGTTGCATGGCGTCTCTTCCCGTCCTGACCAGAGCGGCATCAGCAGTAGCAGCAGCAACGGCTGCGGTACCATGCAGTAAGCTAATGGAGCTCGCGTCGTCCCCTGTCCTCAGTGGCTAGCTTGGCGGGAAATGCGTCGTATGGGCTGCTAGCGAGTAATGCTTCATGACATTACCCGCAGCACCGGCCTGGCATCATGAGGTAGCCGTGTCTCTTGGATCTGCTGATCATTCTTGTTTGTCTAAACCGTCAGGCGCTAATGGCTGTGTGGTTGCGCCGGTTGGTCCAATGGCTGGCGATGGCCTCAATCTAAGGGGCCCTGAAAAGGGTCAACACCATTCTGTCGTACTGCGTGCACCAACTTCCAAGACCCCTCCGAAAGGCCAGGAGGCGGGATGGATGTGGACCTGAGAGGAGGGCTGTGAACGACGGCAAGTCCGTGGCAACGGGGTCCTCCAAGGAAGCTAAGATCTCCGAGCCCGTGGGCGGCGGCGGCGGGAAGAGGGGGATACGGGGAGCCTCTGCGAAATCGAGAGCGATTCCCAGCGGCCCGTCTTGTATTGTGATGACATGCTGCAGCGGAGCGGGGCCGGGATCCCCGCCGTGCTGCCCTACTCGTCCTATCAACACGCTCTCGCTGCGGACGCTGCAAGGGCCTCTGGGGGGCTGAACGAGTGCATGCTGCCGGTGCTGCGGCATTGACGCTAGAAATCGGTCGACGACTTCGGCTCGGCTGCGAGTCTGTTGACTTAGGTAATCTGTATTTCTTATGTAAGACATGGGGAACCGGAGACTTTCGGCCATAGGCTGGGCCGCCGTTCGTTGTTGCTGCGCAATCGGGTTATCGGGATAAGCCGGCTGCACGGGCCACTATCAGTCTCCACAGTACCAGAGCTCCCCAACGGAACGAATTCGGAGGTGATGGAACTCCTGTTAATTATTGAGCCGGGGGAAAAACGAGTCCTTTTTTTTCTTACCTCTTCTCGTCCTTGGAGATCTTGAGTTGATTTGGCAATAACTTCACGCACTCCTCTTCATCACCCCTCGAGGTCCTCACGCTTCAATTGGTTTGGAATAAGCTCGAATTTGTGACTTGGACCGCTGTTTTTTATTCTCCAAAAACCCCTTCTCCAACCGCGAATAGAAAAAACGCCCGCCATGCTTCGATCGGCACCAGCTCGTCGCGCCGCTTCCGGCCTGGCGAACACACGGCTTACCGTTATGCCGAGGACATGCGCAAAGAGCCTCTCCACATGCTCGACCCGATACACCTCCTCTTCCCCCGCAGCTCTTTACCCCGCGGCGAACTCCAGATCAACAAACCTCACCAGCCCTTTCTCCCTCCAGCGAAGCCTTCACACCACCGCTCCCCGAATGGCCGAAACCCGTACCGAGAGCGACGCCTTTGGCGAGATCCAGGTCCCCGCGGACAAGTATTGGGGCGCCCAGACTGAGCGTTCTCTCGAGAACTTCAAGATCAACCAACCCCAGGATCGCATGCCGCCCCCGATCGTCAAGGCCTTTGGCATCCTCAAGGGCGCTGCCGCCACCGTCAATATGCGCTACGGCCTCGACGAGAAGATTGGCAAGGCCATCCAGCAGGCCGCCGCTGAGGTCGCCGAGGGCAAGCTGCTCGACCACTTCCCCCTCGTCGTCTGGCAGACCGGCTCCGGCACCCAGTCCAACATGAATGCCAACGAGGTCATCTCCAACCGCGCCATCGAGATCCTCGGCGGCGTCAAGGGCAGCAAGAAGCCCGTCCACCCCAACGACCACGTCAACCGCTCCGCCTCCTCCAACGACACCTTCCCCACCGTCATGCACATCGCCGCCGTCCTCGAGATCGAGCAGGAGCTGATCCCCTCCCTCAAGAGCCTCCGCGATGCTCTGCAGAAGAAGGTTGACGAGTTCGACGCTAAGCAGATCATCAAGATTGGCCGCACCCACTTGCAGGATGCCACCCCCTTGACCCTCGGTCAGGAGTTCTCCGGATACGTCGCCCAGCTCAGCCAGAGCATCAAGAGAGTCGAGTCCTCCCTGCCCGACCTGCGCCAGCTCGCCCAGGGCGGCACCGCCGTCGGCACCGGCATCAACACCTTCCAGGGCTTCGCCGAGGGCATCGCCGAGGAGGTCTCCAAGATGACGGGCACGAAGTTCGAGACCGCCCCCAACAAGTTCGAGGCCCTCGCTGCCCACGACGCGATCGTCCAGGCCCACGGCTCCCTCAACACCCTCGCCGCCTCCCTCTCCAAGATCGCCCAGGACATCCGCTACCTCGGCAGCGGCCCCCGCTGCGGTCTCGGCGAGCTCAACCTCCCCGAGAACGAGCCCGGCAGCTCCATCATGCCCGGCAAGGTCAACCCTACCCAGTGCGAGGCCCTCACCATGGTCTGCGCCCAGGTCATGGGCAACCACGTCGCCACCACCATCGGCGGCATGAACGGCCAGTTCGAGCTCAACGTCTACAAGCCCCTGGTCATCCGCAACCTCCTTCACAGCGTCCGCATCCTCTCCGACGGCATGCGCTCCTTTGAGAAGAACCTCGTCGTCGGCCTCCAGGCCAACGAGGAGAAGATTGCCAGCATCATGAAGGAGTCGTAAGTCACCAATGTCGTCCAGTGTTTTATTTGTATCATATTCGCTAACATTTGACAGCCTCATGCTGGTTACCACCCTCAACCCCAAGATTGGCTACGACATGGCCTCCAAGGTCGCCAAGAACGCGCACAAGAAGGGCCTCACCCTCAAGGAGTCCGCCCTCGAGCTCAACGCTCTCTCCGAGGAGGACTTTGACAAGCTCGTCCGCCCCGAGCTCATGATTGGCCCCAGCGCTTACAAGCAGTAGAGGCCCTCATATGTGTTGATGCTGTTATTGTTGATATAAAGTGGAGAGCTAATCAAAACCCACCCCACGCCTTGTGTAAAACTACCTTACGTAACGATATCCTGTTACCTGTGAAAAGGGAAACAATGCGGTCTTGAGCGATCCGTGTTTGTAGAAATGAACTCGTAGAAGAAAGAAATATATTATGACACTTCAAAATTCCACATCATGAAAGATGAATTAAGACCTAAGCTGACCCCGCCATTTCACATGTGATAAAATCTCATACCCCGCATCCCACGCGCCACATGGGCTGTCAGAAGCTGTCTCTCCGTTCGGATGGGGGAATCATCTCGCATGCGTGGGCTTAAGCGCAGCCCGTCCCGAATTGTACAGACGACATGTGTCGTATGTGGAAGTTTGCCTGTGTAAAGCAAGCTTTGCACGGTCACAAATAGTCAAGGCTCGCCGCGGATCCTGCTCCACAATCCATAGAGACTCAGTTTGAACAATAAACCTTCGCTTGTGGGAGCGACTCATTGTGAAAAGTGGAGAGCCGAGCGTAAGATGTCTAAGAGTAGGAAGTTCAGGCCACGAGTTTCAAGGCAAAAGTCCCGGGAAGGTTGAGGGCTGGACTGTTTGGGTTTGAATTTTCGTGAGACCGTACGAGTTACCGAATCGAGACGGAGGTTGCCACGGTACCGTAATGCCATTGGTCGAACTGCCCTCGCCGTGGACAGGAAGTCTCAACGTCAAGTTGACAGCCACGAGCAGCCTGATTCACTTTGTGAGAGTGGCATTCACTGGCGGTGCATTGAATGATTATCTGCAGTTGTCGGGGTTTGCGTCAAGATTGGAGCAGACATTTGCGTCGGAGAGCGAACTGTATCTGGGTTCTTGCGCGATCCTCGCCCTACCTTGGGTGCCTTTGATTGAAAAGATTCGGTGCAGGTCAACAAGCTGTACCATATGACATAGCGTACTTCCTACCACGGAATCGCACGAGCGGATCAAGTGAAACATTCTGTAAATCATCGATAAGAAACCCCAAGGGATCAATCATACAAATCATATGTGCAGCCTGGCTTAAGCAGGACGAATACTTCATTTCCACGTCTGATTCCAAGGTAGTCAAACGCCCTGTAGTTCTTGAATCGCGGCTGTAACCAGTTCGCATACCATCTCTTGCCCCTGTAGAATGTGCCGTGCATCATCAAAATTCTAACCGCAGACTAAATGGTCTAAAAGAGTCATTCTGGATCCTCCGCCTACGATCTTAGCAGGTAGTTGCGGTAAGCCAAACGTAAATTCAGTCTGATTCTAGATCTTTCAGGCATGCTACAGGCAGCCAAAAACTCCTCTGGTAACTTCATAATGCAAAAACGTCATTTGCGTAATTAGTGCAACAGAAACCAACGGACATCGTGAAATTTGATATAGCCAAGTGAAATAAAAAGTGGCGCATATATACACTCGTCAATGCTCTTTCCATATGCGCTCAGAAATAGAAGCCGATGTGGCGTAGGTCCTTTAGCGTCAAATTTGTCTCTTCCACCAAGTACTGAGACAGCTTTCGGCGCCGCATCTGCTCCGTGAACGAATCGACCTTCCTACGTTTCGGAGGACTGGATATGAGAACGTTCGGATCAACCTTTGCTTCTTTGATCAAATAATCCAGCATTCTCCGCTGTAATCTTGACCTGCAGAATAAAGCAGCTCCTAGCGTGCTGCCATAAAATTTCCCCACGGAGCTATTCACATCATAGCCGCGCTCTTCAATGAAGACTCGGGTGCATTTTACTGCACCGTCACGAACTGCCTTTCCCAGAGCCGTTACATTGTTGTCCGTCAAGAGTTCTACATTGGCTCCGTGTTTCAAAAGCTGTTTGAATGTTTCGTCGGCGTCGACGGAAAAAGCAGACTCCGCACAACACATTGCTCCGCCGGCTTGGCACGGAATGTTTGGGTCTGCTTTCCACTTCAACAACAATAGAACGATGTCACTACTTTGACGAGGAGCAGCGACGCATAGAGGTGTATGATAAATGCTGGAGTTTGGGTCCGCGTTTTTCTCAAGAAGCAGTTTGACGATGGTCGAATGCCCAAATTGACACGCGTGATGTAGTGGAGACCAGCCAGAAGTCTCATTCAGGTCGTTGACTTCTACCCCATGATCGATGAGAAATTCGCAAAGCTTGTGGTGCCCACTCTTTGCAGCAACGGATAGCAAGGAGTCGCCGTCTTTTGTCGTCTGGTTGAGGTCAACCCCAATTAGGTGTAGATACTCCAGTAAGTCGAAAGACCCTAAGACGCAAATCGCAAAGATAGGGTTGGAATGTGAAAACATGCCTCCATGGTAACTCGACGACAGCAATCTCCTCGGAGTCTCTTTGTCGGTCAGAGAAGTCTGGTGTTGAAAGCCCGAAGGGTCGACAGTATCACCAAGGCTCAGACAATACCTCAAAACGTCTGAAATTTCCTTTGTGTCTGGGCATTTTCTATATATGTTCCGAACGTAGTTTAGCCAATTTCTCGTAGCATATTGGCAAAAATCGATGTCGCTGGCGCCATCCACCACCATATGTGGTGCATTATCTCCCTCGTTTTGATCAGCTGCCTGGTCTGTTGTCAAAGACGCCTGTAAAAGCAACAATGTTGCCACGTCACGTTCGGCGTTGTGTGTCCAAGTGTTGAGCTTAGCATCGAAATATTCTGCGATTGAGGCATGTGGAAATTTCCATCGCTCATTGTTAAACCCGTCTTCTTTAATGATTAGATGGCGGCAGATATTGGCTAATTCAGCCTCTGACGTGGTTTCTTCGTCCAAAGCAAGGTTGAACTGATCTCCGGTCTGACTGAACGACAGCCGAACAGCATGGAGAAGACTGGCTGTATCTAGCGGTGACCGGGCCCATTTAACCCACATGGAAACTCTCATGAGAATCATTAGGGCGTGGTCGTCTTGCCGAGAATAAATCTCTTCGTAAGAGGCCACGAGGCCTTTTGGAAGCTGCTCCAGTCGCTGCTTCACGTCGGCCACTGTATTCAACGGTTCTAACTGATCCCACTGCAGCTGAACCCATTTGAACCTGATAACAAACGAACGTCAATAGTTGCTTCTGATATTAGGAGTTGTAAAAGAATAACGTACATTCCACCATGTTTCTCGAGAAGAGCATTTCTCACAAGCGATTGCACACTCTGTCTCTTCCAGACAGGGTTGAGGCCGTCTTGTCTGAGCTTGGAGTCGATGTATTTCTCAATGTCCTTTTGGTTGTCTGTGGTGCTGATCTGGATGAAACTTGATGTGCCCATCAACTCAGTAATATCTGTTTCTGGGCGACTGGATACGAAGACCTTGACGGGCCGATCGGAGTTTTCGACTAAATTCCGAAAGAAGCTTATAACCCGCGCTCTTGATTTCTGCTCGCACTCATCCAAAGCATCCAGGACTAAGATAGAGCGTGAGTATGTGTTGACCAAGTCGCGCACAAGGCTTTCGCATGTAGACACTTCCAGGCTTGGTCGAGACGGATCAGCACCCTCACAGAACTCGCGAAGCTTGGTGTGCCATATGTCGCGGTGACGGGATACTGTAAAGAGCTGCACGATGTAGCTGCTGAGAATGGATTGAATGTCTCTTTGGCCGGATTGTGAGCGGTCACAGTAAAAGTGGGCAAATCCTTCACCATTTCCCAACGCATCGCGAGGACGAGTACGATAGCGATCAATCACTTTAGAGACGAGAAAAGACTTCCCAGCTCCCACTGTTTTCAGTCAATCAGCAGCGATTCCCGAAATAAGGAGAAGAAATGGCGTACTCTGACCATTGAGCCATAGGATTGACGAGCAGCTTGACCCTTCCCAGGCAAGGAACCTTGGATGCTGTAAAAGCCATTCGCAAGTCCCATTGGTTCTCAATTCTTTCTTGGCAACATGGATTTGGTCAACTTTAACGTCGCTGATGCGATTCATGGCTTCCTCTCTGTCTCGTCTTTCCTTGTCTTTGAAGTCATCCAGAAGCTGCGCGACCCTATCATCGATGCGTCTTAGAGGACTGTGGAGACTTTGCAAAAGCTCTAAATTCCTCTCTGTTGACTCACAAACGCAAGCACCTGCGTTCTTCGACGCTTCGTTCTCCGTGTTCGTCAGGTCCGATAAGAACAATTCCGCACGGTTCGGGTCAATGAGAGCCGTGAGAAATTGATTTACCCAACTGTCTTCCCCGCCAAGCTTATTGAATGTCAAAGCAAGCAGGTCCAGCGAGGATCTGTAGAGCTCAATCAGAGATTCTCTCAGGAGCACTCTTGAGGGCTCTATCAAAGTCGCGCTAGAAAGGCCGTAGACAGCTTCATATATTTGGCCGCGTCTGACGGTACTGAGAATGCGGTCGGCGGCGCCAAAGACAGCGGTGATTTGCTCTACTCGACCAGTTTCGGCCTGTGTTGGTTAGCAAAAATCAGGAGCAAGAATGGACGAAATTAGTTTGGCTAAGTCTACCTTCAGGAGCACTTTGAGTGCCGACCATACTGGTGAAGCCGGCGCTGGGGCCAATGGCACGGCGATGTCGCCGATCGTAGTCACCCAAGTCACGACTCGATTTGCATAGTCCCGCCACAGGATCTTGTGCCCGTCGATTTCCAATCTTGCGCTGGCATCCTTGTATGCGGCTTCGCTTTGTCTGACTATTGTCGTAAATTCTTTGACTTGGATGGTACTCGAGCGATCGATGTCGAGTTTTCCGAACCAAGATTTGGTGTCCGGGAGCGTTTTCTCGAGCGCCTCAGACCACAGATCGGTTGGCTTGTTTTCTGCAATGTTAATCGGTTGATGCTTGGGGAGCTGAGCGTTTAAAGAGGCTGCGTCATCACCATGTGCTTCGGTAGACGGTTGAGTAGGTTTGCTACCAACGTCTGCGGTTCCGTTTCCCGCTCGTTCAGATGAGGTTGTCCCGGCCACGCCATTCGACAGGGCATTTTCAGCGGACTTGGCCTGCGCCTCTGGGTTTGGTTTGTTCGATACGGCTGGGTTTGACGACGGCCCTGCTGAAACGGGTGTTTTATTCATCAATCCAAGTTTGACGCGAGCGATCAAGGCAGAAACGCGGCCAGATTTCGCATCCTCGGATGACTTGGGTCCTGCCATCATGAATCCGTACTGAACAATTGTTCGATACCCCGATCGCATTCACAGATGTTCCTTCTGGTGACCCACGACTGAAAAGGACTGCCCGAAGACAGTGATGAGCTTTGTGTGCCGATTGACAGATCCAGGGTATGACATTTTGACCAAAGAACTGCAAAGAATCGGTCAAGATCGGGATTTGCGGTCCATCGCATACCACAATTCTGGGAGCAGATGGTCTCCGACAGACAGGCGTGACTTGGAGATGAGGGGACAAAGAGAGTTCGAGGGCAGGCTGTGATAGCTGAGGGTGTTGCCCAGTGCCTGACCGGAAGAGTTCAGCCAGAAAAGGGGTCGTAAGGCATACATACATGCGCCGTGCAGCGCTTACCTGCATCACAACGGGAATCTCCTGTCCAATGGTCCATGTGTACGCCAGGCCACATGCCTCCTGTTCACAATCACCCTCCAATAACACCTTGCTACGCAGTAGTAAAATATGGAGTCCTGTTGGTTTTGTATTATGGTTGAAAGTGATCGTGTGGTTAATAGATGGCAGTCCTGAATACTGCGGATTTACGGATATAGAGGTCGAAAGGGGAGTTGGGCCGGGATCTAGATCTCTGCCGCTCATTGATGTTAGGACTATCAAAGGGGCAATAAAACAATCTGCTGCTTAACACATCCTGGCAACTTCTTTTTTTCCACCATGGCTACTCCCACTACTGCTCTTCGTGGTGTCTTTTAGGATTTTCCTTATAGAATGTACGTTGATACAGGTCATCTTTTGTCACCCACTTGACTACCTTGGTGAGGTGGGGCTTTTGATATTCAACCGGTCCGAGGTCAGCCAGAACTTAAGTTCCTGTTAATAATCGCCTCATGGTCTTTCTTGACTATGCTGATTGTCTCGTACAGAGATCAAGTCCATGACAAATGTCTTTTGCACACCCGAATCCATGTAATAAATTAGACTCTGATCCAGCCAGGTGGAGAAAGTAGACAGCCATGAAAGTTCCTCGCCGATCAGAGATCGAACCTTGCCTACCTGACCTTTCTCCGATGCACCAGACCCAGGTATACATATAGCCAAGTCATGCCTCTCCCCAGGACCTTCCAATCTCACTTGTAGACATGTAACACGAAACCCACAAAAGTAAGAAAGAAGACAAAACACGCAGACATAAAATGGCAGGAAGAATCAACGTCGCATTTCAGAGGTATCTCGCCATGCCCTCCATCAGAGCCATGGTCCCGCCCGCTCCGAGATTCAGGACCAAGCAGCCGCGTCCGCTATCGACAACAGCCTCCGAAAACAAGAGAAAAGCACCCTCCGAGCTCTTCTCTTCTCTGAAAACTTCTTCCGGCCAAAACGCGAGGCAGCACCTCAAAGATCTCGAAACGCAACCCAGACTCACCAAATCACCGCACAGCGTCTATAAGACGGTGATGACGCAGAAGGTCGCCACGAGGGACAAGACCCTCAATTCACCAGCGGGAAGACCAACCATCCGGAAGAAACTCACCAGCAGCTGCCAAGGAACCCTTGGGATGGCGGAGAGGTTGAAGGCCACTGCTGCAACCTCTTGGAAAGTCGGCACGGCGACGACGATCCTCCTCTCCCTCGCCGTCTACAGCTATTGCGCTTTCTTGGAGGAGGCCGAGAGAAGGAGGATTGCGGCATTTAAGAGGATTAGGAATTATGACGATGCAGAGCCGCAGGTATCTAGATACTCTATGCACTGCGACGAGAACGCGGAGAGGTCGCGGTATTGGTACGCCGCTTGTATCTGAGGGATGGTGCGTCCTCGGTCCTCGGTCTGAGGAGCTTAATAAGCTGGCTGTTGGATGCAGTGTATAATAACTAGTCATTAATCATCGTATTCTTTTATCTCGAAGTGAGATACCCCTATGATATATTTTGGGCTTTTTCAAATATCCTGTGGAAAAAATTGTGAGCCTCGAGACCATGCCTGTCACCATATGACTATCGATGTGTTTTTGGACTTCTTTTCCGCACCACTTGCCAGAAGGAAAGCAGTGTTCGTTCCAGAGGGTAGTATAGAGCCTCTCCGATCAAGTAAGTTGACATCTGGAGACCATCGAGGTTGTTCCAGATGATAGAGATAAACTTCCTGAAAACAATGGCAAACCGATATCTCTGGACAGAGACTTTCAGGCTCGTGCCATCTCCGAAATGAGCGCCTAGATGCTTTTCTCGAGGGATTTCCCACACGTAGAAACATTACGTATCATTCCTCGCAAATGATAATTCCCCCCCCCCAAAACCGAATCAGGTAGCAAAAAAAAAAAACGAGAAAGATCCCACAGAACAGCAGCAATGATCCCTTCAAGACTCTTCACACCTCTAAAGAGACAGCTCTCCCAGACAAGTCCAAGGACAACTCCAACCCGAGATCCAATCAACACCCCATCACAAGCTCGCCTCCTCTCCTCCACGTCTAGCATCCAGGCAAAGGTCAACCACCCAGACATCGACACCTTTATACGATACAGCCTCCGCGACGGTCCCCCCCATACACCACGACCGAAACCGCACCCGCGCCCGCACCACCGCCGTCCAGGCACAACACCACCAGCGAATAACACACACCCAGAACTCGCATTACTAGTCCCATGGAAGCAGCCCAGCGTAGCGGTAGGCGAAGCAGCAGCAGCATCAGCAGCCAAAACCCATCTCGCAAACGCCAGAATCGCGACGGACCACCTCCGCCGGCGCCGTCTGCTGCAGTCTCAGCAACAGCAGCAGCTGCCATTCTCGAAACATGTAGGTGGCATGAGGACCATCGCGGCGGATATGGCGAACCGGTTAAAGACCCTGACCGAATTCGCGAGGTTGTCTCGTCCGTCCCGAGAGTCGAGAGGCTCTGACGACGGCGGCGGCGGCGGCAACAGTGACACTCGACCGTGTCAAGGGGACGACGAGGTCCTACTCTCCAAACCTGACCCCGAGATGGACAGGAAACCACCTGCTGCGTATTGGATCGCCTTCATGTCCGTCGGTGTCTTGTTGCAATGCCTTTGGGATCCCTTTGTAAGCTCAAATTCGAGTCAAGGACCCCGGGGGATGGGTGAAGATGCGGCGAGGTCAGGAGGGACAAGGAACGTTTTAGAAGAGGAGCCAGAGGACAAGGACGATGAGCTCCAAAAGCTGCAGTATCTTGCGGCAGCTTAGATTGTACACACGGCAAAGAAGACACAACAATGGAAGTCACAGTCGTACGTACGCATGCTCCTGTTGAATACCTCTATTGATTCACCCATCACATCACACCGTGGCTCTCTCCCTAGTGCAAAGTCATCATCTACCCATCATCCCAAAGCCGGCGACTCATAATGATGGGCCTCGCCGGATCCCACGGCCCATAAATCTCATTCTTGTACTTTTGCAACCCAATCAACCACCAACTACACCCGCCCATCGCAATCGCCGAGATGAGCACGCTGACAACCATGCCCGCGACCGCGCTCTTCCAAGGCCAGCAGGACCATTCCACCCCGGCACAGGTGCCACCACCACCACCATTATCACCCACAATCACGCCCACGCCGGCGCCCGCCCCCAGGACGAGGAACACTGTCATGGCATAGTGGTACCCCCAGCTCCGGTGCCTCGCGTACCGCCGAAACACGGGGAATAGACCAAACACCTCGATGCTGAAGAGCGTGAGGCTGAAGACCTGGCCCGTGGACGGCAGGCGGGACGCGAGCACCGTCGAGGCCATGAGCGCGGCATTGGTGGACAGCGAGGCGGGTATGTTGACGCGGACGCCGCCCGAGTAGTCAAAGAAGAAGATGTTGATGGTGAGTAGCCAAAAGGACATGGCCCAGATGCTGTCGCTCGACGTCGACTTTGTGAGGGACTTAAGGATCGGCGAAAGGCCGAGGAGGGTCGAGTAGATGAGGATGGCGCTCTTGACAGTGCTGAGGCGCTGGTTGAGACGGCTGTTGTCGTCGCCCGGTAGCGGGAACGACGAGCGACGCGGGAGGGGGAAGGGGTTGCCGCTACTGCTGTTGCTCGTGACTTCCTGGCTGTGGTGGCGGTAGACCGAATGCGAGGTCGCCGAGGTGGAGGAGATGAGGGAGCTCGCAGAGGCAGAGTGCGCGTGCCGCGCCAGACGAGGCCGCTCGGCGCTGCTGGAGAGGTTTGTCGCGGAGCTTGTGGCCGTCGTGGCCGTCGAGGAGGCGGTGCCGCCGTCGTCGGCGTGCAGCGGCGGGCGCCTCATGATGCTCCCCGTCCGACGACTGGGCTCCAACCTCCTGCCCGCGGCCGTCGAGCTGCCCGCCAGACCGCCGCCGCCGCCGAGTTCCTTGCGCTCCTCGTCGGCCTCCCACCGCTCCCATAGCAGCCATCCCAGGAACGTCGCCATGCTGCTAAAGGACACAATGGACACGGGCGACACCCGTTCCTGGGATATGAGGACGAAGCACACGATGAAGAGGATGACGGAGCAGACGTGCTGGACAATGACGGTGGAGTCGGCGACGAGGGGCCAAAAGTCGTAGGGTTGCAGGCGTGGGTTGCGCTGGAGGCTCTCGAGGAACGTGTTCTGGTCCGTGTAGTTGTCCGGATAGCTCTGCTTCACCCACATCAGCTTCTTCCACGTCCGCTTGCGACTCCGGCGAGAGCGCGAACGGTCGCCGGCGGCGGCGCTGTGACGGAGGCGTGCGCGGGCGGCGCGGTGGTCTGCACCGGCAGAGACATCGGGGAAGGAGGGCACCGGTCGGCGCGGCGGGGAGGTGGCTAGGAAAGCATCCTCGGGCGCGAGACGGGACCGGTCTTGGCGCTGGAAGTTGGTGGTGCTGTTGTTCGTGCTGCTGTTGGTGGTGCCGGTGCTGAGGGCCGTCGGCAGGGTGGAGGAGCGGGTGAGGGGCGGGGGGAAGGTGCCAAAGTCCGTCGGTGTTGACGGTGACATGAGGCGCGGCTTGAGGAAAGGAAAGATAAGGAGTGCGAGACTCAATAACGTAAATGAGTGTAGTAGTGGCGATGGCTAAGGTAGAGCGTTGAGACCGAGACCTTTCTCAGCCTCGCCGTCGCAAATGGGCTGAAGTCGGCGCAAGGCTGTAGACCAAGTCAGGCCACGCAGAATGCGCGTGAGAGGGAAAGAGCCAGGGGGGGGCCGCCAGGTCTGGGGAGGACAAAAAAAAAGAAAAGATAAAAGAGGGTGCGTGCACGGACGGGGAAAGGGGATTGGTGGGGAAGCCGAGTCAGTCGAACTCGACAAGGGTGCGCAGCCCGGACCAAGTCGCTGGATTGGGCAACATTTTCAAGCCAACAAAAAAGCAGACAGGTCGGTGGCCGAAAGAAGCGTCCTCCGCAGCCCATCAACGAGTGTGTGCTGCAGCTTCTGCTTGTTGCATCTGTTACCTCGGAAAGGAGGGTGGGTGGGGCATGTGTATATTGTCCCGTCCGTTCAACCACCGTCGCCAGCTCAAGCTTAATTCTTCTCTTTTTTTTTTATGTCCGAGTCGGGGCGAGTCGAGGCTCGGAACCAGCACCGAACCTACCAAAGGTTATTTTCTATCGCGCGCAGTAGGCTCGACGGATGGGCGGACGGGTGGATGGATCATGGACAGATCATGGGAAGGAATAGATGACTGCCTGTCTGCCTGTCCGCCTCCAACCCTGCCACGGATTGCGTCCGCGTCCACCTTACCCAAAAGCTAATCCAAGTTAACCAACTCTTCATGATGGTGTCATGACACGCAGCTCCCGCCATGGCCCACTCATGATCCGCGGCCCCCTTCTTGACAGACAACAACCCAGTATTCGTGGACTTTCTCGCGTCCATGGTCCATAGTGACCCGAAAAAGGCAACTGTCATCGTTCCTAACTTTCCGTGGCGATGCAAGACACTATATACTGCCAAGCAACACATCAGATTACGTCCAGAATCGCAACCCGCGGCGTCCCAGCGCCGGATTCTCGACAGCATCACCACCAACAACAACAACATCAACACAAGAACACTATACCAGACCACGAGGCTAGCGGTCCACTAGCATCCGTACGACAGGTGCCCGATTCCCGAGAGAAACGACCCTCGAACGGGGCTCCACCTCGCCTTGTTCTGCACCGCCTGGCTCTGCCTCAAAGGGCACCGCCGGCAACACCGTGCCCCGCCAGACCCATGTGCCCGTGAAATCCGAAAAGCAATTCCAGAAGCACTTTGAAGCCAGCAGTCTCGTTTCTGTCTGCCTAGATGGCCCCGGATTTCTTTGCAGGGAGCCCCGCCTCGGCACAAAGTTTGTTCGCTAATTCTCCCCTGGTTGACTGGTTGTCCCGCTGGAATCGGCCCTCATGCTGCGTTCCTGAGGGCTGAATGGACATCCCCGTCCACCCGTTGCTAGTCAATGGCGACATTTGTTCTCTATCGCTCTCGTGGTCGTGTGCTCGTCGGTGATTCTTTAGTCCATCGTTCGCCTTCGGCTGGTACCAATCTTCTGGGCCCCTCCCCAGCCAGGCCCCTCCGCGTTGGCATGGTTTATGTCGCGCGGTCCAGACCACTCGCCGCGCCCTACAGGGACTAGGCCGGAAATGTAGCAGGCTGCAGCAATGGCAGGCATGCCTACAGGGCGCTACCCGTACACAAAGAGAGAGAGAGTGTGTGTGAGAGATCTCGCCTGGACGTGACTGCTTAATTTGGAACTCGGGTGGGCCGATCAGAAGAACTCCAACGCCTTTACGGAGTACTCTGCCTTCTTCTGCTGGGAGATTCTTGGCAACAGCGCGGATCTGGTTCTGGCCCAAGGGGCTCGAGTTACTGACGTTTCGGCGACACTAGTGCGAATAGCCTCACGATCAGCTCGATGGGACGGCCGAGTGAGGGTCGGGGTGGCATCGACGATCCCCTTTCCTTCAGACTCAGGAACAAAGGCAACATGACATCAACGAGCGGGCGATCTGCGACGATTCGGCTCGACCTCCTCTCTTCAAACATTGCTTGCTGTTGCAAGTCTTGCCGGACGTGCTTGGCAAGCTTGGCAAAGTCAGATGTATGCGGGTTCGGGGTCCTCAAAGTCTCATTCCCATGGCACCCGGTGCTTTGCGTGCCCATTGTCGGTGGGCTGGTCTGAGAGCATCTGTTGAAACCGTTTTGGCGTTCAGACAACCTCATCATGGAGGGCAAGAAAAGGCGGGTATCGCAGCTGCTGCCGATGTGGGCCTCGGTTGTAATGGAACGAAACTGTCACAGGAGGACGGAGGCAGGCTTGGCAGGCTCCAACTTCCCAAGACGGGGGATTTCATGTTTCTGGTTCGTTAATGCTTGCTCCGTCCAGTTACGGCCACCTTGTAGCTCAAGAGAGACATGTGAGCGATGTCTTCAATCACCGCATTGCAACGAAAATGGCGAATGTGCAGGCCATTTGACGGCGGCACGGCGGCTGGCATAGCGATGTCGGCATCTGCCGCGCCAGTGGTGTGGTGACTCTAGAAAAGAAGTCCAAGCAATGGAACCGGAGCGCTAATCAGTGGATCCTGGGCGTCGATCCATTGCTTGGGTTCGCCAGCTGCGATTTGGCTTTGGCGCCAACTCTCACCTGGCACTGGACAGAGAGACCGTCGCATTAGGCGTTTGTTGGTGGGTATTGTCATGACGGGGTCTCGGGCGTAAAGTGTACCCAAGTCGAAGAGGATCTTTTGTCGTCCCAGCCCAGGACAACTCGGAGGTTGTATGGTAGATAAAGATGATTGCTGACGGTGTCGAATTGCTGTTGACGGGCTCCCTTCATTTCTTTGAAAGAGGCAGTGTCTCGGCGCTGAGTACTGGCCGTCGTGCGCAGCGTGCCGCATGCATATCCGTAGGATAGGGCGCAGCTGAGTGCAATCTCCTCTGTACCAGGTCTGCAGCCACGAAAGCGCCAAGCATCGTGAGAACTGGCTGGTTGGACGAGGCTTCACTAAGCAACCTGGACACGCCAAATCGACAGGGGCCATCGGCATAAAATCCAAAACTGATGGGCTATCGACCCGGGCGGCGACCGCAGACAGGCAGTCTCAAAGTGCGCTAAACCGGTAGTGTCTAGCTGTAGTCGCTATACAGATATCCGTGGAGAAGAGGCGGGATACCGCGTGCCGTGCGTAATTCCATGGCCCCATTTCCGTGGGAAGCAGTGCCGTGAACATGAACCATGGACCATGGATGGAGGAAGGATAGGCCGAAGAGTCAGCGTCCCTTCTCGTGGCTTGGGAAACGTCGCTCTCCATCACGGTGGTCCCAGTGGGAGCCGGATCATCACTCTAGCTGTGGGAGAGCAGGGATTGGTTTGCGTGATTCATTTTCTTCGCTTTGCCGGTCGTTTTTCTCGCTTCCTTTCTTTTCTCTCCGCGAAATTCAATGGCCATGGGCCAGACGCGGCGATATTTTGGTGCTTGGAGAAGGACGCTGTGGGAGGAGTTCCGCTCGTGACGGTGGGTGGTATTATGTGATTCGCTCCATCGTACGCCTGAGAACCGCCAAGAAAGGCAAAGCTTCTGTGTGGTGATCTCAAGAGCCAGGACTCGCACAGGGCCAGTTTCGCTGCCCACGTGCTCCCGTTGGCAGATGTGGACGGGCAGAAGGCGGGAAATGAAAGCTGAGGGGACCAGACGGGGGTCGGCCAAGCTGCGAAGGATTACTCGAGGAAAGCTTGATTCTTTCCTTTCCCTTCCTTTGCCAAGTTGCGCAAATTCGTACAGAGTACATGGAGCAAGTACACATTAATCATCCGTCCTGCCATTCAGGTGTCGTGCTTGCGAGCAGCTGCACTTCCAATAGGAAACTGCGTTCTTGCAGGGAAGCCGGGGATCTTTGGGGAGGAGGAGGGAAGGGGAGGGGGGGGGGGAGCACAGCTGGGAAAGCGCAGCCACGAATCATAGGGCACAATCGGGCAATGTGCCGTCCAGATGGGGTTGTCGCTTACCCAGAAGTTGTTGGGCTGACCGGACGTGGGCTTGCATTCACAGCTTCAAATTTCAATAGCTTGCTTTGTTCTTTTTCACTGCATGCTGTCCTTCCTCGCCCCAATCGTGACATAATTAAACGAAGCAGCAGCAATGTGGAAGCTTGATTTGACAACCTGGCTTTACACCTCCAGCTTGTGATGGCAAACGTCGGGTCTTTCCCCTGACATACCGATTGGAATCCATCCATACTCCATACGGCGGCGTCTTTTTTGTCCGTGGTGTCTTTCGTCTCTTCTCAACCTCGGTCGACACCAAATGCACGTATGGAACACCCCGTTCGGCCTTCGGCCGTGACACATGAGATCTGCTGGCAAGGATTGCGTCCTTGTTACTTGGACTCTGGACTCTTTCCCTGGTTGTTAGGGTTTCCAATCCTCGCAAGCAAGTCTACCGTACTCTGTCTGTCTCTGTCTCTCCTTTTCCATCTCGCGTCCCTCGAATCCCGCGGCCCCTTGGGCTGCCCGTGCAAACACTGGCTATCCCTGTTCAAGTCTGGTGGGTGCCCTACGGTCTGCAGAACCCCCCGAAATGCATGGGCAAGCCGCGACGGAAAGAACAATCCAGGGGACTTTGCCAAACCTGCCTGCCAACCCACTAACTAACGCGCCTTTTGGGTTTGGGCGAGGTGGTAGTGCAGACGGGCGACCCAGCTCACCCCCGCGTCCACCTTGGCTCCGACTTCCAACCTCGTTGTTCGATCCTAAATCGGGTTACAGGAGAAAAGATTCGCAAACGGAGTTGCTCATGAAGTCATGTTCAAGGTGGCCCTCCACGTCGCATCTCACCTTTTTGATTTTCACCGATGATGGGGGCCGAGTAAGCCGGGTACCGAAAACAACGCAGACAAGAGCCAGAGCCGCAAGGCCGGCGAGCCTATCAACTTTACGCAAAGAAACGAGGATCGCCAGAACACAGCGCACGAGGTCGGTTACTCGGCAGGCTCTACTCGTTTTCATTACAGGCCTTCAGAGTCAGTCATCATTTGAGTGTGCCGCTACCGTTGCCGATGCCGTGCGTGCCTCTCCCGTCCCATCTGTCCATTTCGGAGAGAGCGCAGCTAAGCAGTTGCCCTTGCTTCTTCATACTGGGGGCCGGAGCTTTTAAAGACAAACGATCCTGGGGCACGACTCATCGACTGGTGCCGTCCATGTTACTCTGTAGTAGCCATGTCACCATGTGCGTGTGCTGGCACTTTGTACGGTCCGGGACACGCCCTGGCAAATTCAGGGAGAGAAGAAGCTTGCGGCCTACCATGTTTGAATCGAGACGCCCACCCGCTGCATTAAACAGGGTGCACCACAGCCCACAGGGTCCAGATCATCCCTGCATGCCTGGCTGAGCCTAGATCCCGGTCCTGGCCTGCCGCCCGAAGGCAGAGGGGGACAGCGGCCGGGCCCCAGCACCCACTTTTTGTGAGGGAAAGCAGAGAACAGACCAGAGGGATCTGAGAGAGAGGAGGAGGACAAGGAGGACGAGTTTGGCTCTGGCCTGGCTGGCTGGCTGGCTAGGTTTCGTGAGAAGACGGAGGGAGGGCGAAAGTTGTGAACAGAAACGCCGTCTTGGGTGAAGCTAATGCCATATTAATCCCAATGCGTTAAAGTCGGGTTTGCTCTCCTTTCTCTCGGCCATTCTCCTCTGGATCATACATAACACTACCACCTCACCCGCCCATGCCTCTTGTCTTCTGCACAAACACACTTGCAGCTGGTCACGGATAGTCAGTCCTATTTCAGATCAGACCCCATCTCTCCTCACTCCGGACGAGTCGAGGGTGTCTCTTTTTCTCGTTATATTACTTTCAGACCTCGCTCGCCTTGACACATCAAATTCCACGAACACCTACCTCTCCCGTTCTGCTCTCTCCTCCTGGCTGCACCCGGTCTCACACCTACCATTAGTCGCCCCATCCCATCTTCTTCATTCCTCACAACTCGGGAACACACCAGAGCCCGTTACTTGTTTTGTTTCACTCGCCTGCGAGCTTTCCCGCCCTCCATTACGGTGACTTTTCTGCGCTCGGTTTCGCACCTTGCCTCGACTGTCTCTGGTCGCCCTGCCGCTGTCGCCGGATCTCTTCTCTAACAGATTGGGTTGCCCAGACTTGGACATATATCCCTTGACGTTTTGGCACACCCCGCTTCGCTTTACCCATCTCCGTACAACTACCACGGCCCTCCGCCTAGAACTTCCACGTCTACCCACCTATCACTGCTTTTCGACTATCGCCTTGGCGTGAGAACATCGGAGGAACCGACATTGACGCAGTCGTGCTTGGAATCGTATTAAGCCTCACAAGCCAGTAACATCAACTCACACGACCTACTTCGATTGCAGTGAAGACCAGAAAAAGAACTCAGGTCCCTCGATCCTCTGGTCAGAGTCATTTCAACGTCTTCAATTATCGTGGAACATCAATAAGTAGACGCCGACCCTGAAATCTTATCCACCACCGAGAAGCAGGATCGATCAAGACAAGACGACAACGACGACATCTTCTCGAGCAGCATAACACCAGTTCTTGTATACAAAACAAGCACACCCAACCAAACGTAATCATCGACAAAATGAAGCCTTCATCATTTCTCTGCGCCCTTGGCATCACGCAACTGAGCTTGGCGGCTCCCGTTCCGTCAACTATCTCAGATATGGTGTCTGTCGTGAGGACCGAGGCACGCCGTCTAACGAGGGTATCACGCGTGTCCTTACACCGCACACGGCCCTTGACTGCCGTCTATGATAGCGAAACCGAATTCGATAACGAGCCAGTATCACCATCCGAGGACATGCCCCCGTCAGTCGTCCTCGCCGCACCCCGGCCGCTGACGACGGTCTACCTCCAGTCCCTGTCGAAGCACCCGGCATCTCGTGGCAAAGACAGAGTGGTGGACGTGGTGGGCGACGGGACCCCCGAGAAAATCACGCCAATGTCGCTCAAGGACGGATTGGCGGAGATGCTGCCCACTAGTCTTTCGCAGTGCTGGGAACATATCTCCCGGCCGATGACGCGAGTCTTTGAGCAGCATCCCGATCTCATTGTCCTCGGCGCCGTCATAGCTCTGGTTCTTGTCCTTTTGGTGCTGGAATTTATCGGTACTACCTTCCAAGGGTGAGTTTCATCAGCATCGACTGCTCAAAAAAGTGCATTAGACTAATAGATACGCAGCGTACGCCAGCACTATGACCCGCAAGGGGTGATCCGCTTGGAGGTGGACGAGAAGGCGTTCAAGACACCATCGTTTCGATGTGACTCGGTACCTATTTACGACGAGGAACAGGGTGCCGAGGAACCGAGACCGTGATGGGGCTTGGTGGTTTACCCATGGGGGGTAAAACAAGGGAAACAAAAAAAGAAAAACAACTCCAAAGCGTCTCAGGACCCACGGACTATTTTAATGTGATTACTAGACATTGCGATACCATCTTACTAGTATTGAGCGCAGCGCTGGTTAACAACATGGATAAAAAAAAACAAATAAAATCCATAAACAAATATCAACGTCCCCTTTCTTCTCTACAAGCAGTGACTGCAGCGAGCAAAACGGCCCGGGGCGTAGCACAAGCATTCCTGCGTCAGCCACGGCTTCGTGAGTGACGGCAGTAAATGGAAATGAGAAACTCTAAGCTCGGACTGACTCCCTGCTTGATCCGAAGTCTGCCACCCTCTAATGATCCCGTCTCATATTCTGAAGCGCGGATGAAGACGGGGTTCGGCGATCAGTCGTCACGGGCGAGTCTCCAAGAGAGCCATCTATGCGTGGGGGCCCGACTTGCCGAAAAAGTCTATATACTTTTAATTCCGCTTAAACTGATCGTTGGTAGCTTACTACTGGCCTGCTCGCGTAGCCAGTCCAAAGCAGAAGACACTCATCTCTGTATTGTATTTTCGGCGTATGCTATGTATGGGGTTTTGGATTCGACGGGCATTGCTGCGGCCGTCTACAGGACTTTTCTTTTTCTGTAAGTGCCGGGACAAGGTGACAAAAAGGGTTGGCGAGTCTCCCGCGATTGATCAGCGTCGTTGATTCAGCGGCTGCTGAGGAGAAGGGGGGGTAAGAGGGGTTTCTGCGACGGAACAAAAAATGACGGACGCCGGCAAACGTTACTCATCACGGCCAACACCATCATCCCTGGCGGGAGAAAACAGCGTCGCACACAGCTCATTGACAATCACAGATGCCTTTGAAAGCCAGGCCATTTCAAAGATCAGATCAGAAATCAAAGGGACCATACATAGTCGCAGTCTTGTCATTGACGCACGGAACGTTATTTCCCGTCTTGATAACGTGGCTCTCACACGCCAGATACTCGAGCTCCCAACGCCCAAAGCCGCGGGCTGCATACCTCGCACGTACTTCCCATCTCAGTCCCTGTTCCTCTGGCAAAGAAAAGGTTCAAAGAGGACGCGCGTACAGAGTTGAAGCATCGCAAGCGCAGGTCACATTCAGCCGTCATCACGAAGCAATTCGCCGACGGCCATATTAGCAGTCCAGTTATCTCCCAGCGCTAATCTTCCGAAGGGAAGAGAAACCAATGATGGGATGCCCTTCCTGACTTAATAATGAGAAAAGTTCAGGTTTGTTGTACTCGAGTGTGTGGTCGATCAGTATTGCCAAGGGAACCCGCCAATCTCACGATATCTTCCACCTTGCGCCTTTAAACCACCACATACGACCATACCCATTGGAAAACTCGGGATCCCGTCCGCTCTCCCATAGATAAGCTAATGAGGGCCGGATTAGTAGTTGGGTCGGTGACGACCAGCGAATACCTGGTGTTGTATGTCTTTTGATCTTTTTGTGAGGTTATCGTCGTTTTGTTGCGGTTGGTGACGATGCGTAGACGTGTGGGGTAGCCCGCCTATGTTTCGGGGACACTTGCTACGTCCGGGACGTGAAGAAGTAGAAGACTAGACTTTTATTAACTGTTCCGTCTAGTGGCATTTTGCATGATGCGTGCTTGGACGCCTGGGAGACATGGGAGTGGAAATGCAGCACGAGATATTGATAGGTAGTAAGTCGCCTGACGTACGATGTCGCTTTTACAGTTTTTGATGATTCGAGAACAGATTAGATAAGCGGGATGATACGATGGCTCATCTTGGACGGCGTAGTAGAACAGCCCACGAGTCCGCCGCGGTGTTTACTTTGGGAATTATCAAACGAGCCACGTCAAGGAGGGGCTGTGCAAATTCAATGACATCGGCATAAATATCCTCGGGAATCTGGCCCCTCTAATCCTTGATTTTGAGTTGCACAAGATCGAGAACAGTAGTAATTAGATTTGATCACACAATTTGGAACTCCAATACACCCGGTGTTCTGGGTGCGAAACCTAAAAAAAGGTAGATCGAGGGGCGCATCGCTCATGTTGTGGACCCTCAATGTAGGTCCACGACATGTTCTACATGCCCTCCCTTGCATAATCAAGGCGGCTCAACTTGGAGAGTGTCGTCATGGCCTTGGAGAATCAGAGAGGCCAATGGAAATCCAGGCCGCGGAAGAGTTGCGACGGAGCAGGGTTTGGTTGGCCGGGTATCTGCTGCTAACGTTGAGTGTTCCTGTCGTGGAAGGTTTGAATTCTCAGGGGAACAAGACCACAGTGTCCCAAGGAAAGGTACAATGACTCAATGCCGATGGCGCTTCGAATATGGGGTATGAAGAGACACACAAAGCAGAGCGCCCTGTCACACTACGGCGGCATCAAGACGCAGCAAATACATCCAAATGCATTGTTAGGAGGCATCCCTTCTCCCCCTTCTATCTTTCTAGTGTGTAACTCGTTGTATTCAATCAATAGCGTACAAAGCAGTGGGAGGCAACGGCCAGAGAGCAGGATGACTGTGACTTCAAAACTTGGCAATATCTGATTTGCTTTCGACTACACATACGGGTCGGTCTAGCCCGGCAGATGCCGCTTTATATCATTGCATCTTTCTCTCGTTCTTTCTTCCAGTAATAGCTTGCTGTGAGACTTTTGTGGTGGGAATTTGAGCTCAGCCTGACCTTGTATTCAACCTCGAATTTGACAGCGTCCAAGCCATGGAATCGACGAAGTTCCGCCAACAGAAGCGGCGCAGGTTGATAACCTTTTCAAACCAGCCAAAGATGGGCTATGTAACCAAACGGAAAGTAGCCTTAAGCGATACTCAATGGCCTTTCTCCGAAGCATGTCAATTGACGGTATTTAAGGGGACTCTCTAATCTACAAAATCACTTTGCAGAGTATCTCCAGTCACAGATATCACTGAAGATTACAAGTCCAAGTCGCATCAGCAACTTCAAGAGTCAAGACCATGTTCAAGGTTCCGGAGTACAAGGACAGTCACATTAGACAACCGTCGCCTCCTGAAAGGTACCAAGACACGCAAGATCCCTGCCTCTCCGTCACGGAAGGCCCTTGAGATCTCTACTAGCTGCAAACAAAGTATATTTGGTAGCCCTCACCAAGATAAACCTTTTCGTGGATTCATAGAAAAGCCAAGATGGGCTACAGGTACAAGTCGCCGAGAAGGAACGACGGGAGGATCCGCGGGGGTATATATAATGCTAGCAACCTCGAAAAATCACCATTTAAGACTTTAGCCACAAGGAGACAACAAGAACCGCTTCTCAAAACCCTTGCGCCCAACTTCTACCCTGAAACCCTTGGAAATTTGAAGAGTTTCTTAACGCAAGTCGTCGAGGTCCTCAGTAACCCCAAGGAGTATGCAATCAACCAATGGGTGGATCGACAGGGGGGGCTCGACAGACTTCCGAGAGACCAAGACAAGATGGTGAGACGCCTCCAAGCTGGGGAAAAGCGCCAGGAACTTCATGCATGCATAATAAATTGCGTTATGAGCTCCTTTGTGCTCGGGACGTCCCTCTTGCTTCTTAAAGCCATTACTGCCGTGAACACCTAAGACAAGAGAAATAAAAATAGTGGAAGGGGGCCCATGGACGAGACGGAAATTTTCACAACTTTGTAGTGAGATTGTCATGGCAGGTCATAGGAGGACTCGGGACCGAGGCGAGTATGAACATGAGATGCATATACCTCCAATTAGCGTGCACAATAATAATGCATCATCATCAGGGACGAGCATCACCCACATCCCTTCAATCACGAGGTTTTGGATCATCATTAGGAAATCATATGACCCAGTGTGTAGTGCTTACACCAACGCGACATTGGATGCAGAACCACTAGATACGCATGTTGGCACGCAGGTCATGTGGCTGTACCGTATCAACACTTGGACATGAGGCAGCCTGATCACGCCGATTCCCAGTTGTTCGTGTGCTTCTCCAGCTTGACTTACACTTTTCTCAAATCCATTTCAAATAGCAATTGATCAAAACTCTTTGGTATCGTCGCTAAAACTGTGACTACGTCGTTTGCGGGATATCAGTACCGTGCTCTGTCAACAATTGACTCTGCACGCCTGCTCAGCATCTCGCGGGATAAAAACCACCCTCACGGACTCTGCCTCTCGCTCAAAGAGGTAGACCTGGCCGATGAATCGGTCTTCGCTGCGCTGTCGTACATTTGACAGCTACCAAAGTACAGTAACTCGCAGGAGGCCCAAGAGCCAGAGCCAGGGAGGGCGTATATGATTATCTGCGACGGCAAAGCAATGGAGATATCTGAGAATCTGTTCGACTTCCTCAGCACTTTCCTTGAGTTCCGATGTCTATCAATAGGAAATTGCCCTCCGACACCTCGGAAATATCCGCCCAAAGTCAGGTATGCGCTGGAGACGGTGCCACTGTGGATAGACGCATTCTGTATCGACCAGGCCAACACCGAGGAAAAAAGCACCAAGTACTTCTCATGCACCGCCTCTATAGCTCCGCGCAGAACGTTACTGTGTGGTTGGTGCTGTGTGCAAACACGACTTAACGGGTCCATGGCGGGAGAGTTAATTCGCGCCGAGACCTATCAGTGGGTTGAACGATTCGGAATGCATGGTAACCCACGTTTACATGTAGATCAAGAGGTTTGGAAAGAACTTGACTACGAATGTTTTTATCACACTTCTCGACAGGCTCTCGGAATGGGTTCCCCTTTTACGGTAACGGATGATCAGATATGGCTTGCTGAGGGTGCTTCTGTTCCTTTCATTCTATGGGAAGTCACACCTGCCCCAAGGAGTGTCGAAGAAGGTAACCAAACTCGAGTATTTCGCTATATTAGAGACATTGAGCTCTCCAATTTCGACTTATACTCCGGCTACCTAACTTCCAAACGATACCGGCAGAAATACAAGGAGATCAATCAGCATTATATAGTAGATGGAAAGTCCACACGTCGATACCTCAGAGCGGAAGTATGAACACACAACCTAGTGATTGATTCCATTTCGTTCCCCTCCCTCTGCAAAAGACAAAGTTGCGGGTTAAACAAACACCTCTGGCGGTAACTTGTCCACAGAGATGAGCAAAATGAAATGCGTCGAGGGGGAATCGAACCCCCGGCTCCCCGACGCTGCTGGATGGCAACGGAGAATTTTACCACTAAACCATCGACGCTTGCTTATATTTTTCCCTGGGGCTTGGCAAAACCTTAAAGCATCATCACTTTTTCCAATCCCGGTGGATGGTTAGAGGAACACAACTTGACCGACCATCTTTCTTACCTTGGTACCTTGAATTGGAGTATGGGGTTATTTCCAAAAGGCCACGGCAACAGCCGGAAATTTGGCGTACAACATTGCCAGTGTTCGACACCGCCATGTCCAAGACGAGGCATACCAGAACTACTGGGTCCAAGTTTTGTAGAACCCTTGGTCAAGCACAGTAAAAGCTCAACTGAGGACGGTGAGCGAAAGAAACAACGCCAAGTTCGTCAATATTTCCAGCTGAGCAAGTCGCATGCGACTGCAGTCAGACATGTCACGTGTGCCAGTTTCATACTTGCAGCATCATGCGATAAAAGAGATCCTTCTCATTGTCGAAAGTCATAAAGGCATAATGCATGGGTCCTCCCGTGAAACCAGAAAAGCTGACCGCAATGCCGTATCTCAAGATTGCAACTCCAGGTCCTAAACGTCCAAATCAGCCGCCCTTCTGCAAAGTCGACACAGTAAGGGAACTGTGCCGTCTTTACAATATCCGCCTAAACTCGGTCTAGGGAAGTGTGCTTGCATTGGCTCCTGCCGTAGCTGGCTTCCACGCGCCGTCTTCTGCCTCTTTCGCAAAGCGCAGTATAGCCTCCCGGCCTCCAATGTTTCCTCCTCTATTTGGGCACTGCATATTTCGTGGTCCACTCTCTGGCCGTCGCGATGGCGGCCTGCTCGTCCTCCTTCCAGCTCTTTGCGACGTCGGCAGCAAGGGGATCGTCGGGGTTAGGGGCGCCGAGGAGGGCCTGGATTGACAAAAGAATCGTGCGGATCTGAAGGGCGGGAGACCAGTTGTCTGGACGAAGGTTTCTTTGTCAGCCATCCTGCACGGAAATACCAGTGCTTATTTGTAGCCACTCACTCTTCAGAACGTCAAGGCAGATGCGGCCCAGCTTGTCCACATTGGGGTGGAAGATCTTGGTAAGGAAGCGAATCTTGGGGGGAGTCATGGGGTAGTCGTCGGGAAGGAAAAGCTCGAGCTTGAAGACACCGCCTATGACACCTTATTAGTTCTTCTGTCCAGCCAAGTCCGAACGTATGCAGTGCGCGCACCTTCATACGGAGATTGTGTGGGCCCATGAATCTCGACATCGAAGTAGCGGAGGTTGTCCTCGTGAGGGACGGCACTGATTCCGGGTACCCTTTGAAGCAACCTTTGTTAGCGGAACGTCGGAATGTCGCTAGCTGGAGAGGAAACCTACGGCTCAGCCATGAGACGCTCCGTCTCCTTGATAATACGCTTAGGCAGAGCCATGCTGGGCGACAAAAGTGCTGGGTGTTTTGTAAGGGCGAAGAACAAATGGCGGAGTCTGTGCTTCCTCCAGGAACTGAGGTAGTCGCGTGGTGGTGGTGGTGTTCGAGGTCAAGAAGCTGATCGTTGGCGGGGTGGAGCTAGTGGTGAATCAGATGGAGCTTCTTTGATTTCGGCTCGCCAAGGAAGGAAGGACGTAGACACAATCACAATCGGATGCCGGGGATATCGGTTTGGAGCAGCGGCGACAAAGGCGACGAGGACTCGGAACTGGTGGAGTGTTTCGAACAGCAACCTTTGGGTATGGTGGGCATGTGCTTGGGAAAGCCTTACTGGAGACTGCCCCGCGGGAGGGACCAGAAGCATGACACACTCCAGGCCTGGCTCGACGCTGTCCCGATAGCAGTAAAAAGGTGGAGAATGAAGGTTGTATTTGCGGGTTATCATTGGCTCAGGGAGGTCAGCGGGGAGTAAGTACTCAACTGCAGGCTTACTACAAAAAGGTACATTATCGTGAGTGTGGGTCCCGAACTGTCATTCCGTCCATCCAGAAGCGTCCGTCCAGGATGCTCATCTACCTACATCTGATCCCGTCGCGTGCATCAGCCTGAGCCTCATTTACAGACCTTTGATATCAACTTGCGATACTTCATCCAATCAGTTTTATCTTATCAGTTGAAGAATAACTATCAGAATTGTCTGTACTGTGGAAAGACTCTCCCATTTTCGCTTGCCATCGTATCATGGCAAAGACATACCGCCTACAGATGCCCTCTTGAGGCATCTCTCTCGTCTGAGCCAACACCGCCATCATGCCGCACTTCGACCAGCTTGATGCGCCGAAGAAGGGCAAGCCGATCAAATCAGCCTTTGATAGTGAGAGTTTCGACGCGGACGGCACGATTCACGTTGCCGGCCTGGTGGGATCAGCGACGATAGCCCCTTCACAGAGGGATGTTGCTTTAGCATCGTGAGTGATCTCATCGTAAAGCTGTCCATCCCCGGGACTGCCTAGCTGACACATCCATCAGACCCGAAGGTTTGTCCATCATTGACCTGGACTCACCATACAATCCTCCTCGCCGTCTCAGCAGTCATGGCTCCCCTTGGCTTGTCACCGACGTCCAATGGTCGCCCTTTGCGGTCCGCGACTATTGGGTCGTCTCCACTGCTAATCATCGCGCGCTTGTCTGGAACCTCAATTTGAGAGATGATTCGACATCAGGAGCTATTGAGCATTCTCTCCAGGGCCACAGCAGGGCCATCACGGACATAAACTGGTCCGCACACCACCCGGACCAGCTCGCTTCGTGCGCCGTCGATGGTTACGTCCACTGCTGGGATCTCAGACGCCCAAGACAGCCTGTCCTTACTTTCTGCGACTGGTTTGCCGGCGCCACGCAAGTTAAGTACAACCGTCAGGACCCGCACATTCTAGCTTCATCTCACGACAGGTGGTTGCACATCTGGGACGAACGACGGCCAAGCGAGCCCCTGAAATCAATCAGCGCACACACCTCAAAGATCTACGGAATTGATTGGAATCGGACCACCTCTACAAAGATTGTAACTTGTTCTCTGGATAAGCACATCAAGTTTTGGGACTATGGCAGCGATCAAGATGTTCCGCATCGCGTTATACGAACCGAATTTCCGGTGTGGCGCGCTCGTCATACCCCCTTTGGCCAGGGGCTCCTTGCGATGCCTCAGAACGAACCAGGCGATCTGTACCTGTACGACTGGCGAACACCTCCCAAAGACCCTAAGGAAGGGCCGACTGAGCCAGTTGCAGTATTTCCTGGCCACGGTAATCACAAGGCCAAGGAGTTCTTGTGGAGAAGTAGAGGGAGCATCACCGAAGATGCGCTAGATCACAGAGATTTTCAGCTCGTCTCTTGGGGGGAGGACAACGAGCTGCGCCTTCAGCAAGTTGACCCGTCCATTCTTGAGTCTGTGGGCTATGTCAAGGGGATGGCAGCCAACAAGAACGTGGTGCTCACACGCAAAGGCGCTGCCTACAAAACCTTCCGAACAGTTGAGGACATCGTCAGCCGAGACAGGAGGAGTGCGACAATGAGCGACCCCCGCAACGGCGCGCAATACCGACAGAGTGCTCTGACTATGGGTATGCGGTCGGGTCCGACAACCTACTCCAAGCTTGGTGCGGCTTGGAAAGGTTCATCAATGAAAGCTAAAAGCACCTCCAGGGAAATGGATCGCAGCCAGGCACACATTGGCTGGATGAAGGGAATCATGATGAATAAGAGGAAGACCTCCACAGACAGCCCCAGAAGGGCAGATTCGAAAGACTCCAGCATGTTCAGCCCAGGATACATGGACGATGACAAGTGGGGAGATCCAGAGACTATCCAGGAAGAGTTTCTCCGCATCAGCATGCAGCTACCCAAGGTCAAGTGGGAGCACATCGACATGGACAACTTGACGCTCAATGCATCCCTCAACGGCCCCTGGGGCGCAAATGGCGATCCCATCTTCATCAAAGTTACGGTCGACATACCGTCCAACTACCCCAAAGCCAAAGCACCGAGATTTTACATTGAGAAGACCGGTTTCATGTCGGACAAGACGCATAGGAAGATCGAGCACGAAATCCATGAGCTTTGCCACCAGTTTTTGGAGCGAAAACAGAATTGCTTGGATGTTGCCTTCTCTTACCTTTTAGGCGAGATTGACCTGGCGGCGAGCACGAATTTTTTCAAAAATGTAAAGGACCTCGATGATCCATTAGACGGACTTGGCTCCGACAGCTCCAGCGAAGACGAGAACGATATTCCGGCCGGAGGTTCGGCGTCCATGTCCCAAGAATTGCCTCCAAACGCCGAGGCCGAAAGTACGTTGGCACCAAACAACAGACCGACAATTCCGCCCCTGCCGCGGTTTTGCGGTGCCCGCTTTTCCAACGACGGGCGGCTTGTGTGCTTTTTCCCAACCAAGGAAGAAAAGGCAAGGGCATTGCTCTTCACGCCGGCAGAACCCATGCGAGAGAGGTCAAAGGGGGAGCCTGTATTCGCCGGCTTCGGTCGTCTTGCGCACGATTCGGCGCCGGGCAAGCGATATGGCAACGACGAAATATCTGCCACAGATGAGCAGTCTGACTCTGAAGACTCCACCGGTTCGTCGTCGTCAAGTGACTCGGAATCAACATCTATCAACAAGATGAGCTTGTGGTATCAACCCCGGCATCGTTTCAAGCGAACCTGGAGTGACAACCGCTCTCTCCGGTCAAGCGGCGGCGGCACAGGAGTTGGTACCGGAACGGGGACAGGATCTCTTCGAAGGCGACCCGGCGCCAAATCAAAGAATGTCATCTCCCTCCACGACTTATCGGACCTCCTTCCTGCGAAGAAAGAATTTGCTGAAGATTATGCAATATTTGGGGATGGCGCTGAGGTCTGCGAGCACAACGCTCAGGTTGCAGAGAAGCACGGCTGCCAAGATCTTGTAGATGTCTGGCGCTATCTCTCACTAATACTTCGCCGAGATATCCCCTTGGAGTTGTCAAATATGGACCATCACCAAAACTCCATTCTCATCATTGCCAGAGACGCTCTTGCGCGATTCCGTCATGAAGGGTCGCCGGTTGTCAAGACGATCAATGGGAAGGACACTGCTGACTTCAACGGGAGAGTGAAGTGGGGCAATCATCCGCTGGCGAGGGATTTCATCAGCGATCTCTTTGATTACTTTGAGAAAACTGCGGATATCCAGATGCTAGCCATGTTGTCTTGCATCTTTAGCGAAGCATTCACCGAAGACAGCGTTGCCTACGCCGAGTCGCACCTAGCGCAGCCAGATACACCCCTGCCGATGAAAACTCCTGCCTTTTCTCTCGACTACTTTCCCACGGATGCATCGTTGTGGACTTACAACGGGAGGAGTCAGACGAATTCGGCCATCACCACGCCGAGAACATTACACACACCTATACGGTACTCCGGATCACAAGGATCCGCTGAAGAGGTGCTTTGGGCTGGCGACCCAGGCTCGAACTCTTACTCTTGCGGCGAAACACCACCACCAAGAGGTAAAGAATATCTTGGTGATGGTGACCAGACCCCGAGTCTTTCCACCTCACCCAGTGGCAGGACGCTCTCGAGAGCCAATTCGGGTTTGACGTCGAGCTTCGCAATCAACTTCGCCCGACCTTTCAGCGGTGTTGCAACGGGGACGACGACCGCAGCATCGTCGCCGCCTAACCACGGTCGTAAGAGACCGAGTCCAGCGGAGACAATACTAAGCACCCTCGCCCCCAGCGCACCCGGTGCCGTCACTTGGGGAGGCTCGACGATTAAGACGGACTCGGGCACGGCTCGCACCTCTCTCTCAGATGACGAGGTGTACCGCGATGATCTATTCTCCTTGGTACCCATTGGTGTGTCCGTTCATATGGAGGACCAGACCATCTTCGATGACGACGGATGGATGACGACGCCGCTTCTCGAGGCCAATCGCGCCGACATGTATGCCACGTATCGCTACGTCTACGCCGAGATTCTGCAAATGTGGAACCAGCCTCTAGCCCGCCTAGAGATTATGAAGTTTAACGTGCTTCAGCAAAGCCAGGGGGCTGGTGCGCTTGACGAATTCCACGAGACGTACAGTATAGCCGACACTTCTACGACAGTTCAGCAGCATCATCATGACCAGCAGCATCAGAGCCATCAGGCGCAGTATCACCAACAGCAACCCCACAACACCTCTCCGATCCTCCTCGGAAAGAAGGAGCAACTCCAGGCTCTGGTGGCCTCAGGCCGCGGCCTCGATGTCACCGGCGTCTGCCGCGTCCACGAGACTCAGCTCGAGCCACTCAAATACACCTCGGCTACCGCGACCCGTTCCGGCGGCGCCGTCGGCGTGTGCGATCGCTGCCGCCGCCCCCAGTGCCAGCTTCTCTGCGTATACTGCCGCGAGCCCGTCGACGCACTGTACCCGCCATGCCTCGGCTGCGGCTGCGCCTTCCACGAGGCCTGTCTCGCGGAATGGCATGCCGCCGGCGAGGTCTCATGTCCTGCCGGCGACGAATGTAACTGTGTCGAGGAGGCGTCGAGCGGGCAGGTCGAGTCTTGGACCGCCATGATGGGAGCGCTGAGGAAGGGACAACAGTCTGCTGCGGCTGGGTCTGCTGCACCCGCGGGTGGAGTCATGGGTCGCGGGTTCGTGCTGCCGCCGCCTGCGATTGAGGAGCCCGATGACGAGGAAGTCGAGAGAGGCGACTGGGAGAGCGTGGCGAGTTCCGCGGGTATCCCTAGCCGGATGCAAGGTGGGGGGGCGGGCAGCAGCGCGGTCATGAGTGCCGCGCGGATCAGTCTAGGAAATAGACTTAAGAAGTCTGCGGGCGATACCGCGGCTGCTTGGTCTCGCGCTTCGAGCTTGAGGAAGGGCAGGGGTAGTGGTGGTGGTGGTGGTGGTCATCCCGGAGCTGGGGTCGGGCACGGGAACAGGAATGGAGGTGCCGGCGGGAGTTGGAGAAGCGAGAAATGATTAGGGATGTATGATTCGTGTGGAATTTGTATCATTGTTGTAGATGATGGGTCAATGTCCGAATACCAAGTTGATTTTGATGTGAGGGTCTTTGTTAGCTCCAGTTTGATTGCATCGTTTTGTCAAAGAGGCAAGCTATAGCGCTGAGGCGCTAGTCGAGATTCCCGGCAAAGCATTTGCATGGGGTATGTTCAGACAAGAGGGCATGGATTTGGAAGATACTCTGATGCCATTTGATGCATCAAATGCCCCTCGAGCCGTCAAGGACAAGACATACATCACCGTCACGAACGCCACCTCATGTTACTACCATCCCAACAGTAGGCTTTGTCGTCCAAGGAGCTGACTGTGCCTAGTCTTGCAGTCCGGGATATCAAGATCGCCGGCTTCGCTTGCGGGAGGTCGTCTGGAAAGCGTGACCTGCTTGACGGGGACGCCAGGGGGTCGTGCAAGCGCGAGGGGAAGAGCTTGTTGCCGGAGGGGAGGTCTTGTAAGCGGGTGTGGATGTTGGTGCTGCGCAGAAGAATACTGCATCGGGGCTTGCTTCTGGGGCCGGGGTGTAATCTTGCGGATCGTCGTAGATGGACGAACGCGGCGCATCAAGGGCTAAGACAAGTGTTTGCTCGACAAGATGGTGTACGGTTGGCGGTTGGCTCCTGGTATCGAAGTCATTACCTAAAATAGGAATCCACGATACAGTAGCAACCTGGCTTGACCGACAAGACTTGAAGAAGATGCTGAGCCTACAATTGCTCCGGGGAGGATCACTTCCTACAGGACTTCATGTCACCGGGGACATCTTCTGGACGATGGCGTGGGAAAATCCGTCGCGCCGTGGCGCGCAGAGCACTGCTCTTGCGGTGATCGTCGTGGAGTAGCTCGACGGTCCAACGCTCTGACAACAGAAGTGCATCACTTTGGCAGCCTTGACGCCGAGCAAACGAGTTTGATCTAGGCCTGCTTGGTGTGAGGATATCGTTGAATTAGTTACTCACAGAAGGTTACTTTTCGTGCTGGGCCAGCGAGACTGTGATGATCATCGACCCTTGCAGGTCAGCATTCTGAGTCTTGGAGGAAGAGACGGATAGTTAAGGAGAGATGGGGACGGAGGGATAGAGAAAGATATGGCGTGGGACTGTGTCGACATGGTTGTGCACAACATAATGGTGTTGAAGAAGAGAGGTGGAAAAAGAGTTTTGGGAGGGGTTATATTCCTCGGAACCAGGCGGCAGGCTCCGCAAGATGCATGTTGTTTGTTTGGATGAGAAGCTAGGTTCGCCGGAACGGTAGGTAAACAGCGTTCATCATTCATCAATGGGGAAAGAAATCGCATCAACAGAAAAAGGCGTCACACGGGCATGGCAAGAGGTAGGTAGGTACCATGTCTTATCTGAGGAGCACTTGTATACAGACGGCTGCGATCATCTTGCCTCGGTATACATTTATCCTTTCTTCTACAGAATAACATGGCCGCGTTCAAAGTGAAGGTTCTCCCACTCGCGAAACTGTTTTGCGACTTGTCCCAGCCCGAAATCTGTTCGACTTACAAGCCGCAGTTTAACGATATCTGCAACCAAGGTTCCAAGTGAGCCTATAAGCAGGAAGGCAGTTACAGCCCGGCCTTCCTAAGTCCAGTCCGGAAGCCCATGAGATCTCAGATGTTATATGACATTGAACGGACTGGTAATGAAAACACACTGAAGCCAAAGCACCGCCGGGAGAGTTTGCCAAGCTACGACTGAGAACATGGGCACAGCAAAGCTTCTGATGGCGACTCGTCGGCTGGAGATTCTAAGTTTTCCATTGATCTAGAAGAGTCCAAAGACGAAGGCGACCACTCGTACAAACATTTCGTCGCCTCTTCTGGCTTGAAAATATTCCGACCGAGCTCAGATTTCTGCTTCTCCCATGGAGGCCAGACCTGTCATCGCTGCGCAACATCGTCTGTACACCTCCAATGTTCCATGCCAATTATCTTGAGCATAGGGACACGATTCTGCGAAGCTGCTTGGCCAGTGAGGTCATTGGATTTTGCCTTGATACATTCGCGACTATGATATCCTAGCACAAAATACTTGGGACTAAGCGGACGAACCCAAGAGTCACCGGATTTCTCGATGGCTTTCACGCGCAAATTTCAAAGAGCTGTCAGTCTTCTTGAAATATAGAAAGTCTCAGAGACGGAGATCTACGCTGGATGGCTTCATTTCATAGTATCGTCGCTCGACCTTTAGCTCGACTTTGTGCAAGTTGGGCACTCGGAAGCCTCACGAATCTGACCGTCAAATATCGGGCATAATCCCAAGCCCTACAGAGTAAATCGAGAAGAGTCGCCACTCTCTTTAAAACCCCGATACAGATATTGCAACAGTCTCTTATTTACATGGTGATCAACAGACTACAGTTGCACTGGATGACGTGTCGATCACTTCTACTGCCTATAGTAGCAAATTGAGCAGGACCGAGGAGATACGGCTTCTCCGAGACATCTACAGATATCAGACTAATTGTCATCTTTCTGGACGAAACGAAGGCATTCATCATAAATTACGGCATGAGGGAATATGAAGTCAATGAGATGTTCTTGGGCGTATTCGACCCATAAGATGTGGACGCCCTGAGCTGCATCGATTTCTTCATTACACATGAGCACGACAAACTCTTTTAGAAGGTCCAATTAGATATGGCAGACACGAATCCTATATACCTTAACCCGACGTCGGTGCTCAACCCATTTGATTCATTCAACCTTGACACACTCCACCGTGGTAAGTCTGGCGATGATCTGATTTTCTAGACTCTGGGAAACCAGTTGACCTACTGTAATCCAGTAGGCCATTCCACATAATCATACAGGTAGTACGTCGGACGACAGATATCATAGAAGGTACCATTGCGCGAGGGCTCAGACCGCTAGCACGACTGCTAACGATCGACGACCACGAGAAACTAGTCGGAATAATGCGCAAACCGCTGGGTCGCGCCTAGGACATAGATGACCCGCTCAAAAATGCACTTGTCTTTGTTTCGCAGTGTGATTGCCCGGAACTACCAGAGCGGTTTCTTTTCCTCACACGAGGAACGATCTTGAGCAGGGAAAAACACCAGTAGCGCTCCAAGGTAACTTTATCCCTCTCAACTTACCCTCATATGTTTAGATGCTATTATCACATTGCCCGCGGCGAGTGCATACTAGTAATTTCCAGAGCCGCTGAGAACGTGCGCGTACGTTATGTGGGATAACCGCAGGTGGATCGAAGCCGGCACTAATGAGCTCGTTTTCCAGCAGTGGTATTACGACACAGAGTGTATTGGAATGTTTGAGGCTGTTGTTGGATCTTACAATTGGCTTTAGGGCAGAGTAGATAACTTGGAATGCAGGCCTTTTCTCCACGGCGAATTGGTCTCAACTTATGCGACTACCCGACTGTCACGGATTGCGATACGGAGTACTAGGAAAAGCATTATCATTAAAAGGATGTTTGATACTGTTTAACATGGTACTCCAAAAAGACAAAGTGCTTGTAAGTTTAGTTACTGGTATGCTAGACATTTGTCGTCCACTCAAGTTACATGTATGAGCCTAATATGTATATACGCTACCAGAACTTTGTTTCAACTCAAGTAAGAGCATTCAGATCTATAATTATATCATCTGTCACAAGCTCCTAAATTCCAGATTTACACTTCTCTCTGACCTTGAAATGTTGATTAGCAGTTGTTTAGTTTCCTTAAAGCTTGAAAGTAAGTGTGGTGACCTTTCACAGGCAAGAAGGTTCTATTTTTTTCTAGAATCAACTATTGTCCGAAGATGCAGGGGCGTCGACCAAGTGATAGTGTTTGGGCACATTACTATGTAGTTCGCGACGCAGGGGGGGTCATTTTCCCAACGCCATCGGAGATAAATTCAGCGCCGATGCGGAACAATGTTTGCTTTGTAGGTTTAGCGGTGAAGATCCCGGGAGATGCTTCCGGGCGGGATGATCAGTCCGTGCCCTGCATGTGTGCACCTTTGAACTTTAATTATGCTGGAGCATGTCAAAGATACCCTCATTCATCTTGGCACTTTCATCTACATCCATGGTTCGACCGAGAGATACAACGAGATTTAGGGATCCGGCAACCATTGTTTTCTGGAGATCGCGTCAATTTTACCGACCTAGTTCCTTTTCAGTCCGGGGATTCGGAGCGGCTTCCTGGGCTCCAGCAGCGTCTACGGCAGCACTGCTTAGAGTAGAGAGACCCGCAATGTAGAGGGTTTTGACTTGATAGACTGAGCTGATTTCATGTTCCTTCAAAAGCCGTCTTCGTAGCTCTCCAAGCCCGAAAACATGCCGTGATGTCCGTTTCACCATTAACATCGCCTTTCCTGGAATCATGGTGTTAGGAAGGATCCTCTCTTTTGCCGTCGCAGCGACGGCCGCAGCTACCAACTATGGCAGCACTGTCTTCGACACAGACGTAGTCATCATCGGCGGTGGCGGCTCTGGGGCGTACGCCGCCGTCCGTCTGCGTGAGGACTTTGGAAAACAGATCTTGGTTGTTGAGAAAACATCTCGATTGGTATGGTGATCTCTTTCCATTTGTTGAGAATGTCATTCACAGTGACATCTACCTAGGGTGGTCATACACAAACCTGGTACGACCCAGCCACCAATAAGCCATTCAACTATGGCGTTGAGGCCTTTACCAACATCTCGGCCTCTGTCAACTTCTTCGCCCGCTTCAACGTGTCTGTTAAACGCCCAGAGTGGGGTCAGGCGCAAAGGTTGTACGCCGACTTCCGGAATGGCGAGGTGCTCAACTATACCACTCCGAGCTCCGACGATGTCACCAGCGCTATGGCTAAATACGGCGAACAATGGAATCGCTATGCAGACCTGCTGTTGCCAACCAGTTTTGGGTTTCCCACTGGGGATGATATTCCAGTAGACCTCTTATTGCCGTGGAATGAGTTTGCCAAAAAGTACCATCTTGAGGCTGTCAGTCCCACCATTTGGAGCACCGTTGGCGTTGATTTGACCAAAGCCCTCATGATTGATGTGTGGAAATCGTATTATCCCACCGTTACGGGCTTCGCTCCCGCTTCGGGGGATAATTCGGAAATCTGGCACAGAGTTGAGGAGCTTTTGGGCAAGGATGTCATGTACGAGAGTCAAGTCATCTCCACTGAAAGATCGGACAATGGGGTGCGATTGCGGGTGATGGGCAGGGATGGTGCCATCTCTCAAATCAACGCCAAGCGACTTCTGATTTCCATTGGGCCAGAGACAATGGCCAAAGAGGTTTTCAGTCTCGACGATCACGAGGTCGAAGTTCTCTCTTCAACCTCGGGCAACCGCTACTACACTGGTCTCGTCTCCCACCCGTCCCTACCACCGCAGGTGATCGTCAACACCGCCCCGGAGGGTGTCGGGGCCAACTATCTCGCCTACCCTGCAACCCCATATCTGGCTAGTTTCCTGTACAAGGGAAACTCGTCAGCAGGTCCCATTTACCGATCATTGGTCATTGCATCAAAGGAGACTGGCTTCGAGGATGCTAAGAGCATTGTTCGCAACTCTCTGCAAAAGCTCATGGATGCAGGAACGGTGGTCCAGGGTGATGTCAGCAAGATAGATTTCAAGACTTTTGATGACCACGGAATGCTCTACAGACGCTGGGATGCCGAGCAATTGCGAGGAGGTATTGTGTCTCAAGCAAATGCGCTGCAAGGTCTTCGGTCTACTTGGTACACGGGAGCTTACTGGATGAACAATAATGCGGCCATGCTGTGGAACACGACAGACGCGATTCTGCCGAAGATGTTGGTGGGCTTTTAGTCTCCGAGCTGCGACTGAGCGCTTGGTCGTCAGGTAGATCCGGTGGCGAGTTCCAAGATCTCAATGCGCTTTGGCACTTTGCTGTCTGGCGTATTTAGAGTAACTAGCTCTCGCTTTGTATTCATATATGTTGCCTTATTTTAGACAAATAGACTAAGCACGAGAATTCATTTCTTTTGCTTCCTCCCTTTCGAGTGGTGCCATTTTCGAATCTACATGTAGAAATGCCCAAGGGGTTCAGACCTCCAACGCATTGGACTTTAATTAGTCCTTAGGTAATATTCTTTAGATATCACATGAATCATTTCCCTTGTGATCTTATGGGTTATATTGTATATTTCAAGATGGCTCATACAATACTATCTCAGTCTATTATTTGAAGTTTAATATGCGCACAAACTTGCTAGAGTCGCCATTCATACTCAAAGCTTTTTCAGATTCACGGTTCAATCCCACACTTCACTGTTTGGTTATACAACGCCATACGCTCAATTCTCTTAGTGATTGAGCCTGATAGAATTTATGTTACGCTTGGGACATCCAACGAAAAGCTGGTAAAAAATCATGTAAACAGCGTCTCCTGTCCGCTTTAGAATGCTCCTAGAATGCACATGCGGAAATCATACTCCAGTGTTCTGGCCCCAAACCCAGTGGAAATTGGTACCGAGCTCTACTCCGTTCTCAGTCTCTTTGGCAACGGTATCAACCAAGGATTTGACCTTATCCTCAGTCAAGTCAAGGCCGTCAACTTTAAGTTTCAAAAGACCATAGAGATTTTGTGGCATGTATGTCAACGCCATTTTTGTAATGATGGGAATCAGATCCGGCCTTCCCAACGTGACAAAAACCTTCTCATCAACACTTATTAAACCAGCCTCACGGAACTGGTTCGGAAGAAGAACCGGACATCTGAGCTTGGGTTAGTGCGTTGCGCACACGGAAAGTGGAACCCAGAATTGGGGTTCGGGGCCCGGGGCTCACTCACTTAGGGTCACGGCCAAGCTTGACGGCCGCTTCGGACTCTATTCTTTTCCATTCATGGAACGCCGCTGAGTAAGGGTTGCTGGCGTATCCGTAAGCTCCAATCTCGGACCAGAACAAATAGCCGCCCGACTTGAGCAGTGTCTTTAGGTTTTTCACCGCCAGAAGCCAGTCGTCTTTCTTCATTGCGGCGTAGAGCAGCTTCACATGGACAAGATCATATTGTCCCAGCATCTCTTTTGGAAATGGTTCCAAGACGTTGGCGATATGTAGATTGACATTTGCGGGCAACAGAGCTGGATCGGGGAATTTGCTCGCGTCCATGTCAAATCCATCGAGCTGAGCGTCAGTCGCGAGCTTTGTGGCAATCTCTCTGAGAAAAATACCACTGCCGGTGGCCGCATCGGCGACCTTGGGCGCTGCTATGCTGTTCAGATGTTTCCAGATGACGTCTGGAAAGTTGTCTCCCATGATGGCTTTGAGGACACCATGCTGGAAGTCGAGACGCTCGCGCTCTTTGTTAGCGTCGCCATGGTTTAGGGTGTAGACAGACGTAGTTGTGGTGAGCATTGTAGAAGATATGGCGACAGAGTCTGCCAGCGTCGCTTTTTCTGGTTATAGCCACGGATTACAATGCTATTTCAGAGTATATTTATGCAACAGGTCTCCATTGAAGTAATTGCATGAATAGATAATGATGGCTTTCTGTTGTCAAGTCTTTTTTGCCAAGCCTTTGCTCCCTCTTGCTACTCTTAGATCAAATAGTACAAACGTGAGTCCGGTATCACATCGGCTTAACTTAAAACTTTGTCTTAAATTTTGATTATTAGTATGGGTACGGCGGCAATGGACGAAGAGACCGTGTCCGTTTATACCTCGAGTTTAAGGTCTGACATTGCATACGGCCCGCCCTATCTTTCGTCATTTTGTCAGTGGGTCTCCCAACCGGTTTATCAAGAGGTTGTGTTCCGGTTCAGTAGAAGCGGGACTGATTAGTGTTCAGTGATCTGGTGGGAAATCATGTGGATACTCCGGACAAGCCTCTGGGGTAAGCCTTAAGTTGTCAGGGTCCCATGAGCCGCGCGTCTGGAGTTGCACTCAGATGGATACAGATTTCGAATTCACGAGCTCGAGGCTTGGTTTTGCTCCACCTGCCCTATTGATGTGATCCCAAGGCTTAGATATGCACGATTTTCATAACGACAAAGGACCTTCCGTATTGACTCATTGCAGATTTGTTTATTATGGATCTTGGTGTTTGAAGATGATGTTATTCGCTTAACCCTTGGCTTCCCTCTGTTGCAGATCAACATCAAGCAAAAGACTCTGTGCCCCGTTCGCCTCCAACTCAGTTTTCCCCTCAGGCGGCATGTGTTGCCCCGCACTCTCGAAAAGCTCAATATGTCAAGGTTCTGTCCAAGGACCATGAGTGGCTCTGCCAGACTCTAGGCAAAGACGGCGTGGGTCCGCAGTTGATGAGCTGGAGCCGAGCTTGTCAAGAGGTGAAAAAGCAGATTTTGGGCGGCGCATAATTAGAGATATGACCGTTCACACACAAGTTTGGACAAAATCTCGGGGTAATATCATCTAGGAGGCTGTCCATTTCTGTAACACGCATTTGCAAGAAGCCTTCACTCGTCCGTCCTGCTTAAGCGATGGCCCCAGATTACACCATGAAAACGACGTGGACCCACTGACGTTGAAGAAAATTACCTAGTGTATAAGCGTCTGCCAATCGAAACAACGTTTTCCCCGGTTATATATTCTTGAAGATCCCCGGCCTTGCTCGGGATGGATAACTTTTGAATACGCGGAAGCAATTCAACTTTTTAAAATTAATCCGGCAACCCAGACTCGCACTTTCGGAGCAGACCAGTCCGGAACAATGACATCTAGACTGATGGAAAAGAGCGACCTAGCATGCGAACAGTGTCGTCGTCGCAAGTCAAGGTGCGATCGCCTCCAACCCAAATGCGGATCCTGCGTTCGGGCCGACACACCGTGTCTCTTCACAGAGGAGAGGCCAAAACGTGGTCCAAAAAAGGGACAACTTCGGGCATTGAAGGCACAAGTTGGTAAGTGCTCCAGATTTGGAAAGCCAATTTGTCTCCTCAGAACTGAACATTCTCATCTGCCCGCAGCCGTACTGGAAAGACAGCTCGCGGAGCAAAGCAAGACTGAGACTACCATACCCGATCCTGGCAATGACCCTACACGTCCGCATGATGCGGGTGAAATATCCTCTAGCGTCCCTGCGAGTGAAGACATGATTACGGGAACTGTCAGCTGGCTGGATGATTTGGCCGCTACCTGGGACGATCAACTATTAGAGCTTCCGGAAATATCTGGTTCCACAGCAGAGTCGCCAAAGTTGGCACCCATGGCAGAAGATCCAGGCTTGTCTGACATGGTCCAGGCTGACTTGTATGTCTAATGCGAACCACCTTGACGATTGAATGCGCTTAATCTTATCAAATCTCAACAGGGATGCTCTGTACTTTGAAAGAGTACATCCATTTGTGCCGATCATTCACAAAGGACGATACTTCTCCTGGTGCAGCCAGCAAAGTCCCTCGCCAGTGCGTAGGTCTCTACGTCTTGCAATGTGGACCATCGCGGCAGCCATGTCCGCCCCATTCCAGAATCTCAGTGAGGGGCTGTATGGCGCCACGCGGCAGGCCCTTCACGCTCTAGACGGCAACGATCACGATCTGCCCTGGATGACAGGTGATATCCAGCTTGAAGAAATTCAGGCATGGCTATTGCTGGCTCACTACGAGTTCATTCGTATGGAAGCTCACCATGTACTGCTCACATCCGCGCGTGTGTTTCGTTTGGTGCAGCTCGCGCAACTCCACGCAGTCGATGCTGCCACCACAATGGCTGGCAAAGAAGTACAGAGTGCTCCCCTCGCTTTCTCAGAAACACAGCAATTATTAGATGCAATGCTTGAAGAAAAGAGACGAACGTTTTGGGCAGCGTTTTGTTTCGATCGGTTACTGAATGCCCATGACAGTTTATCCTTCACACTGCAGGAAGAAGTGGTAAGTCCCCCTGTACTCTGGCCTTGACCTTTGAAGCACTGTAATGATTTGGGTCCCTGATTATCCCGATTCGACTTTAGATCTGCCTGACCCTTCCAGTTCCGGAAAGTTGTTTCCAAAGGTCAGAAGATTGCCAGAAACAACTCTTAGCCTGGGCCATTGCAGCGGATACGAATGGATCAAGGCTCGCGCCGTTTGCTGAAGTGGTCGTTCTATCAGCGCTCTACGGCCGCTGTCTCACACACCGGCGCCTAGCGATAGCTGCTACCCAAAATGGGAAAAAGTCCAGCATTGTCGGCTCAAACGAGTTCTTCAGGCGGCATGAATGGCTTGTGGCTGCCATGGAGAAGTGGGTTCGCCCAATCCCACATACACCGCTGGATATGGGTGACACGATGGAAGCAATATGTCATTTGTTAAGCCGCAGTGCCATCATCCATTTAAGTGACACAGCTGCTACCTGGCCGTGGCAAACGGCTGAGCATCAAACGTATATTACAGCCTACGAGCAGAAAGCGTTCGAAGCTGCCATCGAAATTGTTCACTTAAGCAGTAAGTTGCCTCGAACGACTTGTCTCAAGGTCAGTGGATATGAGTTGCCCAAAGCTCGTTTTCCTGTCTGCTCTAGCTAACATCGTGCAAGGCACATCCTTTTTCACCAAGCATTCTAGCACATACCGTTGTCTTCCTTAGACGACATGCTGGAATGTATGCAAAAGAACAGTGGGTGAACGGAGAAGATGGCGGTGAGGAGAGGTTACTAGCATGCTTGAGAAGGTTTGCAGATGTTTACCCTTCGCTCGGCGAGCTGCTAGACAAACTCGACACCAGTACCAAATACTTCTGCTAAGCTTTTGAGCCCCAGTGTGATGACACCCGTCCCCGTGAATATTCGTCTCATGACAAAATTTAAGTAGACCAGTGTCACAAAAGATTAGACCTGGACACATCTGTGAATGTACCTATTTCACTTTTTCCAAGTTCAGCTCGATACATTAGTGTAGTGAACATTAGGCTGATCGCACCTTAGAGAAATAAAAAATCAGACGAACTGAATAAAAAGACCAAACCAATATCCTAATTTCTAGCCGGTACGTCAGGTTTGATTGTAACGGAAATCTAAGAGGTGACATTTAAAAGTTTCTATCAAAGACTACAAGTAGAGTATAAAATTGTATATATAAACATTATTTTTATGAAAACCTTCTACTAAGAAAGTCTATTTACAACTTGTGACCATACTTTTACGATAGATTATTATATCCTTTATAGCTTTGGAAGACAACCTTTTTAATACGCTAACCCTGCTATGAGTCCATATTATCAATAAAAGAATATATTTAGAGGCATCTGACCTTGTCGAAATCATAATCGCCCAAGAAGACGCAACAGAAACTTTTGAATGGCACCTCCGTACATAACCAACAGCAATCACTTAAAGTAATGCCGAGAGTCCCCACTCACATCAGCTTTTCAATGAGAATCAGCACATACTTGGCAACTTACCCCGCAACATCAACATCACAAACACGACACGAATCGATCTGTGCTATACCACGACCATGGTTGAGTTATCGTTTGACCTGCCAGAGGGTTTTGCGTCTACCCAAGATTTTCTTACGGCGCGCAAGTCCCTAATCAATGCCGAGCAAGCACTGGGATACGAAAACAAGGTCAACGAGACTGCTATCGAGCGCCAGGCCCAAGACGTGGTACAACGTCTCAAGAAATGGGAGGACAGAAACCACCATGGTGTTCATCCTGATGGGTCGGGTTGCGAGGCTGGCCATCACTTCTTACACGGAGTAGATGCGATCGAGAATAGCCAGCTCTTCAAGATTGCGCAGCATGCGCCCAAGGGAGCTCTTCTGCACTGCCACTTTGATTGCATCTTGCCGCCAAAGACCTTGCTAGAGGATGCGAGGGCGCAAGAAAGATTGCACATCAAAAGTGACTGCCCTCTGACTTCAAAGGGGTTCTTCGCTTGTGCGCTGCCCCAATTCTGTGTCTTGCCAGAACCTACAGACCTCAGCGAGGCAACAAATGTCTTCAGCAAGACCTACGTGATTGGGTCATGGATGAGGTATTCTGACTTCCTGAGGCTGTTCCCAGGTGGCCCAGATAGGGCTGAGTCGTGGCTCAGTAAGCAAATGGTGATAGGGCCAGAAGACGCCTACCATCCACGTCAGACAGTCGACGGGTATGTGACGATATGACGTCTACGCGGGTGAGCTATGCTAATCCATGTCAGTATTTGGAGAGAATTCATGCGGAGCGTGATGGTCATGCGGTCCATGCTGTGCTATGAGACGGCATATTGCGGACAGTTCCGGAGAATTCTATGGAAGTTTGCCGAAGACGGCATCTCCTATGCAGAGATACGACTTGCCTTGAATTACGAATTCACCATCCAAAGTGACGACGCGAAGAGAAGCTATGGGCCTCAAGAGATCATCCAGATGCTCGCAAACATTCAAAAGGAGGAGATCCCCAAGATCGCCGCGTCGGGCCTGGTGTTCCACGGCGTCAAGATTATTTACGCGTGTAACCGTTCAGCCACCAGAGAGGCCATGAAGGGCTGCATAGAAACATGCATAGAAATGAAACAACAATTCCCGGATTTCATTTGCGGTAAGTATTTCTGCCCCTGTTCTACGTGTACGCATGTCGACTGACCACCACGGAACAGCCTTCGACCTTCAGGGTCAAGAAGACACTGGACATCCCTTGCTCTACTGGATCGAGGAGCTGCTGGACATGCGAGCCAAAATCCAGCATTTGAAGCTTGACCTTCCCTTCATCTTCCACGCAGGAGAAACTCTTGACCATGGAGGTGACACGGATATGAACCTTTTTGATGCCATTCTCCTCGGAACAAAGCGCATCGGGCACGGATTCAGTCTCATCAAGCACCCATTGCTGATGAAATTGTGCAAGGAGAAGAATATCGCTATCGAAACGTGCCCCATCTCGAACGAAGTCCTGGGACTCTGCCCAACGACCAAGATGCATCACCTTCCAGTTTTGCTATCGAACTGCGTGCCATGCACGGTTAATAGCGATGATCCTGGGTCGTGGGGGTAAGTTTTGTGTTTCCAACGTGGTGTCAATCGTCAACGTACGCGAGACTGATCATGGATTAGGGCGAGCGTCATGTCGCATGACATTTACCAAGCACTCATGGGATCTCATAATCTCTCACTCCTTGGACTTCGAGTGATTGCCGAGTGGAGCTTCGAGTTCAGTTGTATGGACCATGACGTACGCGAAAGAGCATCTCGAGACTTTGCCAAGAGCTGGATCAAATACTGCGAATGGATTGTCGATACTTACGGGGGAAAAGAATAGGGGCATGGAATCTCCGTAGAACCAAGTCACAGCATCATGAAAAACCAGTTGACTAGCGGAGGAGGAGATGGGGGCATTTGAGGCGTCTGGGAGACCACCGCTTAGAACCTAGAAACCACATACCATGTCGTCTGCGACGCAAGCCCTGAAGACTGTTATGAGACCACCGTGAAAATGAAGCGCTTTCGTAAAATTTCACTAAACTTAATTAGTTGTTGACTGTAAAATCCATCGAATTCTTCGCCTAGTAAACCGCTGAAGTTTTCTATGTCACAAGATTGACTGGGTTGCCAGCCACAAACCCGGCAATATTGGTCTTGAGCATCTCTAGGTAGTTCGAGCTCGTTTCCTCTGCCACCCATGCTACGTGAGGAGTAGTGGTTAGGTTCAGATCCTGGACTCTATGGCTTAACAAAGGGCTGTCTTTCTCACCAGCTGGTTCCTTGACGAAGACATCTGTAGCTGCACCAGCAATAATACCCTTTTCCAAAGCTTTCACCAGCGCTTCTTCATGAACTATCCCTCCGCGAGACTCGTTAATAAGTACGGTATGGCAGCCCATGCTGTTCAACTCTGGAGTCGAAATGTAGTCGATCGTGCTTTCTGTCTTTGGGAGGCATAAGACAATCACAGAAGCCGTGCTGATGACTTCGTCAAAAGGTACTCTACCTTCCGTTTCAGGTAACCCCTTTCTTCCGGCCAAAAGCACTTTCATTCCAAGAGCTTCTGCAATAGTTGCCACCTTTCGGCCTGTTGGGCGCATGGGTATCATATTAGCGCACTGCAGTGCCAAAGCTACTTTCGAATGTTGCCCGAAAAGGGGAGAGGACGAGTCGTGTTTACTAACCAACTCCACCATATCCCAGGACACCGACGACTTCGTCTTTACACGTCCGCGGAGCCCGACCATCGGCTCCATAGAGCAGATTAAACAAAATGCGACGCTTTGCCCATTCACCGGCCTGCGTCAGGCGATGGCAGCGAGTAATACTCCTTCGGGCTGCAAAGTACATGCCAATGGCGTGTTCAGCCACAGCCGAGGTGTTGCAGTGCGGTGTGTTGGCCACCATTATCCTTCGCGTCCGGCATGCATCGAGATCCACCGAGTCGGTGCCCGAACCCACAACGGCAACTAACTTGAGTTTTGGCGACACGGTTTCGCTCAAGGCCTCCGCTTGGATAGGCACCACCGTTCTGATGATAATATCGGCATCCCCTATGCGATAGGCAAGCTGGTCTGTGCTTGTGCGCTCATACTCCCGGAGCTCATAGGTGTGTGGGACTGGTAGATTAAAGATTGGTGTTGACAGAAAGAGCTTTTCCAGAAGGACAATGACATGATGATGTCCATGCGAGGGGGTGATTGGTTGAGCCATTACGGAATTGCCGAGTTTTACCAGCATCACACCACACATAGATGAGGCCTCGCTTGCGGCTTATAACAACATGTTCCGACGTGTGAGTTGGAGAGGTCCCTCAATGGGACGCTAGTTCACGTTTGGTGGGGTGTGAGAGCCTGGCTGATAGGTCTATAAAGATTCCCCGGCCGGCGTAGAATTTGGCCGGCATTCCTGTTCATGGCCAACGCACCATCATATCAGAGGATTTGCCATCACATAGAATGGCATGCCAAAGGTCACGTAGACAGGAAAGGTAGCCTGATCAAATCCTGTGCTAAGCCGCGGCAAGCTCATTGATTATTATGCTGGTCGCGGATTGATCTAGTTTAAACTTTGCCCAAATTGCACGAGTTATATACGCCTTTTCAATACAAAGGGCGAGAGATTTTCTGTGCTTGGCAACTTGTGATTGCCTTGTCATTTAGCCGCCTTGAAGTACCTAGTTGATGGCCATAATGACTTCCACCACTTCGAGCAATACGGCTACAACCCCGGTTGAATCCTCCCGAGTCACCACCCAGCACCGCAGCGGTGATCCCGACCTCGCTTTCCAGACAGACGACCAGATCTATCCGCCCAAGTTTGGAGACAAATATGAGGAAAGAGCTTACTTGAAACACCGATTGACGCTGGCTTTCCGTATCTTTGCCAATTATGGGTTCTCCGAGGGCTTGGCGGGACACATCACTGTTCGAGATCCTGTAGATCCGGAAAGCTTTTGGGTGAACCCTTTCGGTACGTTCCGCCTCATAATTCAACCGGACGTTCCCTAAATTAGCCTGGTAACATGACTCATTTTTTCAATCAAGGACTGCATTTCTCTTTGATCAGAGATGAAGACCTTATTCGAGTAGACCACACCGGTAAGGTTGTGGATGGGGGCAGAAACCGGAGACTGAACTATGGTACGTAAGTTGCGGTTTCACAATCGACCGCATAGTATATTGAGCAACGAACTGAAACTGCTGCTCCAGCGGCTTATGCCATTCACTCAGAAATACATAAGGCACGACCTGACGTTTTGTGTGCTGCCCACTCTCACAGCACTTACGGCCGCGCATTTTGCGCAACAGGTGAGTTTGACCATTGACGTGTTTACCTCTGAATGCGACTTACGAAGGTGAAGGGCGTACGCTAGACATGCTGTCACAAGACTTTTGTACTTTCTACCAAGACCATGTGCTATACACGTGAGACTTCCTCCTTTTCAAGTTGCGATTTATTAGTTTTACTTAATGGCGGGTACTACAGAAATTTCGCGGGCCTGGTATTTGCTACCGAGGAAGGCAAGGCTATAGCCGCATGTCTGGGAGACAGAAAGGCTGCCTTGCTCGGCAATCACGGACTTTTGACCGCCGGCCCATCGATCGAGGCCGCGGTAGCTTGGTTCGTTCTGCTGGAAAAGCTGTGCGAGATTCAGCTCGCCGCCGATGCGAGTGCAGCAGGAAGTGGGAAGCCCCTGGTGAAAATTGGACACGAGGAGGCTCTCTCTACACATCACGCTATTGGAAGACCAGAAGGGGGTTATTGTGAGTTTTTTTTGAGACTGACCCTTTTTGACAGCACTATCGTCATCGAAGCTGCCAATTCATACGACTAATTCATACTGATTGTCATAAGTTACCGGATTGACGCTATTTCAAGTAGTTGAAAAAGAGTTTGGAGAGATGACGTTTTTGGGCCGGGGGGTAGAGTCTCTGTGATGACGTAGGCAATTTGCCCAAGTTTTAGTTGGGCCAATACGGGGTCTGATAGGTTGTATCTTATTGCCATCCATCTTACATAGTGTGACTCAGGCCTGATGCGGTTATGTTGAATATTGCCTTTGGTCCAAGCCCTAGTTATCAGATATGATCAAGGAAATGCAACTGCACACGGATGGGATTTGTTAGATGATGCCCAAAAGGGTTTGCTACCATAGCAACGAGTTTCTGTGCCAAATTAATCGTCGGAAATCATGCATGCCAATGAAATTAACGTCACAGACCATCTGATTGCTTTATTTCGGGTCGCTGTCACTGCTGCTTTCGGACTTGTGTTTGTTTCAAGCTTAAGTAGAACAATCATATAGTTTCAGTTTGGAACGGCAGGAAGCTCGGAGAAGCGGGAAGCCGATGGGGAGAATATTATGTCTCTTGTGAAGAACGTTGAGTGAAATGCAACAATGCGCTAGTCGACAGGTCTCCTCATTCTCATATGGATTCCAGGCTGGTTTTGTGCCTATGAATATGAGCGTGATATTCCTTTGGCTAGATATCTAGAAGCACATGCATCTAGCTCGAAACTTGCCTCCAAAAACCTTCATCCACTCGGATTTTGCCCATCCTCTTCCCTCATGAGCTGATCAATCTTTTCGTGGCTGTTGATGGACCAGAAATCCCGACATGCATCAGTGAAAGATTTCGACTTGGCTTCCAACAGATCTCCATCGATGGCGGCGAAGCAGAAACGGAAGAAGAGATAGCCGCGTCTCGCTGCTATTTCTTCTGTCGCTGCGAAATCTTTTCCAAGCACAGTCAATATCAGGTACGGAGGCTGCGTGCAATGAATCCATAGAGCGCGCATCAGCCTCCTGTGATCGATTGTCGATGCAAGTGGATGGCTGGCGACTTTGACCTCGACCCATATAAACATGCCTCCCGTAGGCCACTGGAAGTCAAACATCATGACTTTGTCTGCACCTGTGGTAAAGAATCTGTTTTGCTCAAATACGGTCGCCATCTTGACCATGCGACGTTCGTACGCAGCGCGGAGACCTTCAAGCCAGCGCACCCAGCCATCAAAGCCCCACGAAGAAGGACCCTGACCGAGGTCGCATTGTTCACCAATGAGCTGTGCGACAATTGCTTGCACGAATCCTGAAGGCTGTTGCGTGGTGTCGTCCGTAATCCGAAAAAGCTGTTCACATACACGCGGCGACGCTGTGATCCAGCCCAACCGGCAGCCCGGCGCGATGGTTTTCGAAAATGAATCCAGGCGGATTACGCGTCCATCTCTGTCAAAATTTAGGAAGCTGGGTTCCATCTCATCAAGGAAACGGTAACCCGTTGATGGTTCTGTCGGAGGCCCTGTAAGGATATTATTCGTCGCGGCCCGATATTGAGCCGCATAGGATCTGGCGGAGGGATAGTAAAGGCTCCAGTATGGGTCGTCTTCTACGACGACAACGTCATACATAGAACAGACATCGTAAACTTCCTTGCGCCTTGAGGCCGATAGAGTACCCGATGACGGGTTTTGGCCAGTGCTTTCTCAGTCAAACTCATCAGCCAGGTCCGCACATGGATACGAGCAATCAGAACGTACGGAATCGTGTATAAGACATGCGGCCTTTTGCCGTTCATGTGATCCCAGGATTGAAGAATATCAGAAAGGCTACCGGTACCATGCGCTAGCATGCCTTCGTCATCCATCTTGAGTGGAACAATGTTGACATCCTTCGTTCTGGCGTGTGCGACTGGCGGGCCGTACACGAACTCCTCTACCAGTAACCCCTCACGATTTCGAATATCGTCCAGGTCTTTGTCCCATGTGTTGAAGAGTAGGTCGAATACCTTTGAGAGGCCATCTGCCGAACCACCATCGATAATTACTTCTGGCCCTCCTTCGTAGGGTATGCTGGGATGTTGAATGGATACTAGACGACGCAACACCGAGTGGAGAGGTGGGTACCCCTGTGCGCTTCCATACTGCAGTGCAGTGGCTAGGTCAATCTTCTGCGCCACGCTCTTGCCCGAATACCGAGGGATATAGCATAGTATGTCAGAGTCCGGTATAACATTCTGACCACCAATATCTTCTTTTGTTGTCGGAAATTTTGTCGGCCGGTCAACCGAGAGATCTAACTTGCCAAAGGGGAAGATGCTCGTGTGGGGAAGGCCTACAAGTAGATTGAGTAAGCGGCTGGCATACCGTAGCACCGCACCGATACAAGTGTCATACCACCTGAGAAGTTACACATCCCCGGAGTAAAGAGGTACTTGTAGTACTCTTTCAGGGCATTTGGTCTTCTTGCTTTTGAAATTTTTGAAAAATGGTGCGTCAAGTCAACGGGCTTGGTAGTCGTCGGACACATGATGCTCTGCGGCGGGATGCTGGTGAATAGCAAGTCTCATCGGCCCATCTGCTATTCGGAACAGACCACAAATCAAGCAAGTCTCAAAAGGAGCATCGTTTTATGTGTGAAAAAGACCATAATGGAAGGCATTAAAGACTTGTTGGTGAACCAGTGTGCCCCAACCCCTCATAGGCATGGTGGGCCCGGAGCAATATGATTGACAATGTAAGTCCGGCGTAAGCTATGTTGCCCCGCAGGCTCGAGCCATTTTGTTAGCATTGTGCATAACCCATGGGGGATTTGAAGCAAACGGCAGCATCACTTTGTAAATCATACTGGTATGAGCCGCTGGGTTTGAATGGTACATCTAGCATCATAATCAACGTTCCTGTTCGCGATTCACGTCGTCAGCGGCTCCTAAAACATCACAACAGCCAAAAGTCTCGAAGTTCACCACACTAGTCTTGACCAAAACTCAACAAAATGGCATCCGAAAAGCTCTTTGAGAACATTCCACAATTTCCGGACGATATCCCTACCGCGTCCATTGCCAGTATCACTCTTGCTGGCCTTCGTGCAGGGGATGTAGATACCACCCAGAATCTACTGAAAGCATGCCAGACATTAGGGTTCTTTCTCCTTGATCTTCGTGGAGACACGATAGGCGAAGAATTAGTGGAGGAGATTGACCAGCTCATTGGAGACGTTGGCAGAAACGTCATGGGCTTGCCAATTGATGTCAAAAAGAAATATCATGTCGATGTCCCCCGAAGCTTTGAAGGGTGCGTCTTGAGCTCTCTCCTCTCTCTTTGAAACAATTGATTTAAACCCAGAATAGATTTAAACTCCGTGGAGTTGGTAAGACGGAGACCAACGAGCCGGATCGATTCGAATGGTTCAACGTTGGCCAGGACGGCCTGATAGGAATCAGTCCAGCCCCACCACTCCCACCGCTTGTGCAGGAACACCTCCCGCTCTTCACCTCGTTCCTCAAACATTGTCAAGAGATAGCCACAAGTGTACACAGCTCCCTTGCAACTGAACTGGGGCTGCCCGCGGATACCTTCACCTCTCTGAATCGCCCAACGGAATCCTCTCTATCTCTTGTTCGCCTGCTGAAATTTGAAGCGAGCAATGAAGCAAAGGATCTCCGGACAGCCTTACGCCATCATACTGATATCGGAACAATTACTCTTTTGACCAATGTTCTCGGCGGTTTGCAAGTTCTTGCCCCGGGTCACGCCGCCTCGGACCCGGAAGCCTGGCTGTGGGTTCGTCCGCAGCCCCGCCATTTGATTGTCAACCTGGGAGACGCCATGGTGCAATGGACTGGCGGTTTACTGCGCAGCAATACGCACCGGGTCACGTACTCGCCTGGGGCACAGCGATTCGTGGACCGTTACAGCCTGGCTTATTTTATGCGGCCTGAGAAGAAGGCCAGCATGAGAAGGCTAATAGGCGAGGGCGACGATGGCGACGCAGCGAATATGACAGCTGGGGAGTGGGAAATCAAGAAGACTATGGCGTTTGTCACTGATGAGGCAGATACTGTGCTCGTTAATCGCCGCGAAGTTGCCGAAGCTAGGTAGATTTTGTAGCTCAATGTCACAGCTTGCTGAGAGACACTCTCCTTGTGATTTCCTTGAGATGCCATCTTCATCATGCCCAGTCCCGCGCGAGCTGGTGTCTTTTCAGTGGCTACCTTCGTTGAGACGACCGAACTACTGTCCCGTATAGTCAACGCTAGGAGATCAAAGGCCGCGTTGCAAATCGAGTCAAGGCTACGTCATGGCTCTGCAAAGTCATGGCCATGCATCAAAAATATCGTATTGTTCTGAGCAATGAAGTTGGCCATGTAGAAATGAGTTGCATTGCGATCACAAGCTTCAAGCGCGGTCCAAAGTTCACTTTGTCAACTATCGTGTCTGAGGTGAGGAATCTGAATTGTTACTTGGGTCTGCCGGCCGCATTCCAACAAAAAAAATCCCTTCATATATTGACGCTAAAAGTAGCTACATCGTGTTAAAGTTCCCGAGCAATGAACTCGTGACCTCGGCCATTTCCTTGCGTGGGACCAAGTCGGCCCCGAAGCCAACTCCCCGCGTCCGAACCAGGCTAAATTCCTGCGCACTATCCAAGATCCAATCTTTGCACCGCCTGATGGCTGGTATCTCAACTTCTTGAGCAAACGTCTCTCGTGATGTAACATCAAAGACAGTGCACTGTTTCTGGTTGCTCGACAATGCCGGGATAAAGCGAGACCACAAGAAGTCCAGTTGCATACTCGCGTAGCCCACTGTGTTTTGCTGCATCAACAGTTTTCCCTCTCTGAGAAGTCTTTCCGCCGTTGGGGCATCTTCCGCAGAGCACCATTTGCGAAGCTCCGGGTAGCCGATTGACTTCCAAGCCCCCGATCGAGTGGCATCTTCAAACCGTCCATGTTGCTTTTCCAAGTTGCAAAGATGCTTGACCTCATCCAGAAGGCCATCCTTCATCATTGTCTCAATTCGCTGGTCGCAAAGGTTGGCAATAGTCTTGATATCCGAATTTAGAACCAAGACGAGTAGGTTTTGCTCTTGGACAAATGGGTGGAAAAGCAACGGCTCTACAAGAGAGGTCGAGCCGCCGCAGATAATCGGTATGCGGCCACGACTGTGAATGGACTTGATGCACTGGATGGCATCGGGGGTGAAGTCGACGGGCTCTTCAGCTACATCGAGGTAGTCGACCAAATGATGCGGAACCCCTTTCATCTCCTCTTGGGTGACCTGCGCTGCCATAATGGGGCAGTCCCGGTACACCTGGATGCTGTCGACGGAAATAACTTCGCCATCGACAGCTGAGGCAATGTTGACGCTGAGGCGAGTTTTCCCGATGCCGGTGGGCCCGATGATAGCAATGATTGGAATAGGAGAGGCCATTTTTTTTTTCGTCAAATAGATGGTTGTAGCGGAGATTAGGGGCTCTTGTTTGTGAAATCTTTGGTACCCAGGGCCGTACTAAACAACGAGGAGCTTGAGTCTTTTATCCCGAGCCTAAGGCCCAGTTCTCTCGTTCAACATGGCAAACAAGATACATGGAAGCGAGCTCGTCATGACTCTCTCTTACATGACAGTGCATGGTTTTGGCAACCGAGGAAAAGTTTTGGGGGTGAAATGGGCACAGAGATAACTTTCACCCGACTCCTCTTCGACGCGCTTCTTCTGCTAGGTGGGCGCTGAATCAACACCCTAGTGCTTGGGACGACAATATGTACATAACTAGGCAAAAGATTAACCGTGAAACAAGGCAGGTACACTTTAACGAAACTAGGATTACTTGACAGATGATTGGGTCATCAATTTAAATCGGGGGTTAGCGGCACAAGCCTATCAGTAAACACAGTTCCTATAGTCCAACAATTCAAATTGCCAATGTCTTGGTTTCCTTTGATTTCCAATCCAACAGATGCCTTCCCGCGGCCAACTTATACTCGCGAATCTTACCAACAACTTCTTTTGGGGTGTTGGCAACGCTGATAATGCCGGCTGTGCCCTTTGAAATGAACCCTTGTGAAACAGAATTCTCAATCCACGCGAGAAGCTGGTCAAAGAAGCCACCAATATTAAACAAGATAACTGGGCGATCGTGGATGCCCAGCTGGTTCCAGGTAACCACCTCGAATAATTCTTCCACAGTGCCGTAGCCGCCCGGCAACGCCACAAACGCATTTGCCTCACTGGCCATCAAGGCTTTTCGCTCGTGCATGCTGTGCACGAGAGTGGTCTTGCCGTACTGGACGGTGTCTGGCTTGACGATTCCCCGCTCAGTCCTGACCAGGGCCTCGGGGATTACGCCATGTACTGCGTCGGGGCCGGAGAGGGTTGCCAGGCTCCTTGCCAGGATTCCCATTAGACCCAGGGTGCCACCTCCATAAATGAGAGACCATGACTCCGTATGCATAGCCGCGGCGAGTGCTTCTGTCTGTTCTGCATATTGCGACGACACTCCTTCGCTAGCCCCTGTCATCCACATGGTGTCAGCAAACGGTGTTGCGATGGAAATCATAAAGGCCTACCGCAGAATACGCAGAGAGTGAACTTCTCGCGGGCTGCTTTGCCATTCGCTTCGTTGACCATGGTGATGTGATGGTGTCTGGTGTCGTTGAGGTCACGTTATGTTGAACATGAGGCCTATTGCAATAATCACGAGTCGAGACGGATACTTGGTAAAGTCAACAGCCTTGTAATTCAAATATGTAAGAGATTGTGGGTGAAAATATTTTTCTTCTCCGCAAGCTATTTTCTCTAAACTAACTCGCATCTCTTCTTGAAAGGCCTGCGGTCTAATTGGAAGCCGACAAGTCGGCTCATCCCGTCCGGCAATGACACCTGCACTGATTCATTCAGCTATAATGGATTACAATGATGAGTTATTTCCTCGCTCGAACAATGATGGGAGAAATAGCTTCTGCGCATGTTGTTGAATTCATTGGTTACTTGAATGAGAATTTGCGGCCCTCGAAAGTTACTCCGGCGAGGCGAACGTCGGACTTTCTTTATATTCCACATTGTCACAGACCCACCCACCTGGTTCCGCTCGGCCGCGAGAGCAAGCAAATAACGCCATAGAGGAGGCGCTGCCAAACTTACTGCCCAGATATCAGCGTATACCAACCAGCCTTTGATTTCAAGACATGATTTGACTTTCTAAGGGTTTTCCCAGTCCGGGATATGAATGGGGTCTCTCCTCTGTTTGCATTTCTATGTGATCTATGCTTTCCACACCCTCCATTCAAACCCAACTTGATCGGCACTTTTGACCATTCAGTTTCGTATACGGACAAGACTTCATCATGGGCAGCCTTGAAGTTGCATCACTCGCTGAACCAGCCCACATTGATACGTTGTGGTCACATCCTTTACCTCCAGCTCCGCGCCATGCCGTCACCTCCCACATACCCGGATGGAAGGCGCTCGTCAAGCTTGCAGAGCGAGACCCCGTTCATCTGTCCAAGGTCGTGAGCATGTACCCACGAATCCTACTCCACAAGGACTGTGCCCGGGTAAGTTTTTGCAACTTTTGTCTTTTGGATTACCGATTACCCCAATGACCTGTTGTGCTGACATCGGACTCCCGGGATCCAGCTTGGCGAGCACATTATCAAGCTATCGGGGCTGGAACCCGACCAGCATGGTTGTTTTTTGTTCCCAAGACTGCAAATAGCACAAGCATGTGTCGACTACATCACCAGTCAGAATCGAACAGACGACCTGGAAACACTCGCCAGCTCAGAGGTATCAATCCGGGCCTTCGAAAGCAGTGGAGCCGACAATGACACCATCCATGTCTTTGCGGTAATCTTCCCCATAGCAAAGTTGATTCATGTCATGCCGTGGTGGTCGGACACTGGTGTTGCCATTTCAAGCCGACTGGCTCAGCGGGTACTTGACAGACTGCCTGAGCTCCATGAACGCAGTCTCGAAGCTGTCCCTGTACAGAACCAACGACTAGAGGGGCCGTACAAAGTTCTTCGTGAGCGAATTGCTTACTTGGCCGAGCGTGCTCCTGCCAGGGCCAGGGAGAAGAAGGTAGACACTTCCGATGTTTACTTATTTCAGTCTGGAATGGCAGCCATCTACAATGTTCACCAGCACTTGCAACGACTGGCACAGACGGCAGAGCGCAAGAGTATCATATTGGGCGTCTCGTTCTACGAAACCAAGCACGTCATCAAAAAGTACGGTACAGGTTTGAAGTTCTTTCCCAGCGTAACCGACACGACCGCACTCGAAGCCTTCCTCAGGGAAGAACAGGCCCAGGGACGTCCAGTGTTGTCGCTCTGGACCGAATACCCGAGCAATCCACTGCTCTCCGTGCCGGACTTTGTCCACCTACGGAAGCTTGCTGATGAGCTAAACTTTGTTCTTGTTGTCGATGACACCATAGGCGGAGTCTGCAATATTGACGCACTTGCAGTTGCTGATGTCGTCGTCACCAGCCTGACCAAGACATTCAGCGGCCACGCCGATGTCATGGGAGGTAGCGCGATCCTCAACCCATCGAGTTCTTTCTATGAAAGACTCAAGATTTCTTTTGAAGAGGAGTTTGTCAATGATTTGTACATTGAAGATGCCAGGATCTTGAGGCACAATAGCGACGACTATCTCCATCGTCTGGCGATTATTAATTCCAATGCCAAGATGGTAACCGATTGGCTACATGAATGGTCCAAGGGCGGGCGGAGTAGCATACAGCATGTCTTCTACCCCACTGCATCGCATGATGGAGCAAGAGACAATTATGAAGCCTTCATGCGGGAACCCACGGCCGATTTCACTCCAGGCTACGGGTGCTTATTCAGTCTCGGCTTCAAGTCGCAGGAAGCCGCAGCAGCCTTTTACGACAATCTTCACGTGTACCACGGTCCTCACCTGGGAGCCCACCGGACTCTGGCTTTGGGCTATACATATTTGATCTACGGCGAGGAAAACGAAGCCGAGTTTGCTGGCACGAAGCTCTCTCCCGCCCAGATCAGAGTGTCTATCGGGTTGGAGGACTCTAGAGAGTTATTGCATGTGTTCAAGTATGCAGTTATGAAAGCAGACGAGCTTGATGCGGGACAAGGAAAATGAAGCAACGAGACATTGGGGATTGCGTGCCGACATGATCACATGGCCACTCTTCGTTTGTCTCGATGCAGGAAAATCTTGCAGTTAAGCATGTCAGTTAGCAGTTGTGTTCGGCAACACGGTCGAAGAACGCCATCCTACCAGCCTACCTCCGTGTCTCTGAGACCAAGTGTCGTCTGATGGGTCCCGTGCCGCATGCCGGCCCGCCGATGGCCAATGCGAAGCCAGTACGCAACTCGGGCCCACAACGGCAAGAGGTTTGAAGTTCGGAACTCAGTGAGGGTCCGTCTATTTCCTGATCCATGGATATTCTCTGCTCCTCCGGCTGGGGCGAGTTCGGCCTCCAACCGTTCCAATCACGTCCCAACGGCCCCGCCAGGCGTAATGATCAAAGTCGCAGCGGCAGCTCGCGATCGAGTCAGCGGGAAGTTTCTTTAGCAGATGAGATTTCGGTGGGCTCCGTGTCCGACTGTTGGCGCCGGGTGATGTGCGAACCATAATACGAAAGCACCGTTCGAACCAGGGTAGCTGAAATGGGTCATGCCTGATCGTTTCCGGTCTATCGAGCGCGCCGGAGCCATGCTCGGCGCAAACGCTCTGACATTATCTGTGCATTTTGGGCCAAAGTGGACAGCAGTGTAACGTCGTTGCTCATGGCTGCTTGCGAAGAATCGGATATCAACAAAACCCAAAGAGGTCAAAAGCTCCAAAATCCAAGGAGCCCACGATAGACCCATGAACAAAATAATCTGTTCAGGAGATAAGCGCAGATGATGGAGGAAATAAAGGCGTTGCGTATCCGTACCTGCATGTCCGTACCGGCTAAAGGGAATTGTGTTTCCATGAAATGTTTCAACGCCCTTGCTTGGAGAACCAAGCAGCGGAGACGGACTCTATCGCCTCGTGCCACGGTACCGGGCACGTACCAAGCTCTTGGTGTGGGCTGCATAAAACGGTCTGTATCCTTAATGGGCAGAATGATGAGCCGCGAAATAAAATCAGGTGGGATAGCTCAAATTTCCTCGCATAATTTCGACCGCTTGTTCTTCGTCTCGGGCTAGAGCAAGAAAAGCTTCTTGTGCGCGGAACTTTGACGAAGACATGACGGGAAAACGCGAAATAGGGGTTGCCTGGTCTCGTTCATGGTTGGATGGGACGGCCAGGGACAACCACGCGCTCAAGGATCAAGGGTCGTGGGCCATGGTCGTGGGGATTGTTGCTAGCGGCCTGCCTGCATGCGAGGACACTCGGAATGGAGCTGGTTTCCCGTTTAGGAAACCAATGTTTCTCGCTTGACCGAGAAGTTGAAAACGCGATAGGTGACCGCAGTTGAGACTGGGCTGGCGCAGAACTGCCAGTCAGCATCGCGTCAGGCTGTCAGCACTTATCATTGACTCATGTTGGAGGACGATCTATTGCGCACCGTGGTCGTGGCCGTAGCATGAATGGCGTTGTGTCGTCTTAAGCCTTGCGACGATCGCCACATGAAATAGCCCCGTTATCTAGCCATGCCGTCAACGGTAGGCGGCCACGTTGGACCTCCATAGGACCAAAGTCTGAAAACCGGATCAGCACCGGGAGGAGGAGGGCGGGGGGGCGTTTGACATTTGTTGGAAAGGCTGCGAGTTGGCAATGCAGCGTCCCTTGAGGTCCCCCGTCTGCGGCAGATGAACCCCGGTTGACTTCGATTGCTGAAACGGGATTATTGGCGACACGGCTCGGCGCAACGGCTCTTCGAGCGTTATTTCGCTTTGTTTGCCGGACCGTCGAGCAAGCCGGACCAATTGCAACGGGATCACGTCTCTGTATGGAAGGTATGGAGCTTCAACGAAGGCCGGCTCCTGGCCGTATTGCTAGGGTGAGCGAGACGAGGGGACGCCGTGGCCTCGTTGGCGGAAATGCGTGGTTGTGATCTGCTAGCCCGGGAACGGACCCAAATCATGGCATTAGACGGTGGGCGCGGCGTCGACATGGGAGTTAGAAATGGTCGAATGAGAAAACTTGGAAGACATGGTTTTGACATTTGCTGGACCCAGCAAAGTCCCGACTGAGGAACGCAAATGTTTGGCAAATGAATTTTGAGGTTGAATCCGAGGAATGCGCAGGTACCCTATATGACAATCCCATATCGTCGATGTTTATCTGCACATCGTATCAGAGGAGAAGGGAGGCGGCGGATGGAATTGCAGCGTGCCAGGCAAAACCTGTTGAGACGCGCCGACATGCAGCCATCAAACCTGGATCGTCATCTCTGTGGTGTATCCGCACAGTGCAGCCGAGAGGGTGTCGTGCAAGTTGTGCTAGTGCAGGTTCACGGAAAATTTCCTGCAGGCGTCGACTCGGTGCATCTTGGATCGTGTTTCTCTTGCATATCAGTGGCTGTGAAGCCAAGCTCGCCATGATCCTGCCCCCCTAGCGTTGAGGGTGAGAGTGTGGCAACCACGGCACAATCGAGAGTGGTGGATGAGCAGGCATTGGATGGCAGTCGCAGTCCCAAATCACCGGGCAGAGGAGCAAAAGGACGCCCCGGCTGCCAGTGACAACTCTGTGACTCGGGAGGCAGCGCCGATAATGCTGGATGTTTGACGTCTGGACGGATAGGACGGATGGGAGGGATTCACGGTGGAATTACGTGTTGCACGTCGGGAGATATGCACTTAGGTAAGCAATGTTCATGCACAAGACCAAGACCCAAGACACTCAGCTGGAAGGCACGACACGATAGAGGAGGGGAAGGGGGACATGGACATGGACATGATGTGTGTGACCTTGGAACGAAAAAGCAGGCGCGGTCAGTGCGTTGACAATGGCAGGTGCAAGTGCAATGGCCAATGTCAGTGCCACGTTCAAACTCGCGGCCCCCGTTTTCGTCTTAAGCTTGACAGGCCGCACCTGTGCTCTTTGTTTCCATGCCTGCCGCAATTAATGAGGGAAATCCTCGCACGGTTGGAAGGGCGTCTTATGTAAGTATGTAAGGTGAACAGCAAAGCTATCCAGAATGGCACAGATGTTGATACAGGGTCCAGACCCGCGCCTGAATCTGGCTGGCACCTTGAACTGCCATCCCAGCGATAAGGGATACCAGGCTCAGGTCAGTTCCCCAGAAGAACAGAACACCAACCTGAAGCAATGGGGCCAGACCTCATTTGTCTGTGAGGGCACCTCTGAGGAAACAGAAGAAGAAAAGCGAGAGCATCGAAGATGTGTGCACTTTGCTTCCCGTGGACCTTCGGCAACCGGAAAAGTGAGAAGACAACATAAAATAAAATAAAATAAAAAAGCAACAGCGGAAGAAAAGACGAGAAGACCGAGTGAACAGGCGCATCCCTGTCAGACACCGTGCCCGGCCCCAGGGTGAGTGCGACGCCATCCCACCCGTCGGGGAACGACCTGGTTACTAACAAACACGCAGAGTGTTGGACCCCTGCAGGACATCTCAAATCCAATCCAGCCCAGTCCAATCCCATTGCACAATCCCGCCATCCAACGCCCACGCCAGCTCCTGAAGCATCCCGAATCGTCCAAGACTGTTCACTTCCCATTTGACCCCCGACTTGCCGTTCCATTCTTCTACTCCACCGTCCCCGGGCCTCTCTTCCTCTCTTGGGCCTGCTTTTTCTCTCCCTCGCCATTTCGTTTCGTTTCGTTTCTGGCCTCTGCAGCTCCACGTCCTTGGAGCCCAACTCGACTCGACCTTCAAGTACAATTAGCACCGCTGTCTGTGCCGTCTCAATCTACGACACTTTCGCCTCACGATTGTCCGCCTACCCAGTCTATGGCTACCCTTCCAGGTCAGCTCAAATACCATCGTGGCTCAATACGACCGCCTTCGTCCTCTTGGTACGGATACCTAGAGACCCTACTCGAATCCCAGCACGGCGGCAATACATAGCCCGAACCTGCTGCACAACCTACAAAGTACTCCGTACCCTGCACTCATACGGGTACCCGGTACACCGCGTCGCCTGTCCACCCTTTCGTCTGCTCCTTCGTGCGCCACCGCACAAGACGCAGACCCAATCTCGCTCTGGAGCATACCCTGCATGCTGCCCAACTTTTCGTCAACCTCGACATTCACTGACAAGACCGTTCGGCTCCATTCTCCGGTTCCATACAAGTTCCACCAGATCAGCGGATCCCCTCCCTGAGTCTCTACTCCCTACAAGTCTCAGACTGCTGCGTCGCACTCGCTCGCTCGTCCACCTCGCTGTCCCACCAGACCACAACCCGCACTCTCACTGGGTCCGATTCGGCTACCCTGCTCTCCGTCCAACGACACAAGCCACGGGGCGAACCACCCTCACTGCCTGTCACGCGTTGTTTGTCGAGCTGGCTGCTGGCGGATCCTGCAATTGCCATTTGCAAGCCTCGCCTTTTCAAACAGACCCATCCTGGCCCAACCTCGTCTTTGCACCAACAAGTCAATTGATGACACAAATCGCCTAATCCGCATCACCGTCCACCATGCCTCCCACCGTTTCGAAGCGATTCGAGCTCCCCAAGCTTGACTTCAAGTTCGGCTCCTTGACCGACGGAACCAACATCCCCCCGCCGCTCCCCAGCCCCGTTCAGGAGGTCCCCACGCCTCCTCAGACCCCGCGTGTGAGCGAAACCAAGGACTCCGGTTCTGCCGTCAAGGAAAAGGTCGAGAGCAAGACAAATGGGCATACGGCAGGAGTTCCAGGCTCGCCTGCCACTACCAATGGTACGAAAGGATTCTCGGATGACACACCACTCTCTCCAGCAGCGTCAAGCAGACAAGGCAGCATCCGTCGTCTCTTCAGCCGGACATTACTGAACCAAGCATATGCAGAAGGCGAAACCCAGTCCAACGCCCATAACCGTCCCATGAGCCGCAGCCAAGGCAGCATCATCGACGAAAAGAAATCGAAGCGCAGCAGCGGCTGGTTCAAGAGGTTGAGGACCAGCGAATCGTCCCCGCCGCAAAAACGATCCAGTATCGTCTACGAACACCCCAACGTCAGCGAGACCAGCAGCCAATTGCAGAGCAAGCCTCAGATCCCGCAGCCACGGGCACCTCAGGTCCAAGGGCCGCCGCCGCCCATGATCCCCGAGCTGAGCGCTCTCCAGGCCAGACTCGACGTAGGGGACGGAGGCAGTCTGGGAGATGACTTATTCAAAAACATTAAATAATCGCTGACTAGAGACGGACGAAGCCCGACACTGGTCATGACTGATATCTTCAGAGCTGCCGGTTTTTGGAGTCGGGAACCGGCTTTTTTGTCGAATGCGAAAAAAAGAAAAACCCACTTAATATGCGCCGACGAGCGAACGACCGAATCCGAGCGGATGCACCAATACGATTTCCTAGCGTTTTACCAAGTTGAATTTACTTTCGAGCCAGAGCTGGGGACGAAGTGGCGGAGATGGAATGAAGCAGACGTGGAACGGAGCGGAGGCAAGATTGGAAGAAGTTATGCAAGATACCCAGCTCGCGCCGCGGGCTCATTCTGACATACAATGTTTACACTTTCTTTATTTTGTGTGTTTCTCTTCGTCTCATTGCGCTGTCTGGAAATTGCAGGCACCATGGACCCCAAATCTCTTTTCCTTGCGGGCTTGTTGGTCAAACCCTTTCTACTCTACGGCTTACCTTCTCATGTACATGTTTGTGTTGACGGGTTTGATGGAGAAGCTTGAGGGGATTGAGAAATGGTGGCGAGGCTGACGATCTGAAGAAAAGCGAGAAACAAATCGAGCTCGCGTCAGCCTTTACATGGTTTAAAAATAAAGAAGAGTCAGCAACTATCAAAAAGGGCGAAGATGCTTTGGGCTTAGCCACAATGGCTGAAAACGCCATGCTACGGAGCAGTTGACCAAGTGCTTATGTGGCCACCGCAGCAGTAATAGAGACTACATTTTCACAACCTACCATAACGATCACCGACATTGTTCCCTTTTAAGCCACCAAATTGACCGCAATGCTTTGACCAGGCGAAGGATTTTGAGACGGCTCAGGAAGACAGGCTTCCATATGGAGCCCATTTGGTGAAAACAAGAACGATGGCAGATGAACCCCGCGTCATCCGAAACTGACGCTATGGCCCCTTGAACACATCATGTGGCGAGAGGCTTGCATCTGCAGGTTGTTTTAGCGCGCCGAAGAGCCTAGCATGGCCGTGGCTACTTTTTGCTGGAGAAGATGCTGCAGCAGGTCGCTAGAACATGTCACTATGCATCCCGGCCGTCCGCTCAACTCACTTGTACCTGTGCGGGATAGCGCGCTGCGAGACTGCCGGTCCGTGTTTGCCGTGGTCCGTTGACTACCTACCTTACCCGGAGCACCGTTCATGTTCTCTACGGCCGCCGTCCCTCCCCCGGGGCTGAATGGTGTGGGAAGCTCGAGCCAATCGCGGAAGCAGCGGGGCCACCCCCTTCCCGTGCGGCGTTTGCTTCAGAGGACGGCGCTAGTGGGCTGATTCGTCGGCCGCGGTGGGAGACGTCATTGTGAGTTGGAGCTCTACCGGTCGCCCGTTTACCGAGCCAGAGCCGGGACCTGCAGCTTCGAAAAGAGCTACTTTTTTTTTTCCCACCCCCGACCTTTTGCTGCGCTGTACACTACGACCCGCAACCACCACTTTTGTCATTGTGTCAATTGTCGAGTCATCGTTCACGACTGACACATGCATACAACAATGGCGACAAGCTTACGCACAACCACCGCGACGACGGTGCTTCGGCCGCTGAGCTCGGCATTGCGACCGGCTGCGGGCCGACAAGCGGCGCAACACCTCCCCCGGGTTGCACGACGATACAAGTCCGGTCCGTACGGATACACACAAGCCAAGGCGCTGGTGTTCTCCAAGGAGGGCGAGCCCAACGACGTTTTGCAGTATGTAGCGACCGACTCAACGACCGACGAACAGACTGTCCTTGTGGCCGACTGACTGACTGACGCTTGTGAACAATAGACTACACACACACTCCATCTCCCCCTCGATCCCCTCCTCCGCCGTCCTCCTCCGCGCCCTCGCGGCCCCGATCAACCCGGCCGACATCAACACCATCCAGGGCACCTACGGCGCCAAGCCGCCCTTTACGCAACTCATCGGGACCCCCGAGCCCGCGGCGATCCCGGGCAACGAGGGCGTCTTTGAGGTCGTGTCCGTGGGGTCCAAGGACTCTGGTCTGGCGAAAGGCGACTGGGTGATTCCCAGCGCGAGCTCGTTTGGCACGTGGCGCACGCACGCCGTGGCAGAAGCCAAGGACGTGATGAAGGTGAGCAAGGAAGGGTTGACGCCCACGCAGGTGGCTACGGTGAGCGTGAACCCGTGCACGGCGTACCGCATCCTGCGGACGTACGGGCCGGGGGAGATCCGCGCGGGGTCCGACGGCGGGATGAAGGCGCTGGATCCGGGCAGCGGGGGGTGGTTTGTACAAAACGGGGCGAATAGCGGCGTCGGGAGGGCGGCGATTCAGCTGGGCAAGCTGTGGGGTTTGCGGAGCATCAATGTGGTTCGGGAGCGGGAGACGGCGGCGGAGACGGAGGCGTTGAAGGCCGAGTTGACGGGGTTGGGCGCCACGGTCGTGGTGACGGAGAAGGAGTTTTTGGCGAGGGAGTGGCGGGATCGGCTTGCGGAGCTGACGCGCGGCGGGCGGGAGAGCGTCGGGCTGGGGTTGAATTGTGTCGGGGGCAAGTCGGCGACGGCGGTGGCGCGGAGTTTGGGGGAGAGCGGGACGATGGTTTCGTACGGGGGCATGGCGAGGCAGCCGGTGATGCTGCCGACGGGGTTGCTCATCTTCAAGGACGTGAGGTTTGTTGGGTTCTGGCTGAGCAAGTGGAACGAGAGGGACCCGACGGGCCGGCGGTTCGCGATCGAGGATGTGTTGGGGATGATTCGGGAGGGCAGGTTCAGGGACGTGCCGGTCGAGGAGGTCGGGTGGAGCTGGGGTACGGAGGAGGGGCAGTTGAGGGAGGCTGTTCAGGGGGCGCTTGGTGGGTTTAGGAAGGGCAAGGGGGTGTTTGTTTTTGGAGAGACGTGAAGTTGAGGATGTGAGGGCTTTTGGACGGTTCGCGTGTAAGGGGAGAGTGAGATGGTGTAGGATACGGATTAGAGATTATAGATGAACCTGGATGAAAGGCGGTGGTGTCCCGCGAGAAGAATTCCATCCGAGTAGCATGAACGCAGGCGCAGCTCACGAGAGGAAGCTCTCAGACAGGCCACGCCCGACTGGCCTCGCCTATGGCTCATAGCCTTGAGTTTCGTCTCATTCATTTCCTAGTATTTGAAGACGCGTGATAATACTGGAACATCCGAAAGAGATGGAGGTACCTGCCTAGACTCGTACAATTCGTCGCCCTCGGGTCTGTGACTCCCATACATCACTGCACCGGTAACGGACAATACAGATGGTTTCCCTTCAAGTTGCGTACAAACTGGTGCTCTACCCATCCTTCGATGGTGACTTTGACTCATGGTTCGCCTTAAGACCGCAGCCGAGCTCTATCGGAAAGCTCTGTCGAGGAGCACAATCAGCCTCGTCAGGACGGTATAGTTTCGGTGCTGGGACAGGAGGGAACGCGCCTTTAAAGGATTGGTTTTGCACACAGAATGTATTTACTTTTGATGACGCCGCTCTCTGTGAGGTGCTCAATACGTATCTGGGATGCGGTGGTACTTGGTATGTAGCTAGATGAAATGTTGCAACAGATTTCATCAAGTGGGTGCTATCTATCCCGGTGCGTCCTTGTCAAAGGGAAATTATTCGATGAGAATATACGCAGAAGACAACAGGGGCAACAAGCATGATGAGGCAACCATTCATGGAGCAAACGTCTTTTGGGCGACAAGAAAGTTATTGAGAGCAACGTAGCCACGATATTAGCTGCCTACGAGGCCTGCAAGAATGGAGGACTCAAGTTCAACACGATGCTGGCAAACATCGAGATGGAGCAGAGAAGTTAGCAACGGATCAAGAGCGCACCCCCGAGGCCCGAAAGGCAAACGTTGAAAAACTAGGCTCGAGATCATAGCGGCCGCTACCAAAGCAGCTTCTAAGTTGATGGATGACTACCAGCTAGCTTGGCTGACGGTGAAAGGGATGGCAATAGATCTCACTTATACAGTCACTCTGGGAGCGCCTACTGGACTAATTCATGCTGATATCAAGTCCCTCAAACGACTTGGAAACGAGGCGGAGCGTCTTGAGCAAGAGGACAAGTTCAAGCGCCAGAAGCCCTCATGGGATGCCGTCACGAGCATGTAATCACAATGCCAACGTCGGTAGAAGCAGTGCCTCGATTAATATTGCTTTGCCGAACCTCTCGTTGATTCAGCTACATGGTTTGATTTGACTCCAGCGCAGACCTCCTCACGACCAGGCTCTTCGGGGTGCTCTAGCTGATGAATCCCATAACTATGAGGCATAGGTGAAGGCTAACTGAACATCATTGCGATGCCGAGAGAAAGCTCTTGTGCGAGTTCTTAATGACATGGCTCGTCTTGGCATGCAACGGCTTTCCTCTACATCACCTTTTCCTTAATAAGTCACATTTTCCTTAACAAGTGTCACGGATGAAACTCTCAAACCCGGCTGGCATCTACGTCGTATTCCGGCACCTAAGACGACGTTGAGAGTGGAGGGGAGAGAGATACACTGACAGTGGCGGCGACAGTACAGATATCCTAGTCAGCGATACTTGACTCCATGGTTGGATGGAAGTGGCGAAGGAGGGAACGTGCCAAGTCCACCAATGCATCCCGAGTTGCCGTGAAGCTTCATTTGTGATTGCTTGATTCAGCAGGAGACAGACACGAGCAAGCTCACTCATGTGGAAATCCAGGATGCAAAATGTCGAGAATAATATCCATTTTCGCAACCGCTAGACCCGAGTTCAACGCAGATGCCGCGCGAAGCACATAATGTGTCCATCTCGTGCTACGAGAGATCATTGGCAGTTTTACAAATCCACGCATTTCCTCATTTCCATCCCCGATATCAAAGCGGGATACACCCACACAGAGAGAGCCCCCCGTCGTTGATCCGGAAAGCAACCAACATGGAAAAAGCGATCAATAGTAAGCGAGCGGGAAGTCTGCATCTTGAACAGCTTGAATTCAGCAGAGCATTAGCTGGAGCAGCTGAGTGGAATCACTGCCGATGTACAGCAGGCTGACCAGATGTTGATTCTCGGGATTGATTCCAAGGAGAGTCGCCGCGGATTATCTGCAGCGACAACAAACTAGGGCGGTTCTCATCTATGGCCTTTCCGCTAGGATTTAAGTCCAATGGACGATATCTCGGACTGTAATCAAACCGCGCGGCATAAGGGTAGCGAAGAATAATGTCTTTGCGATCTCAAGCTGTACTTAGAGTCCGAGCTGAAGACTAGAGAAATTCAATCCCGAGTAGCGGTTGTCACGATGTGGGACTAAGTAAAGCTTGGATTACTATCTCTCAAAGCAAACTGACAACTCGACAAGTCTCCAAAACTAGTTCTTCACCATCTTCCTGTTCATCTCTCAGGAATCAAACAACCCATCAACCGTCGCAACTCACCTTCACGATCCATCGTCGTTCCTCCTCTCGCAATCCGACGCGTCTCTCAACCAGCCAGGGACCCTGCAAACGCGTCGCTCCACCTACCAAAAACCACGAACCGCGTCTCCCCATGTCAAAGTCACCGACTCAGGCCTCACCCTCGCCCCAAAAAGACCCCAGGACCCCTTTTCTCTCAGTGTCCCTCTCTCTCGCACCCTCAGGCCCACCCAAGCAAACTTGCTGCCCACTTCTTCTTCCATCCCGCCAGGCCTCTTCCCCCTCCCTTACCCTTCCCCCCCGACTCCCGGGTCACTGTACACTTGCCCTTCTCCAACACAAGGTCTCTCTGTCGGCGACTTACCTATCGCTCTGCACTCTCCATTAATTAACCCCCATTGACGTAGAGTAGCATCGACGCACATGGAGGTATCATTGTCAACCGCGTGCGCCGTCCCCACTCCGCAAAGGGTCGCCGTCCTGGTTACCCGAAGCAGGGCTGTTCCACACCAATAGCTGTCTACCCATTCGAGGTTCCCAGGCGTTTCAATAGCGTTCCCTTTGCTATAGGTACCGAGTACGGATAGGCCTGCCTCGGTCGCCAGCGGCCAAAGTACATGCTACGTTACGAGGATAGCCAAAAGCCCGTTTCCACTTCCAATGAACCCGTTCCAAGATTTAAGCGGGCATCCCGCCCCCCTCGACGAGTCCAACGGCGTACTCGAACTCAAACCCAGCGGGCAGGAGAGATAGAGGACAAAGAGAGAGAGGAAAAGGAAAAGACGCGCCTCCCCCTCCACGTGGAGATTGGGGAAGGAGAGTCCAGGTTTGCGGCAGCTTGCTTGTTTGAATCCAGGAAACCGGCATGGATATCCATGCCAAGGAATAACCTCTCTCTGCCCAAAATTCCCTGAACGGCACCGGCGTCGAAACCTTGCACCTCGCACCTTGAAGGGCCTCCCCCACCTCTCTTGGGGCCTCGACTTCCCAGAAGCCCGCCTGGCCTAAATATAGTGGAACGATGCCTGTCGCCGATACCACTGCATGATGCAGGGGGAAGTTGCAAAGGAGGAAGTATCCACGGGTTGCTTTCAAGTTTCCAGGACTATTTTTTTAATTATTCCGTTCCCTTTCTAAACCTCATTTGGTAGGAAGGAAACGCGGCAGAGGGAAGGAGGAGGGATGGGGGGCCTGGAGCCTGACTCTTCAACAGCGGAGAACGGCGGGTTTGAGTGGCCACGACTCACTGGTCGAGCTCTATCCGACCGGCTGGTGGGATGACCGGGGGGGTTTTCTGGACAGGAAAGACGAGACGCGATCTCTACCACAAGATAGGGATATGCGCTCCTTTCCTGGCGTAGGATCACCTCAAGCTACTCCGTACTTGAGCTTTGAATACAACATGGATCGCGATTGCCAGTCATTTGTGTATGGAAGATATGCAGTACTGATTTTGCAAGCACATGGAGAATCGCCCTGGGAGCACGTACAGCGAACACGCCCCTTATGTCAGGCTTTACGACCTTGGCTGATAGACACGTGATCCCAGAGGTCGAGAGCGGACTCGAGACGTCGAGACGTAGATTGCTGGATCGACCAGGGAAATACGAAGAGAATGTTGATTATCTCGGTCAATCTCGACTCAGTCTCGCTCTTCCGTTTTAATAGGAGATGATGTGTTGCGAGATCTCTGAGTTGGTACTCTCCGAGCTGGGCTCGGCATCATCAGGATTGAAACCGATCTGCGAAGCCTGCTAATAAGTTGTCTCCATACCTACGAGCTCTGAGCTGTGCCTCGCCTGCGCCCAGTATTGGCTGAATAATTACTTCGACATACGATTACAGAGTGCATTGATGGGGCCGGCAGGATGAACAGTCGATATACAGAACCCTGAGAGAGAACCTCCTTGTACTCTATCGGGCTTGCTGCTCTTGTTGGGTGTCCATAGAATCTGCAAATGATAATGCGATGGAGCTCGCAACATTTCGTGCGATGAAACAGCCTCTTCGTCCGACATGTCTCAAAGTCGCCAGGTGCGCAGTGAAGCAAGTCCCGTGATGGAAAAGACATCTGATAGCCAAAGGATCCTGTCGGGATCCAACGATACCTGTGGCCCCCGTATGGGCCTCGGGCTTTTCGTAGGTAGTCAAACCGAGTCCAAAAGACCTGGCCTGGATCGACGCCGCCTTTCGGGGCGGTGAGGTGCGTCGTGAGTCGCGATCCGGAGGCGGTGAGCCGCTCCGGTTCGAGATATCGCCGCAACAACCCAACCCTCCGCAAGGCTTGAGACATGCGAAATGCTGGGGGCGTGGGTTTGCCGACATGGCGTTTGCATGAACGACGGGGAATGGCGTACACTACGTGTGGCCCCCGTTCCATCCGAGCCCCCCCCCCGTCCCCCGTCCCTAGTAGAGAAGAAGAGGAAGAAGAAACAAAAAGCATTTCGATGATCCCCCCCCCCCACAAACGGTTTATATGTCTCAGACGACGCCGGTGGCTGCCTTTGGACCGCCATGGTGTCACCCGCAAACGTCCGTATCGTGTCATGCGAGCCATTTTTGCATGTGGTCGCCTCGGAAAGGAGACTGCAGACTACGGCCAAGTTTGTCTGGAATGTCTCGTCGAGTTATTCTCAAGAGCAATAACTGAGGCCGCCTAGGTAGTGCGCTCGTGACAACTCGCAATGGTTGCATGGCGTCGGCACGTTTCTAGAGTATGTTGATGGGCGACAGATGAGCGCAGGCATGTCGTTGTCAAGGTGACAGATCGCCCCTTTGATCACTCGTCACATTTGAGCATCACGAGAATGTGATAGAGTGAGAGGTGTTCTCTTTTTTCCAAACACATGTCACATTTTGATGACATGTGACGCCTATCAAAAGTCTCGGCTCAAGCCTTTGCACATCGTTTATAGATACACAGACATATCAACAAATATAGAGAGAGCTTCTGCTATGCCCGCTGACTGAGACACATAGCCAACCAAAACCAGTTGGACTTGCTATCCTTCACAAAACTTTTGGGAGATGTCACGCTCTGTCTGCTAGGAGTAGTCTATACTGAGATCACGTTTGGCGCACATCATCTACTTGTTGATAATGGCCTGGAACAGGAGTACTAGGCGAATATCAAGTTACAAAAAAAAAAAAAAAAGAAACCCATGATGCGCAAGCTGGTGACATAGCAAGGCGTTCGTTTCCTTCCAAGCTTTAAGTGCTTCCCCGACTTACTTTATGAAGATCCTGCGCCGCGTTCAAACAGTCGACATGATACAAGGGTGGTCAAGCACGAGGAAACGACGAGGCACGTACGTCTTGAAGATATCTCGTGGCGCGCCTTCGCTCATGAGACCACGAGCAGTCGCTCAACATATTGTGCTCAACAGAACCTTATTTGAGCAGCTGGCTTAGGAATAGGAACCGAAATTTGATATGAAGTCAATTTTGAGTCGAGTATATGGCCTTGTAACCCGAGAAAATTGTTGGACAGACGCGACGTTGAACGAATGTCGTCAATTTTCAGGGTTGGCTCTGGAGTCTGGGAGCGGCGTGGCTTGCAAGGATTCAAGGCACGACCAGCTCATGGAGGGATGAGTAGTTCGGTACGAAGACTGCAGTCACCAGTGATCTGTGAATGGCTGCCAAGAGACACATGGGGGAAGGTACGGATACAAGGGTAAACAGTCCTGGACTCTTGGTCCCCCCCTCCCCTGATTCCTGCGGCCCTC